GCACACACACACACACACAAACGCGCGCGCGCGCGCGCGCGCGCGTGCTATCTATTTCCTTTCCCCACACGCGCGTGCTTACTCACTGACAAACATGTATAATAAGTAAAGGTATGTCTGATGCACAGCGGAGTCGTGAGTAATTAGTTCTAGTTTTTATGAAATGTTTAATTTTCTTTATCATACATCACGTACTATTGGAGAGATAAGTCATCTCATCCGGTAATCACTTGTCTCGCCATAACTCGCCATGTCCAAGATAGAATCTCGGAGTTAAACCGGCCGATTTAATGCCACTCAAATGACTCAGTTCTATAGAGATAAAATAACTTAATTTGTTAAACAGAAACGTTTTTTTTAATTTCATAGGGTGTGGTCTTTCAAAGTTTGGTTATTTCAGTAAAGTTAAAATAATCAAGTCGGTTACAGAATGCATCATGGTGCGTCCACTTTTTTCTTCATTTCTACGCATGACAGTGGCGGTGCGGTTTTCATCAAACCGCGGTTAAGCTGGATCGAATATCGATTTGTGGACAGGCGTAGGTGTTTCCTTGCCAGGTTGGACCTGTTTTTAGCATGGTAACCACGCAAAAGCGAAGAACAGAGAGGAGTGGAGCTCCTTGTCCTCACCCTCTCTGTCTCCAGTATAGGCACAACAAGGCCTGATAGAAAGAAATAAACAGCGACATCAACATATACATTCAGTAACAGTGTACGCTAATAAAGAGTTTTGATCTGTTTAGTACATGTACTCTCAGATGACTGGTGGTATCTATTTTAGATACGTGAATGAAAAAAATTATTAACAAATATTTTTTTGGGTTGACACACTCTAAACAACAAGCGTTTCAAGTGTGATTCATACATTACGCTGAAAAATATCACCACTTCCTTGGAAATCTTCCAAACCCTAATAGTGAGTCCAGTTTTCTTGGTCTCCAGTTTTCTTTCGGCAATATTCCTGTTTGTTTTATACCGTATAATACGAATATCTATGGCGCAATAGCACTTTGACATTTCTCGGTGACTTCTTCAGTACTTCTCTCGACGACTTGTTTATATTGATATAAAACGCGATTTGTTTTAGAATTTGAGGTGTCCACTTGAACAAAACCGTGCTTTTATTTATACTTACCGATTTTTAGACGAGGTCCTTATTCGCCACACAGGGACGTTACCCACTGCTACGGTCAAATAATGAATGCTGTTTTGCTTAAGTCATAAAACTGACCCCGTAATTCTCTACTGTAACACTGTCTGCTACTGTAATATTATTTTATGAACAATGCTTCCATTGATTTAATGTTGGTCCCTGAGGCAAGCTCAGTGAAATACATTTGGGGAATGCCCAGTCACAGCAACAGACGTCTGCTACTAGTATGTCAACCGAACGACATGTACATGTATATGATTGACATGGTGACATTTGGTTTAATTTCAAATTATTCAATTTAAATCCAATGTGCCGAATTAATTGTGATACTACTCGGTATTATATTCATGTAAGGAGCATATTTCTGTTAAAATTAAGCTTCCAGATATTTTAAGTCTTACACTTTTCAAAGCACCAATCACGTTGATTTACATATTTTCTTCCCGGTTCATTTCCGTGAATCGCGCGTTGTTTATCTGACGTAAACAGCATAACGAAAGTACATCAGAAGTTTTGGGGTAGGGTCATTAGGCAACGGCAGCATCTCAAGGACACACGTAAAGTCGCTCTATCTATATGGCTCTTAAATAGATAAATAAATAAATCAACTGATGAAAAAAGAGAAAAATGTAAAGCCAAATGAAACTTCATTCACGATCTGTGAAAAACGTATCGAAGAGGCGCTTTGAAGATGACCCCCCCCACCTTCCCCTTCACACACTTTGGATGACTTGTAGATGTCCTATACGTGCGTGACCACGAGCANGGTAGGGTCATTAGGCAACGGCAGCATCTCAAGGACACACGTAAAGTCGCTCTATCTATATGGCTCTTAAATAGATAAATAAATAAATCAACTGATGAAAAAAGAGAAAAATGTAAAGCCAAATGAAACTTCATTCACGATCTGTGAAAAACGTATCGAAGAGGCGCTTTGAAGATGACCCCCCCCACCTTCCCCTTCACACACTTTGGATGACTTGTAGATGTCCTATACGTGCGTGACCACGAGCAATTGGTCATTCTTTTTGAGTTAGAGGGATAATGATGACTCTGGGGTTACAGCTTGTACCTTTACTGGCCATTAATTTTGAAGCTGCATTTAAAACAAACGCTTGTGTTGAACGCTTGTCGAAGCCTTTAGTTCCTGGACCATTCGTCATCTGGATCGTGATATGCCCTACATTGTTCAGAAGCCGGTTATCCGGCATAAAATGTGCTTTTTTTGCCCAGGACATGTTATGTTATCTGTGTTGGATTATAAAAGTATGAAATGCTTGATCGTTAATCGAGCCGTATGTCTGATTAATTTAATTATGCAGGTCGTCGATATAAATTAGAATGCGAATGTCGCACGTGCACCTCTCTCTCTCTCTCTCTCTCTCTCTCTCTCTCTCTCTCTCACACACACACACACACACACACACACACACACACACACTATTTTCATTGCAAAAATTAACGGCTTACTGCAATCAATCGCTGGGCTCAATTTCGTGATTAAGGGGTCTGCTGGAGGTCGCTGTCTGGAATGTAATCGGCACACTCCTTTCCTCTGGCATCCTGGTTCTCTGTGCCGTTATCTCTTCTGTTACGTTATAACTCAATAGTTACCGGTGATGCGTTGACTACATTTCAAACGGAGATTCCCCTTTATTTATTTATCCACCAATGTCGGATGCAAATATCTAATTTCAATGTCTGTTTGTATACTTGGTGGTTTCCATAGGTTTTTATCATGCATATTGATATCTGGATCCCCATTTGAAATGTGAAGGTCACAGTAACTGCCGCACCCCTCCCAATCCGCCCCCCTGTGAGTCACATTTTCCCCATCAACTTCAACGCGACACCCACAAAAACATTTCGGGAGTCTGAATTTTTCCACTACTATATTCACTGCATTGTAGCCTATATTATGATGAACTATACAGTAAAATGTACTGTAATGCGTAAAAATAGAACAGTCTACGTGTAGCACATACAATCGTACAGTGAATTCCAATTTTGAACAAGAAAACAATACGTAGTCTGAGATCGAAAATCATGAAAAGTAACAAAACGCAGTGCTACCATGCTGATGGACAAAAACACAAGGGGAGTAATTGTAAAATGACACGACATCATTCACTGGCCCTAAACATAACAGTCTTTGTGAATAATTTTGCACTCGAGCTGCGTCAGAAGAAAGATGGTTTAAGACACGCTTTGCCACACATCAGGTCTCTCTCTCTCTCTCTCTCTCCCTATAAAACACACCCAAGTCAAAAACAAGAAGGAGCTGATGCTGGCCCTCTCTGCCATACTGTCATTAAGACGTCCTTTCCTTTCAGAACGAACGATGAATTATGCAATCCGTGTTTAGCATTAACAAATAACATCAATGTGGCTTTGAGCGCAAACCCAATATTTTTTATAATAGGCTATAATACGTGTCTATGCAATCGTGGAGCTTTTTTTCTCAGTACTTCACCGTGGTAGACAAGTCACAAAGTCCTTTCAACAGTTACCTATATATTAGGTACATGTTGACAACGTGTTTTCGCATTCATTTTTGAATCAAGGATGAGGGTGCACTCTGACCACAGGGTCCGCTAGAGGTCTGTAACTAATTTATTGTATCTATACTTTAATTTTGTATAGTATTTTAAAATCTACTGACATCAGAATGAGAGAATGTGAAGATTATAACCCCAGCTGGATCTCTCAAGACGATCGTACGAGGCGCGCTCTTGATCAGCCTCGACCATCTAGCCTAGCTCAGTTATGACCTCGTTCAAGGCGTTTATGATATCAAAAACCATTTAATGACATCATTACCCTGTGTTTGTTTTGTGGGAATATGGAATACGTATAATGTTTACTGACAAAGAAATTAATCATGAAATAAATCTCGCTCATAAACACTTACGGATTGTATCAAGAATCTTGATTGTATTAATTTCGTAGATTAGACGCTCAGATCCCATTGCTCTTCGTGCTGACTCGGCATGTATTTATACTACTAAGCCAGTCTAGCGCCTTCTGGCGTGGTCTATATCCACCTAATATAACTACACTGAACCCCACTGTCTTTTATTTGAATATTAAAAGTTTAAAATTTATGTATTTACTGCCCAGACAGACAGACAGACAGAACAATTAATACAGCCAAACTGTTTTGAAGTCAAATATCTGAGCGAAAAAAAAAAATTTAGAGCAATAAAAACTGCTTTATAAAAACGATGACAAATACCGATTCTACATTAAAACAGATTGTGTTATAAAGATCATGTACAAAAAGAATGACAAGTTAATGTTAAATTCTTTTAGTTGACACACAAAATGTCAAGGATAATTTGTCATCATTTTGTACAATCAATTACTTTAAGGAACTAGAGAAGACTAGTGTTTAAGGCAGATCAAAATATCATTGTTGACATTAAAACTGAACAGACAAACGCACGTGTTTATCCAGCCTTCCCTTCAAAGTATCAACAGGTGTGATCAATTTGGGGGTGTCGTGGCTAAAATATTAAACAGTGGTCGAATACATGGTTCTAAACAAGACATCTTAGAAATATATTTGCCAGTTAACAAACTTTTAACTTATCTTGTCACGGACGGCAAGAAATGAATGAAAATTCTCTCAGTTAGAGTAAACTTGGCCTCGTAAACACGCAAACATGAGGTGCGGGGAAGTGTTAACCAGATCCAGTCGCAACGTAAAACCGCCTGCGCTCCACCGCGCTGAAACAAAGCCGCTGTGTAGCGACACTCATCAGGTCTACATCGACTTCTTGTAAATAAAATATTTCCATACTGGTCTCGCTTACAAAGAAACTAAGAGCCCACTTCATTCACCTACCTCCTTTTCCTTTACTCCTCATATTGGTGTCGTTTTTGTTTTCCTTGATATCCTAGAATAATTGGTACAAATCCTCAGAATCTGACAGCATCTTCCCCTCGGCAGAGCTGGCGTTATGACTGTGCAGTGAAATGAGCAAATGAAATGTACAAGCACCAGTTTGACCTACTTCCTCCAAGATTACTCATGACGTAGGATTTGAGCGAGAGCGGATCTTATTAAACTTTGGCATGAGACGCTTGTGTGTGCGAATGTATGGTGCGTTGTCCCAGTTTTGGCGGAGAACATAGTCCATGCCATTAGTCTGACTTTAGGGATTTCACCGACTAAAAATAGCAATGCGTAAAAGTTTCATGAGTTTTACTAAAATTTATTATCAAATGTTAGTGTTTTATGCTGCATTACGAGGGGTTATAAACCAGTGTGAGGGAATTAAGCCGCAGCCGCCCCCTAATTCCCGTGCCTTGATAAATTAAAAAAATAAAAAAAAAACAGCTAGGTTGGGGGAAGATCAGTTAAGAGCGTCTGCTGGTTCTTTGTCCTAAATCACGTGTTTAATTAACTTACAGAACAGAAATCTAAAACTTTAGAATTGTGTACTTTAAGTAACATATTCTCAAATATAACACGTTATTCTTGACGTTATTTTAGATTTTGCTGTTGAATTAGGATAATGTAGAATAATGCAATGTATTAGCGACATTCAATATTTATTTCTAAGCCTCCATAATGATATTTTTAAAATACCCCAAATTTGTTTTTAACTTGGCATGCTTTTAAGATGCTGTCATGTTTCACCATAAAGGGGAATACTCCTCACTTTTTGAAAAACATCCGGCCTCCAAAATCTAAGAACTGGCATCTACATGTAAACAAAATTTTTCAATTCTATGTAGTTACAGGTACATATGACATCACTGTACTCCAGTGAAACTGTAAAAAAATCTAAATTTGATCCAAGTGGGATACAATGAAATTACATGTATAATTTAACCTAGTGAGGATTCAACTTAAATCTAGCTTTAACCAAGGACGGTTCAACCGCTATCACTGCAGACTTAAAACATTCTTTGAGAATCTGGTCTAGTACCAATACGCCCCAGGAAATGAAATGGCATTACCCGAATCCTGACCTGGACAACATTAGGTCTACACTACGCTAACAATAAACCCAAGAGACGTTGGCAGAATTATCGTAACAAAAGAAGAAAACGTTTTGTATATTCTTCTCACGCAGATAAGGCCGTGTCATATTTTTGTCTGTGTTTACACAGAGATAAACTCTTAAATTACAAGATGATTAAAAAGATCATAATTTAGAACGAGCAAAGAGATGATTTACTTCACAGAAGTCAATGGCCTCATTTTCAAATATAGCAAGACACATTTGCATCAGATCGCGCACGTTTAGATAAATTCACTCTTGACGTTTTATTTTTCGAAACCGGTACCTAACACGTATGAATACGTGAATTCAGGATGGAGTACTTGCCCTTGCTTTTTGTGCAATTTTTCGTAAAAACCGAACGACGAGCTAAGAGCAGAGAAATTGGACTTTCTCGTAATCTTCGATGTGCAGTTACGTTGCGTGAGCCCCTGCATGAAGCATAGCGTGGTAACAGTCTCCCGCTAAACCGCTACCGTTAAACACATGATCAAATTTAAATACAGGATGGTCTCATAACCAAGCAGAGAAATGAGATATAAAGATATTTATCCGTAGAGTATAAGTACATTCTTGAATGTTCTTACATGCTTGCCAACTTCTGTCACGTCCATGAAAGGTCAAACAGACCACTTCACCCCCCCCCCCACCTCACACATACACGCAGTGACTCTTCTTTTTTTGTAGACATACTTTTGTTAGTCGAGCTATAGGTTTTCCAATGTGTGCCCCTAAAGCCCCCCCCCCCTTGAGTTGACAAAAAAGGGTTATTCTCCAGTTCATTCGCCCTCCCCTCTCCCCCGAATGACCTTATATAAGAGGTTGTTGACGCATTACTGCCAGAAGCTATAAGGAAATCTTTGTCCGCTCAAGTTTGATATTGTCGCCAATAAAAGTTACATATAGTGTACATGCACTCAAAATAATAACATGCAACAGTGTTTGAAATTCTTATAACAGTCTCAACTGTTTTCAGTATTGTTTCAGCATTATTACTCAGAAGAATAGCAAATCTTGTACATGTAAATGCACAGGTCAATTTGGGGTGGGGGTTCAAATATTTAACAGAATCCAGATACAATAATTGTTCGAACAATGGCATTAAAATACATATGCCAACAACTAACTTTCAATTTATCCTACGGATGGAGTAAGGAATGAATGAAGAACCATTCGTGATTTTAAAAAGTTTTAGTAAGTAGACCTGAAGTTCCAGGCCCGTAGCCAGCAATTTCAGAAGGGGGGGGGTCGTTTTCTGAAAAAGTGGACCTTTTACCATAAAATCCTCAAGTACATAGATAAAATTTTACCCAGAGTGGACCTTTTCCCAGCAAAAAGGGTGGTTCTTTCGAACCCCCCGAACCCCCCCTGGCTACGGGCCTGAGTTCTAATTGAATATTCATGTAGGAGGAATGGGAGAACTGCTGGGTGGTGTTTGATATATAACAGCAGGTGTGGTCTCTGATTTGCTCACCATTCTATTGTTTTAAAAGTTTGAAATGTCATTTTTTTCTCTTTATTTTATTGTTTTATTGATTTTGGGATACTGAAGCATTAAACAATGTTGTGGGAGCGTCTATTCCTTTATGACATAACAAAGTACCTTTAAGTGGCCCAACCCTGCGATAGTACATGTAGTTTAAACCCTACATATAAAATAATGAATACGCACCAGAAGTATGTATCATTATAAACCTCTAAGCACGGAGTAGAGAAAACTTGAAAATGCGATCGAAATAAAAAATGTTCGCAAAACGTTAAAAAGAAAAATGTATAGTGTTGCACTGTGGATTTGTTGCAATGTCCTTTTCCATTAACATCCCCTATTTGGAGCAAATTTAAGAACACTGAAAGATATAGCGTGACAAAACAGGCGTGTGGATTTTCTTAACTGACTTAACATTGGACTACAACTATTTTGGAGGAAAGATAAAAATAATTTTATTAGATATATAAGCACACATCAAACTTTTTACAATTACATGTACTGTTAGATGCAACTGGAAGCTATATTGCACTAGCTGAGCTCGGCCCGTCGCACCAACCACAATGCTGTTATGCTGCTTCCTGCATTAGATTGTAAGTTTTGTAATGTAAACCTACCCTCTACCAGGGCCGCAGTTATTATTGTGGACATTTTTTGCTGAGGCGACCCTGTCACGTTTGGCCAGATGGGAGCAATTAAATCTGCACGCGCGCAGATGGCATTGTACCTGCTCTGCAAGAGCTCAGTGAGAGCTGGGCTTCGCGCCAATGTAATAAGCGCTTGTTACGCAACCTGCCTTGTCTTGTCTGTCTGCTGAGGGGCTGTTTTTATTGTCCAGATGAGCAGTTAACTGTCTTGATTACTGTCAAGGGGACTTGGCAGGGGCTTGCTAAGTGACAGTGCCTGAGTAGCTATTATATGTAAACAATTACAAGCCATGTAATCATCCTTGAGATTTCAGAACAGGGTCACAGTGCAGAAATTAGCCAGCTGTTAAACCAGAGACATATCTGTTAGGGACCGTTCACATGCAAAATCTATTTTCTAAAAATCTGAAAATCTATTTGCGGTATTTTGTGATCACTGTCTGTGCCTTGAATACCCCGCGGCGTAATTACTGGCAGCGCCGAGAATTAATTACAGCTTTGTAAGTAACTGGCTCGCGCTGCCCGTAATTACGCCGTGGGGTATTCGGGGCACAGACCGTGATCACAAGATACCGCAAACAGATTTTTAGATTTTTAGAAAATAGATTTTACATGTGAACGCAGCCTTTTAATTAATATTGAATTTTAATTTAATATTAAAATATCTAGTGAAAAATCAATCTGTGGCCCTGGTAGAGGGTAATGTAAACCAATGGCCCAAATCGGATCGATTGATCCCACTTGACTGAAACTATATTTAGTTTCTATTTATCCCAACTTAACTGTTTTGTTCAAGCAAAATATATATACGTGCCTTGATCTATTTTCTCATCACAAAATGACTTCACATGTATTATTGCTCAGAGGATCATGAAGTTATGCAGGGCTGAAAGATCAACTATTCCAGTTATATGACCATCTTCGTAATAGGCCACTGCGACATGAGAACACCGGCAGCTTTCCTAGATGAGTAAAGGGTTGAATTGAAAATGATCATTACATTGATCTATGTGGTGTTTCAGATCGTTGAATGTTGGCAGACTGTCGATAGTTGCCCCGAAGGCACAGTCTGGTACTCCTTTAAAGGAACTCTAATATAAAAGCACTCCAGTCAAATTTATTTTTAGTGTTAAGTCAATTTCCTTGCAATTGTCTACTAATGGTTCTACATACCCACGTGAGAGTTAAACAACAGGAAACTCCTAAAACTGACAATCTTGACGTGATAATTCTAACGTACATTTCGACGTGTATTGTCCGCTTTATATTTTTTCATGGAATGCATACTCCTCTGACACAACCAAATTCTGGCTTGCTAGCGGAAAGTCCATCGCTGTCTCACAAATAGGGACATCAGGCAAAGTTGACGGACGATCGACAAAATTAAATCCGGTGCAAACCCACGATTCCAAACACTTAGCAGCGCAGTGTATCTTTGACGGCGTGGACCAATGGCTCGTCGTATTCCCTGCGTATCTCGTGTTTCGATGTTTTTGGAATATTGCACCTCTGTCTGTAAATATAGGGTTTAAAGATAATTATCTATCAAACTCAAGTGAAAAAAATTCAACAGTTTTAGAAATGTGGCATTTTTCTGTCCGTATTCAGGTCTCGTGATTTCACAAAGAAATTTTAACAAAATTGCATTAAATTGTTGTAAATTGTCGTAGTTCATTGAAAGTCAATAATGCCAATGGCAGAGTTAGTTTTAAAGAATTTTCCATTATTTTTAAAAGTATTCAGTGGCTATTGAGTTATGTCTTTGACGATCTGTCAGTTCTCAATTTTAGTCCGATGTAGGCCATAGGATTTCTTTACATATACACATAAAGCGAGAGTAGGCATATAAACCTCTGTAAGGTATATAAACCACTTCTACTAATTTTTATACGGATCAAATAAAGTCAATTTGCCAAAGGATAAACCAAATCAGTCACATAGTCAGCAAAAATAGCTTTAATAGTGCACCTTCTTCAAATTTGATCTATTTATCCCTCTGGTCATTGAACACATTGTGCAGTAATTATTTTGATAGCTCATCTCTTCTGCAAGCAAATAATACACTGAAACTTTAGTGCTTTATCATACGAAATATCCAAATATATGATTTTTGGTCTATATTATCGTTTCAGGAGAGTTACAAACACATTGCCGTCACATTACATAAACTGGATCGAATGAAGTGGGGTGATACTATGGACTTAAAGATGACACATGCATTGCTCAGAATTAACTCTAAGAAGTATACATCTGACGGTGACCTGATGCAAAATGCAGACCAGAAAAAGGAGGCTAACCCACAAACGATTGTCTCTGTAGGATTGTTTCAATTATCGATTGTAGATAATTACCATCAATGTCAATCTAACAACTTTGAACACAACACAGAATTCCACTTCAATGTCAGTGCATAATATTTCCGTAACAAAGCTTTACAAAAAATCGATGGAAACCTGTGTATATGAAAGAAAACGAGATGTATAGATTCAGTCGGTTGTGGAAAATAATCTTGATAACAATTAAACTAAACTTTCAAGTTAGTGATATATCGACCGTTTCGTTTCAAACAAATAAAATTCCTAACTTTTGTTAGTTTTGCAGGATGTTGGATCACCGTTAATCTTTGTATGTAAGCACGTGCGCTTGCTGCACTTGTCACTTTTGATGTGACGTGTTATGTTTGGGTTGACAGCTGTCAACGTTCTGTCAACAAATTAACAAATACATGCAATGTTCTGTCTTTCTCTTTGTACTTGACGAGACGTTTTGACGGACTGACAGTGAATAGACGAAGGTGATACGCTAAACTTGTTCAGTTTCACGCTCTGCATTGTGTTCATTAGGAATGTTTTACAGAAAAATTGGGGACCATTCCCAGACCCTATAGCGCTTACTGTGGATCGATCTATCCCCAAGGGGTTTCTCGCTAATTCACTTTCAGCTTAAGCGGCTTAGATGTCTGGCACGCCCACTGAAGCTGTTAGAAGGTAATTAACTATCGTGTAGGCGTGCCAGATATTTAAGCAGAAAGCAATTTAGCGAGAAACCCCTTACAGATGGTTCGATCCTTTTAGATCGATCTAGGTATGGTAACCCAGTTCTTGACTCTGAAATGATAGTTTGTACTATTATGTTGCTATGAAAAGAAATCTGGTCGTTTTACAATGGCTGCATGAGCCAGTCGGTACCAACAAAGATATGATATTAAAGAGAGAATCGACAGATGGAGGCAGTATAATCACTTATGTACGGAAAATATATCAGTTGCCTTGGAAGTAGGCTTTGGACACCATCAATAGTGAAATATCTTTTTACCAGACATACAATCATAAAGCGCACAGTGAGGCTGGGGTGGATATTGTGATTACAGGTCCGGGGTATATATAGTTATACAATACAATCTCAGCATACATACTTGTTAACCGTTGACACCGTAGACTAATGTGGCATCCACGCCCTCCGCAGCCAATAGCTGTACAGGTTTCCCTTTGGTAATCCAAGGTCAAGACGACATTTGTCGCAGTCCACCTGAGAGCATAAGTCACATTGCAAGGCGAAATCAGCCATTTGTATTTGCTCTACGTAAAGACAAAAGTTTTAACCAGAGTAAGATTTACAATGTATATATACGGCCTTTTAACGTTGTTCAAATTTTTTCACTATTGTTGCTTAGTATACTACCAAAAAAGAATTAGGGTACAATTAGAATAACAAATATTTAAAAAGAACGTTTACCGTTCAACAAGTAAAATTGTAAAAATAATAACTGTCGACCATCACTTTATTGAATAATGCATTGCGTTTGGACTTAACTATCAAATATCATAATGCGTAAAGCATAAAAGCAAGGGGGTTAAATATCAAATTCACGGCTCTAACAGTTTTTTTCAGTGTTATATGTGCCTGCCTTTGGAAACCACAAAAGCTTCACATCGCCTCGCCTAAAGCGACGGCCATGAGATACATGTACTACACAGATGAACACGCATTCTCAGGGCTTTAGGTAGAAAACAGAAAAGCTGGTGATTATATACCCTCCACTAGGTCCGCAGTGGTCATTTTTGCTGCTGGGGTCTCAGTACAGAGTTTAACCACCTATTTAACCAGAGGCATTTCTGTGATTACCCCCTAGCAGCTCAAGCCAGGCGTGTGAGACATTTAAGCCGATTGCGGTGATTGGCCTTAGGGAGAACCTCACGCAGAGTTGGGTCGATCTGGCTAGTACGATGGGTTTATCTGAACGCCCCCTTTGTCTTAGACTTGTTAATATTAATTAATAATGGGCATAGTTCAAACTTTTGCATTTTAAATGGCTGGTGTTCCCTAAATTGTTTTGAGTAGTAACAGTAGGCCTATACAGGTGTATTAAAAGCTGTCGCCTGCCATGTTTAGTTAAGCCAGATTTTGCTCTGGACAAAAAATCCTTGACGTATAATGCTTTTATATTAAGTCATAGTTTGATAAAAATACAACATGAAAACTTACGCAGAGTGAACAGAACACGAAACCATGGCAAACATGGGCGGGCATGTGGCGGTAGGTACCATAGCGTAGTCTGTCTCTGGGTCGTACAGTGTGATTAAGTTTGAATTCCCCCTGTCACGTACGCAAGTCGCCTTGGCCTATACACAAAGCAAAACAGAATGAATGAGGTACACTTATTTATCTTTGCTGTTGTTATTGCTGTTTTGTTGATTTTCATAATGTGCTGGTTGATTTGTAGGCCTAAGTAAATGTGTGCGGATTTTTGGAGACTTGCAAGACACGATATTGATCAGACACATTGCTTCCTATTTACGACTTACAAAATTTAGGCAAAACATTTTCCGAATGAAATTTGCCATATCAGCTCTCCCCAGTGTTATTTAAAAAGAAATGCATTTTCACCGTTTGGTTTTCAGACACACGGAGAACAAAAACTGCATTTTACTTTTTTTACTCTATTTTATTCATTCAGAAATCTTTTTAATTTTTTCTATAGTCTATTTCCTTTATAGAAAATGAATGGAAATCTAAAAATTGAAATTACATGTTATCTGACCTGTGAAATGTAGGGATGACCAGCATTATAGGAAACGCAAGTGACGTCATCCTCTATAACTGACCCGTCGCAGTGATACACTCCGACCATGTAACATTCGCACGAACGAATGACGTAACCATCTGGGCACGTGGCAGTGGATGTGGCGTCATCTGCCGGCAGTGAGTGCGCTCCATACACAGTCAAGGAATCTGAAATACGCGCCACAGTGACGATTTTAATAAATTTTCTAAATCTGTTTCTTAATATATATTTAAAAATGTACATGTAAACTGTAATTGTGCTGGATATGTGAAAAAGACATGAATGATTCAGAAGTCCTTATTCTTTAACCGTAAAAAGTCTTTTAGTGTAACTAATCTAACTTTGGCTGCAATAGGGGAATAGGGCAAGTCTTGGTAATAATTAGATCTATGTCAGTAATCAATTTCAATTCTAACGCAAGGAGGAGAAATTTCAAAAAATAATATCTAAATACAAAAACCTATTATAAGAAATTATTGATATGATAAGCTAGTTCAGTATTTTCAAATCACCATCCCATTAAATTCAATTTCAGAGGGCTGTTGCTTAGCTAAGTTACAGATATTGTGCCCGCTTCAGCACGCGTTTACGCAATTCTGTTGTTGGCATTATTTAAGACCAGGCCTGTAGCCAGGGGTGTTCGGCTTTTTTCCTTTTGCCGAGAAAAGGTCCCCCTCCGAGTAAAATTTTCTCTAAGAAGTTGAAGGTTTCATGGTAAAAGGTCCACTTTTTCAGAAAAAGAAACCCCTTTTGAAATTGCTGGCTACGGGTCTGAATACAATCGTTTGAAACCACATTGAAAGGTGACATTTTAAATCAAGTAAGTGCTTTTTAAGATAGGGTTTTAATAAATGTTTCCATCGGTATCCGTGTGGTGTTGTATTCTGTGCGAGAATTGTTCCACGTTTATCATAGTTTTAACTGTTCGTAATACGTTGATAAAAGTAACTGTATCCAACCTCCACTTACCTTCTTCCCCATGCACGCATCCCTTTCTTCCAAAAAACAGGATTATCAGTTGTATGAAAGCAAGGGCAGCTTCGGTTTTCATCATCCCTATTACCGGTAACATGTCGAATGAACAGTATGTAAAATTTACAGAATAAGCTCAACGCTTTCGAATTAAAGCACAACAATACAATCATCGATTTTTCTTTGGTTAATTATTTCCATCGTCTGCTAGGTGATAAATCATGGATGGTTAAGTTATTTAAACCTCGTTGTTTTTTTAGCCAAACGAATTTTATTGCCACTATCTATAATAGAGTAGTACATTCTCAGTGGCAATACAGCTACCGGTAGTATACACAAGTCTATGATGTCGCTGGATCATTAGTACTAGTTGCCGTTGATTCTCAAATGTATTGCGATAATACAATCTTACCTTCATTCTCCTGTTCCAACTGACCGTAGTTTAGAACTTGGACAAATAACACAAATACAGTGTATTCCTTGTCCAAGTTTAGAATGAACCCTCCACAATGCCTTTAGACGTCACACCAAGCGGAAACAATATGGCGATGGCAAAGCACCGCGACAACCAATGAACTTGTCAATCTTCATTTATCATTTATATTGAAAAGGTCTAACATATAGTTCATTATAAAACTGTACAGCTGTATTTGCTGCAAGCTAACATCAACCTTTAACCTTTAACGATTATTTGTCCATCATATACTACAAGTAGTGTCAAAGTAAACATTCCAACTTCATGGTTTGGATAGTTTTCTTCTTTTTCATGCATATATTCATATCTGCACGTCCACGGTACTGGATTACAACAATGGGTTATCATCTTTGAAAGTCTGTCAAAATATCCCTATGTGTTAGATTACAATGGGGTGCTTTCATGTGAAAGGGGATGGATTTGTCTTATTATAAAAAAAAAACAAATTTGTGTTTCCAAACATTGCTCTGTATTTTAAACTTTTTAAATTCTTATCCGAAAATGACGCCAAAACAGTGCTTAAATCTGGGACACAGACATACCAGTCTGTAGGTGTACATTTTGGAAAAGAAAACTCTTAGAATAGTATTGTCACGTTTTTGGTCATCTCAGGGCTCGTTTACAGCACATACACTAGAGAAAAACAAAAATTGCTCTTTGTCGCAAATTTTGATGGGTGAAGAAAACGGGTTGTTGTGCGTTACCATTGTTTCGTCTTCAACATCAGTACAAAGTATTACTGGTAGCGCCGAGAATTAATTACAGCTTTGGCAGTAACTGGCTCGCGCTGCCCGTAATTACGCCGTGGGGTATTCAGGGCACAGACCGTGATCACAAGATGCCGCAAATAGATTTTTAGATTTTTAGAAAATAGATTTTACATGTGAACGCAGCCTTAGCGTAAATAGTGGAGATTTCCACTGATGACGTAATGACCTGGTCAAATGAATAGTAAATGATACTAATTAAATAAGCAATATCCTTTTCCCATTTTTTGGCGTGTAACTCACGATAAACGATTTCATGTTGAAATTTTGATGCCTATGTCCCAATGTTGTTACCCAGTATCGTGGACGTGAAGATATGGGAAAAGCCACCCCCTTATAGCTAACTGTAAAAAGAGAGAGAGAGAGAGAGAAAGAGAGAGAGAGAGAGTTTCATGGGTAGTTTCACCGTGAAGTCGCGCGGTGTCATCTGTTAGTTATTTAGTTAAGAATAATATAGCAGTTTGCACTTAGTTGAAGAATAAACTGTATATGTCTGATTTTCATAATGGTCTCCACTGGAAAAACTACTTTCATACAAATCTGGCACAGTGAACTTGAGAACAAATCCAAATCCGGAGCCTATTGCCAATTTGAAAATACACTTAAAAAAGAAAAGTATCTGGACGTTGTTCACGATGATGAAAAAAGAAAAAGCCTAAGTAATTTTGCACCAGTGTGCATAAAGTCTTACACCCCCGGTCCAACAACATATGCTATAACTGCTCTGAAGACAAAATTGAAAATGAAAAACACTTCCTCACAGTGTGCCCCCTTTACAACGACCTGCGAACCATATTGTACAAGGTATTTGCAAAACATTACACACACTTTGGCCTCAGAACAACTGATGGAAAGTTTGCAATCATTATGAAATCCCGAGAAGAAGAACCCTCATTGCATTAGCTCAGTTTCCCTCCTCTGCTTTTGCCAGGAGGGATCTAGATGACAGTGCTCCACTTATCGGCAATTGAGTGTAGCAGTAATAGAGACTTTGCTATATAAAGACATTTGCCTTTAGTAAGTTAGTAGTCATATACATTGTGATTGGTTAATAGTAATATTTAAAATTGCTTTTATATTGTCATTTTCATCCAACTAATTTTTTGTATATAGGTTTAAGCTTTGTAAGAGTAGCTGCAATCTGAAATAGAGAGGAAGAGTAGGGAATAACAAGAATGATAGAAACATCAAGGACCTGCAAGTTCGCTTCGCATAATTGTGGTGAAGAAATCGTAACAAAAAAATGCTATACCGACATAGGTACCTCTGTAATAAAAAATTAAAAACAAGTAATGGTGACATTTTTAACTGAGTCATTGTTGTTTCATTTTTCGTGGATTGAAAAATGAAGATTCTTCTTGTTAAATTAATTTTTTCGCTACTGTCAGATCTCACCACTACATCTTGTTTTAGAAACATCAACACTGGTCTTGAATCCGCCAGTGATTAAATTCTTTAGTAAGGAATAAAAAGAAAAGCGATATATTAGGACTGAAGTTTGTTTTTATGGAAAAACATAATATAAAGTACTTTATTTGAAATTCATTAAACCTTGTTTAACCAACCCAGGTTATTGATTATGTCTGTACTTCTACTGGAGCGGGAATAAGGAAGAGACTAAAAAAACTCTCCTACATTTACTCCTCCCAACCGGCACCCGGTAATGTTTGAAAAATACGTTTGCTTGCACAAGCTGCCACCACGCCGTAATCTGAGCTTCCACAGAGCTGATCAGTTATCACAGTCTTCAAGATTTTAGGGGGAGGTGGATAAAATAGAGAGGCACCACTAAGTCTGCAAAAGTCTACAGGGTGAAATTGGAAAATTGGGTTAGTAAAACGCCTTTCTAAAGCTTTGCACTATTCTTTGATTTTTGGTAGCCCTATAGATAGCTTGAGTATTTCGCTGGTATCTTAATACGTTTCTCTCGTCTGTCTCTCCGTAAAACGTTCCACGCTAAAAAATCTATAATTGTACGGTAAATTAATACAGGCAATAAACCTACTTTTGTCCAACGCAGTTATCGCCACGATTGTAATAGCTTTATGAATCTGAAACAAAAATATGATGCATGTCAAGATATAAAAGTTATAACCATACCAAGTATTTATATAATTAATGAACTGCGGTCAGACTAATCGCTCTGTCAGTCTTTCTGTTGGTTTGTGTTTCAGATTGGTGCATTGGTGCATTACTGAGATCTTCACTATATTTTCCATAGGACGTAAGAATTAAGAGCAACCCCCGTCTGTGATCGTTCATTCAAGGCAATTGTTGCTTGTACCACTCTAGTAGATTGGCGACTTGTGTGTGTGTCTGTGTCTGTGCGCGTGCGCGCGCGCGCGCCCGCGCTCGTGTGTGTGATTTGGGGGGGGCTCTGCCAAGAGACGACATAACTTTCACAAGAGGGGTAAAGTGCTAGCCTGCTCGTGATGTTGTGGTTAATATTAAACAGAGATGGATTTCTGCATAGTAACATTGATCGGCCCAAGTTGAATTGCTGACGTAAAACACTGAAAACGTATAAAATGGATCTAAAATTGATGCTCTGTTTTTATGGAAACACATCATATAAAGTAATTTATTTGAACTTCGTTTAACCTTGTTTAACCAATCCAGGGTATTGATTGTGTCTATATAATTTACTGGAAAGGAAAATACGTAAAAGTTTTTAGTACAGATCCACAATGATAACTTTATTTCAAAATTCTGAGAGGTGGGGGGGGGGGGGTGCAACTGCCTACACAACTATGTGCGGGAGACAACAAAATTACTGGTATTTTATAAGTTACAAGCATTGATCCTAAGATCACTATTTATTTAAAATTTGTCAAGCAACAATATCCCATAACATATATAAGTCTGCATCCATCAGTGTTGTAGTGACACATAAATTCAGTTTAGTTTTGTCAGCATCCGGAATTTTTCTTAAAAGAAACGGATAATCACAAATATTTTTTATAAATACTCATTTGATCTTGGAGACTTGTGTGTTCATCGAAAAGATATAAAAGTTTGGTAATGAATATGACGGCCATACGAAGGCACATCGAAAGTCATGCGATAAATAGCCTACCATTGACAACTATTTTATGTGTTTACAAAGTCTTCCGTTATTGTGCTGTTTCATGACTTTGAAAATAATTGACGGATGAATAACTTCAGAGCTAAAACATTATTTTCCAGAAAAAAAAAAAAAAAACAAAAACTATTTGACTTGTGAAGTACAAAAATACATGAATATTTAAAACATAAATTTGTTATGTTTTTCTACCGGTAACTACAGCTTAGGTTAGGTGTCGCTGCAATCAATGTAGTCCTGGTGTGTGTCCCACCTAAAGCAATGCGCAAAGTCACAATCGGGGGTAATTTTTCCAACACAACGAGATTAATTATATATTAGAAAAGATCAAAACATTTAACCCTCTTTCTTGTTGGAGGAAACGCCGATCTGTGTGGTCTTTACATCAAAACGTTGTCCATTCATTTTGTAAAAAATTCTTTGGGATCTTTTGCGAAAGTCTTTCATATCAGACGTCTTCGCGTCTTTGTGACCAAGACAAGTTGTTGACTGGGTAATTTAGACCGTATCTAGTGAATAAAGTTGGAATAATGGGACCTGTGTCACGTATACGTAATTGCTTGAGCCCGAAAATTAATCCGAACTTCCAGGCCAAATTTTTAAGTCGATTTGTACTCATTCCCAATGGAATTATCGGTTTACGTAGATCGATGCATCTACGCGGGGACTCTCGCTGAATGCAATCAGATTAAGAGATTAACACGCTCCTTCTAACGTTGAGTAGAATACTCATATAATCTTATATGAGTAACTTGGCGCGATTTAATCTGTTATTCTAGTTGCATACGGCTAAAAACCCTCCGCGGCGTCGGATCGATCTACGTAGACCGATGGTTTCATTGGGAACGATTCCTTTAACCTACGACAAATAGTGTCATTTCAATCACACGAAATGTTATTAGCGATAACAAGAAAACTGCGCTTAATGTTTCAGACCGGTACTTACATTATTAGGGTGGGTTGCTATGGCTCTTGAAATGAAATAGACCAATGTTTCCGGGCTAAAGTGTATTATAATTAGTCAAACCAGCCCTGTTATACACAACGATATCATGATAAACTGTTCCTTCAGTATTTTCTAAAACAGGCAAGAATTTCCCGTGAACTGTTTTCGGCTTCGTTTTACTTCTGTTTTTGGATTATGGAAATTTTTTATTAAAATGATCTTTACAAAATATCATTGAACAGTGTCTATACTGCAGTTTTAACTAATATTTTTTTTATTTCTGTGGGTATGTCAATCAAAGTACAAGTAACCTGCCACTGGCTTAGTGCATTAAAAGGATATCGAACAACAACTCAGTTCTGGGAATGGTGTAAGTCCTAAATATTTCTTTTAAAATCTGTGAGCATTAAAAAAATGCAATCGGACTGATAATATTTGGGTTAGCAGGCTTGCAGTCGGATTGGCAGGCTAGCAGTCGGATCAAAAGACTATCGATCAGATTAGCAGGCTAGCAGTCGGGTTAGCAGGCGAATAAGGATGGAGTTCAGAGTCATTTGGGTAGGTAAACCCTCCCATATACACTCTCCTTCGCTCCAGGCCATAGGTGAAATGGTAGCAACAGAGTAGCTTCCGTGTCAATAGTCCTAGTATTTTTGTTGGTATTAATCATGAAAGTGTCTGTATAGGTAATATTTGGTCTGCCTAGATTAGCCTCCCTACCTGGCGGTGCCCAAAACTTAAAGATAAGCTTGATTGATTTAGTGTTCGGACAGGGTGTATGGCAAAATTCAGTCTTCTTTTCCTTATTACGGATGATAGAGGTGGTAGGGGTCTGCTTATCTCTGTGTTTGGAATGCAGTGTTTCCCGCTAATATTCCTATAACCTTCAAAGCGGTTGCCTGTAACAAACGTCTATACTGCTTTTCAACTTCATAGTTCCTAGGTGTGAGTTTTTGAGCCGTACAGAAAAATGCTCTTTACTATGACAATGCTATAACGAGTACCTTGGAAATTATAGTGCCATGTGCAGAATATGACATTTTATAACGCACTTCACGCACTTTATTTACCCCTCCCCCCCCCCCCTAAAAAAGTTCAACATAAGCCTTGGTGTTGCTGGCAGGTCAACCAGGTGTGTTATTTGTACAATGCACTTTCACGCCAACTTCATCGGTAATGCATTTACTGAAGCTCCCAGAAATCATAATCAACACTGCTTTGCAATGCAGAGGTATTGAAAGGGCCAGAGAGTATTTCGCACGTGTATGCTGTTCCGTTGTTGAAAGCGCGTCCTCTGCTGACGTTAAACCCCGCGCACTGTGCCGTCTTGAGACATGCGCGTGCGCAGTTCATGGCGGTCAACACAGTTTTTGTATCCAACAAGTCATCAGGATGGTGTGACAGGAGAACACGACGGTAGTAGGCTCGGCGATCTGAATATATAAAAAGGATCTTTGATTATCGTGGAAAATGACTACGCCACTTCACAATTAAACGCATTTTCATGACAACGCAATCGTGTAATATGAGAACGTGTCCCTGTGAATGAGTATTTCTAAAGCACTTTTTGGCTTCTTATAGATGTACGGTACAGTGAAAGGAACTTTGTTTGTCGCTTTGTGTGTCAGCACACTGACTGATATACTTTTGAATGCTTTACGCACCAGCCTCCGAACTGATCTATTTTAATAATCAGAAATAGGAACTTGAATACATGTAGCATGTTTTAGCCAGAATGAACTCCATCGTTACTTGATTGGTGGATCCACTGCTTTGGGCAAAATACTACTTGAATTCACACCCTCTGTCCAAGAAGTTGTACTCTTTACAACTTCTTGCTCAACTTCTTGCTCTGTCACACCCTTTATTGCCTAGCACTTATTATGTGTCTCTCTACTATGTAAATATCTTTCTTAAACTTAATCACGATATACACTAGTTTTGTTTTCTCACGCTTCAAAAGGAAAATCATGGTTTAATTTCTTTTATTGAATGTTAACACGTCACATGGTACGTAGCAGGAATGCAAATCTATGAGAAGATAATAATCACCAGTTATACAGAGTCATCCGATGTATATAGTTTATTACCTTCGTTTTAATATTGCCTAAATTAATGCATTTGAGTTTTACTGCCGTTGTTATAGAATGTATTAGGTCATAGTCATTATATCAAATTCACTTGCATCGAAATGGATAATAAAAATAAATATGAAAAGAGCAACTGGAAAATAAAGAGGTGGGTCATGTAAGTCGCCTCGCAAAATAAACGTTGATACATTTGATACCTTAATTTTGTCTATTAATTACGCACAACTGCCATGAAAATTGTAAAAGAAGAAAAATAAATACAAAACAAAACAAATGTTCGAAAATACGTTAATATAATCTCATTCGTCGGCTACTTTACCGGAACTGAAAGCTCCTACGACGCAGAAGGAAAGGAATGGCAAAACTAGTACTGATCGGCCGTCCATTGTGTGAGATAACATGAAAACCTTTCCTGTGTACGTATTCTTAGCAAATCCGGCACTGGGTAGATTTTGTATACCGTGAACATGACCGTGGGGTTGGGGTGATTAAGTATCCTACTGAGACGATCAATTAACAAAACCGTTAGTGATTATATATTCCTTTAGCATCAATTTCCTTCAGATAAGGCATAGAATTGCTAACGCAATAAACTCTGTTTCGAGCTGTGATGCGTCTTTAATAATAGACCCATCTGTGCTTTTTGTTGCAGTCAGCACCTACGTTCCCACGGCAAGTGAAAAAAACCCGGCTGTATGTTTAATCAATTTCGACTTAGATAAAAACTGTATATATTTCCAAATATAAGACATTCGATGTTCTCATATGTCTAAGCTTCAGGTTTGAGGGTGTTAACGGAACTATAGTTACGGTAGATACTCCAGTGACATTTTTTTGTATTGATTTTGCCAATACATTGGTCTTTAAATGTAAGATAAATACACACATTCTTCGGCTCAGAAATATATACATGTATCTAACGAACGGCAAAGTCCCTGTGGATTTCTTTTTGATGTTTTCTCTTGCTTGCCATGCTTAATTTATGTGCATTGTTAAAATAACACAAAAGTAACTTATCTTGGTTCAAGTTTATTTGCCATTGGCGGCCAAGTCGGAGAAAGCTGGTCACCAGCCAGATGTGAAAGATGCCGGATTCAAATACATTAATATTAAAATAGGCGTTCTGAGTAATATGTTGAAATTTCATCTTTCCATCACACCATCTGTATATAAGTGGCCTCTATTTAATCTCTTACATTCGAATGATTAGCATCCATGATTTAAGTTTGAAATATGTCATTATTATTCAAATTTTGTGATGAGCATTTGAACGTTCATATGCCCTCCCCCAAAAAATGCTAAACATAAAAATTCACATGAAGTTGATAAATGAGTATCCAGTAGACGTGTCAGGTCAGAAATAACCAGTAAATTTGTGAATGATATTCGAAAATCGGCCCTGTCCCTTGGTTTTTCTCATCTTCCCCAAAACATCTCCTTTCTCCTGTCTGCTGTGCCCAAATTATTTCGTCAAAAAAGCAAGAAAATGAGTTCACATGTGAAATACATGCAATTGTATTTGTGTAACTACAACCCAGCTATTATTGTACGTCTAATTACGGTAACTGCTTAAATGCATTACATAAATCTGTTTCATTGTATTTCTGCTGCGACGTATCTTTTTGCAAACTCTGGAAGTAATAATGTTACCGCGACGTACGGGCTTATTATAAATATAATGACTATATACTGACATTTGTTTAACAGAAATTCATGCCCTTAAACGGTTATGATGACATGTGTCTAATGATATCTTCTTCCCTCTTGTTTTGGATGAAGATGAAGGATGCCATCTGATGAATACGCCAATGTCGTTTGTACCAGGTTTTTGAATGTATCTACTATATAACTTGCTGTTGGGGATATGCTGTGACAACATGGAGAGTTCATATCGTACTCTGCAAAGTCATATGCGAGATCAATTAATATGAATGCTTTTTAAATCAGTCGTGTTACATCCATGGTATTGTCCTAGTAAGTGATACCAATAAAAAGAAAATCAGTTGACTAGTTTTTTAGCTTCACCGCTTTACAGCAGCGTCCAGAATTCTGCGTATCTCAGAGGTCACCGCCAAGTCCATGGGAGACTGTCCTTTAAAGCCGGCTGCTAAAACATCGGCACCAGCCTTAACAAGCTGCTTCGTGACCCCAGTGCGTTTGGCGTAAACAGCCACGTGAAGGGGTGTCGTCATGTCGACGTCACCTTTGTTGACGTCAGCGCCATTGGAAAGTAGAGCGGAGACTGCATCGGTGTCCCCTAACTGAGACGCTATGTGAAGCGGGGTCCAGCCAGCGACATCTTGGCTGTTCGGGTCAGCGTCATTTTCCAAGAGAAGTTCCAACATTAGAATATCATGCCTCTCTATGGCGTGGTGAAGGGGCGTTTTTTGGTCTGAGTCTTTGCAGTTCACGTCTGCACCATATGATATTAAGATTTCTGTGATGGTTGACTTTTCGTAGATCACGGAAAGCAGCAAACTGGTGTCTCCTTTTGCACTGCAAACATCGCTGTCAGCACCTTCCTCAAGCAGCGTCTTTACCGAATCTTCTTGACCCATAATGGTCGCTATATGGAGAGCGCTATACCCGTTCTTCCCAATGACGTTCATGTCAGTTTGTTTAGAGTGCAGAAACCTTATCATATCAGTTTGGCCGTTTTGTGCCGCAAGATACAAACTTGTTATGCCAGTAAAAGACTGAGCGTCAACATCAGCCCCGGCAGCGACGAATAACTTAGCCAGAGTAATATCCCCACTGGCTGAGGCGAGGTGGAGAGCACCGAACCCTTTATCATCGTGTCCGGAGACCTTGGCACCGTTCTCTAGGAGAAAGTTGACGACTCTAGTGTGGCGTGACGACGTGGCCGCCATGAGTGGTGTACAGCCGTTGGATGCCGGCGAGTTGATGTCGGCGCCCTTTGAAAGAAGCAACTTGATGATATCGAGGTGACCGTTGAGAGCGGCGGCGAAGAGAGGAGTGCGAGACTTGGTTGTTTCTGCAATGTTCAAGTCGGCGCCTAGTTCCAGCAAGTCGCTGACAGCCACCACGTGACCATTTTGGGCTGCAAGATACAGAGCCGTTACCCCCGCCTTGCCTTGTTTATTTATGTTATCGCTTGCGGCATCCACCAGAAGTTCTATTAAATTTGCGTGCCCGTTGCTGGCAGCTACGTGTAAGTGCGTCCATTCTTCTTTATCCGATAACTGCAAGTTAGCCCCGGCGGCGATGAGGAGTTTCACGGCTTCTTCTTGTCCCTTGGAAGCCGCGTCAAACAAGGGCGTGGCACCGGCATTGTCTTGCTGGTCGATACAAGCGCCTGATTTGATGAGCTTCCGCAGCGTTTGCTCACGCCCTTTAGATGCAGCGACGTGAAGAGGGGTTGACCCATCCGGTTTAGCTAACGTGACGTCAGCTTTGTTCTCTAGAAGGATCTCTACGATTTCATCGAATCCATTTTCCACAGCTTGGAAAAGAGCTGTCACACCGGTTGACGGGACTTGGTTTACCTGCGCACCTGCCTCAACAAGGATGGACACAACGTCCCTGTATCCGCCGTCCACTGCCCCGTGGAGTGCCGTAAAGCCCTGTTTGTTGTGGCGATTTATGTCGCAGTCACCATGCTTTATTAATGCCTCTACAACTTTCTCACACCCTATGCTTGCTGCCAAAATCAGCGGCGTGTTTCCGTCCTCGTCTGGCTGATTGATATCGATATCCTTGCCGTTCTCCAGTAACACCTTGCATATTTCTACTTCTGAATGTGCGGCCGCTTGTTGCAGAGCAGTAAACCCGTGTTTGTAGGAACAGTTTGGATTGCATTTGCAATCCAGTAACATCTTAACGATTTCTATGTTGCCGTTTTCAACCGCCGTTATCAGAGCTGTCGCGCCGTCCAAGTCTCGTAATTCCACGTCCACTTCGGTGTAATTCTTTAAAAGAAAGTGTACGACGGCGTCATGGTTTCCCTTGACAGCTGCGTGAAGAGCCGTTTCTCCGTTCAAATCCATGCAGTTAACAGGAATTCCGGCATCGAAGAACAATTTTAAGGTGTCTGTAGCACAGTTTAACGCCGCGTTCGCCATCAGAGACCCCTGCCCCTCCGACTGTTCAAACCGGGTACACAAATCTAGAGCTGCTTTTTCGTGTGTCTTTAATAAGTCCTTGATCTTCTCGTGGTTATGTGACTTGCAAGCAGATCGAAGGCTACTATAGACTTCCTTATATTCCACCAATCGGTTTTGTTTTTCCACCGATTTCCGTCTAGGCGGGGCGACAGGGTCCTGGTTTGTTCTGGGAGTAGAGCTGCCACTGGTGCTGCCACTGGTGCTGCTACTAGTGCTGCTTTTCTTTCGACTCCGAGGCGGAGCTACGGGCGTTGAATGCTTCTGAACTGCCGCATACATCGCGGCCGTCTCATCCATGGTTTCAAAAAAGTTTATGTCACTTTTGAAATTGCTAGGTAAGTAAGAACAGGGTCAAAATGAATAAAGTCTGTCCTGTGTCAGCTGACTTGTGCCATAGTTCAGGCAGAGCGTCTCTTTTCCACTAACTGTGAATGGTATCACAGTGCACTACGTATGCACTCATTAACTTAAGTAACGGCGCACGTTAACTAGACGATGGAATAATCTCTTCCACTGCCAAATATACCTTTAATTAAACCGTATCCTTGTATATACTTGACCCAACAATAGTCAGAACTTGCTCAGTCAGCTATGGTTTAATCGAATAAACAGCAGCTGTCCAGTTGCTGTTGGTGCAAACGAAACAGGAGCTTGAGTGCAAATAACCTCACTGTCTCTCCTTCACTCACTTTCCACTCCACTGTACTAAGAGGTGATCGTCACAGCGGGTAGTGTTGTCAAGGTGTTGGGCCTGGGTTCCACACAGTATGCGGAGAGGGCGCATACATCACCGGGCGCTCACTCACCTGCAATTAGAAGGGAACCCAACCTGATAAGACTCCGCCAAGGTGTTAGAAAACAGCTGTATCAGAAACCGCGATCTTTGTCGAAAGTAATTGAGGCATTTTATCATGTCGGCTTCCTCTGGAGAAATATCGCTTTCTCGATAAAGCAGAGAAATTTTATTGAATACACGCATGAGGGTTGGTCCTTCGGTGGATTTTAATAGAATAGGCGGATAGTTAGTGATATCAAACAACTTTTATTGTTTCCTACTTGTCCATTTGCGTAATAAGCGTGGTTGTTTATGGTCACACGGAGACCTCATTAGAATTGAAGACAATATTCGAAGCATAAATCCACTGAAGAATAAAAGAGCATGTCATCTTATTTGAATAATCTGAATACCCATTGCAGGTAAATAATGGAAGCCCTAGGATCCCCGATTAACGTTGCCAAGTCAGGTCATTTATGCAATCTTTTTCTACGTTTTAGGTTAATGCGATTTTAATCCTTAGTTTAGAACGTTACATATGTGTGTTTCTCGTTTCTAGGCCTTTCGCTACTAAGTATTCAATAAAATGGGTATCTTGCTATTGTTATTAACAATTCCTGTAAAATACGCAGAACATTCCGTCGTAAAAAAGGTGTCACACTTCTTGAATTGTGAAATTATGATCACATTTCACGGATACAGAGGCACAAGCGTGAGTGTGTATGTGAGGGGGGTGAGGGTTATACCTGTAATATTTGGATAGCGATTCAGTTGAAATTGTCTAACTATTGCCCCTACATATGTATACACTTGTAGCTAGGAAGTGCCACAATCAAAATATGTAATGGATAATGATTACTGCTGCCTTTCACAGTTCACAGTTTGTAAGACTTAGTGCTTCAAGTTAACGGCGTAACTGTATTAATAGTAACATTTCATTACCCTTATTGTGGACTATAGCTAGTGTCAAACGCCCTCGGTAACCCCTCCCCAACGCATATGATTATTTCAGTTTTGGCGTCATGATTTGAACGATATCATCATTAGTACAGCAATTAGAATTATCATCGTTATCAACAGTTATTCCTGTGAGTGCAGACATCAAGATATATCCGAGTCATATCTACCTAAAGCTGCTATAAGCTGTGTGGAGGGTCATGATTTGCAAGCATCAAACAACGTTGACGTGGAAAAGGGTAATTAACGAGTGAAAGATTTAGTGTTAGTGTGATATTCATATTTCACATTAAAATATTGTTAACAACCCAAAGAAATATATTAAATTTCAATATAATTATGTATGATAATAAATAATCACGATATTTTTGAACAGTTATCCCTTAAAGCTATCAAGTTTATACCTCCTTGTGAAGACATAACGATAACTGGGATGTAAGAAGGGGGAGGATGGCTAGAGGGAATTCCTCCCCAAAACCCCGTCGCTAATTTTTCTACTTTTCCGAACAAGTAGACCTTCAAATTTGCCTACTACGTGGCTGGTGTGCAATCGATTCGATATGACTTTGGATCGAGAACGTCTCAACCTGGCTCTTACGAAATACGTTTTCTGCTCTTGCCGAATACTTGAGGCGCGGGAGAGGGTGCATCAGAAATGAAACGTGGGCGTCATGTCAGAGTCAACATGATTTTACCCATGACAAAGATAATAATTATAATTATATCTTGTATCGCATATTCTGTTAGATTCAGTTACATATTGTTGCTTATTCTTGAAAACGTATACTTTACAAAGGAAAGGGCTTCCCGAGCAATTGTCATTTCAAATGCACGGACAAAAAAAAAAAAAAAAAAAAAAAAANGTCTCAACCTGGCTCTTACGAAATACGTTTTCTGCGCTTGCCGAATACTTGAGGCGCGGGAGAGGGTGCATCAGAAATGAAACGTGGGTGTCATGTCAGAGTCAACATGATTTTACCCATGACAAAGATAATAATTATAATTATATCTTGTATCGCATATTCTGTTAGATTCAGTTATATATTGTTGCTTATTCTTGAAAACGTATATTTTACAAAGGAAGAGCTTCGGGAGCAACTGTCATTTAAAACGAAAAAAAAAAAAAAAACGCAAATGAAAAGTTCTTATTAGAACAGTGATAGGACCCCCAGTTGTCGCGTACACTAAACATGTTTAAAAACACTGTAGGTAAGATGACTGGGGAACCGGAATTTCATAAGATAGGCCATGCGTGCAATGCAACCAGGCGGAATTTTTATCTTCCTATTTTATTGCTGTAATACCATATGGTCTGCTGGTTTAGCGTGTAGTTTTATACGTTCTGTTGACAGATAAGAGATATGCCTTTAATGATTTGTGCGCAAATTTCACCTTTGCAATAAATGTCTTTGATATTTTTGCAATACAGTTTTAAAACTATAAAAACTTGATATCGCATTGTAAAAAAGTTTGACAAGGTTTTGACACCCCATCTCCATCCTGATAATACAGGTGTATTTTTGAAATAATAAATGGAGCATATTTGACAGGACACGCGCATGTACGACGTGTAACCTCCCAAGTACTGTGAATATTGAAATACATTTTTCGGATATGCTAATATTCCCAAATTTTATAAAAATAAGTAATTATATATATATATATATATATATATATATATATATAAGAGGCAAAAGAATGGACATAATTCTAGGAAACGGACGTAAATAAATCAGCCCAGGGAATGACTAAATCTATAAAACTTGCCATATACGATCCAAAACTCCAATATATTGTGAACACGCCACTGCTAAATCATGGACAGTCCAAACGAACAGTAACTGCAGCGATACAAAGTAAATTGGATACCTGCCGAATACACGGTTGGTCGAATGCTATTCCTTTGGTTCACACAGCCATGCACGCTACTAGCTTTGCGTTCCTTACTGCCATGTGATGTCTCCGACGTTCAATATAATATACATTGCTTGTGCGTGCACATTAATACCTTGAAAGAGTGCGTGCGATCAAAAGTGATCCCTCAGTTCCTCGTTATTTAAGACTAAAAATACTGTGACTGCGCGTCACTTTTTGCATTAGTTTCTCGCATCCATGACCTCCGCCACGTTGTGGATGGTCGCCTGTGTCATTCAGGGAATACTGGATGAGTTATGGGGAGCCCTAAGCTGCTTATTAAGACATTTTAAAATAAAAATTGATCAAAGGAATCCTAGATATATTTTCATCAAACAAGTATTTGAAAGTCAATAAAATACATGCGGTCTAGCGTAGATATTGCTACAGCATTTTATTAGGAGGTAAGGCTCAACTCGCTTGGTCACTGTTTCAGAATTTCAAATGCGTAAAAAAAGAAAATGTATTTTTGGATATTGAAGTATTGTTGAGGCGAAGAGTTCAAGGTCGAGCCTGGACTGGTTTAGGTGAACATGACGTCAGGCAAAGTGACACTATTACTTAAACCTCCATATACAATTTACTTTTGATAGAAAAAAACTGCGTGTAACTCTGCAGTAGTTACAGCCCTTTTAACAGCCCTCTTAAATGAGCTCTCATTCTTAAATAAGCTCAAATTACTGCAATATTACATGTAATTCCGATATCGGGCGATATTATTTTTATGATCACGATTGTTTGCAGGGAATCCTTGCCAATGTAACATAGAAGGATGCACCAACTTGCTTCTGAATACATCAATATACTAGCAGCAATTTTTTCTTTCACGCTGCCATTTGTAACCCAATGTCATTGACGTAAGAATGGTAGTTGGTTTACGTATACCCACGAACGTGTACTTGCGACAACATGCAGGTTACCCGTCGCTTACATTGAATGAACAAATGTTAGAACAACATATGTATTCTAATATTTTGTCCCTCTACTATTTTAAGTAAACTTTCTTGCTGTGCGTGTGTGTGTGTGTGTGTGTGTGTGTGTGTAAGAGAGAGAGAGAGAGAGAGAGAGAGAGAGAGAAAGAGAGAAACCAAGAGGAAGAAATGAAATTTGAGCACAGTTACGAGAACACGTGACTCTTTAACTTGTCAGTTTCTTTTGTCTATAAAATCACGCCCAAGTCAACTCGTCCGACCTTTTGAATTATCTCGTTTCTAGATTAATAGTCTATAATGATTCAGGACCTACGAATAAATGTAACAGGTGCCCGAGCACTCCACCCAAATTGAGATCTACCTTCAAGATATGTAAATTGTGGCTAGCTTTTTAACACGCTGACAGGACGCGGTACTTTTCGCACATTCTTTAAGCACGAGCGTCTTATGTCGTGGTAATACACTAAGTCTTTTCGGGTCGTTTCTTGTCAAAAGAGGTGTTCCTACGTGTAAAATAGCATTTCCTGTTTCTTAAGATCTATACATAGTGTCCTTTTTGCTAATGAATTTTCCTTCAGATGTAACAAAGATGATCACAACGATTGGCCGTGAATTTCGTTAAAAAGAATCTTTATGATATAACATTGCGTAATTTTAACTAATAAACATTATTTAATGTCTAACACCATTTTTTACTAGTGGGACCTTTCAATAAAAGCGTCCGCTACCGGCCAAATTCCGAACACTATATTTGTGTTCGTCCTCTAATTATCCTTTCGCTTGGACAAGACAAAGGATCTTTAAGATGTGCATATGAGCTTTGCATTCGTGGGGTCAGTTCAAATGAGAAAAATAAATATCATTAAAAAAAAAAAAACATTTGTTCTCCATGACGATATTAATTGTGAAAGATAACAATTCCCTGCATCCATTTAACACTGTTGCAAATTTGCGCATGTTTCTGTATCTCTGTAATAATTCTGTATGTACCGGGGTAGTGTGTGTGTGTGTGTGTGTGTGTGTGTGTGTGTGTGTGTGAGAGAGAGAGAGAGAGAGAGAGAGAGTGTGTGTGTGTGTGTGTGTGTGTGTGAAAGGGGGGGTGATACGCACTGGGTAGTAGCGCAAGCAATACAGATACATACAGTACACGTCGTCAAGACGACTACGTCGATATTGTGTGAATATCACCTGCTGTGGAGTGAATAAATGCACATTTTATTACATATAATAAGCGTATACTTTAGTTATCCTTAACGGCGTGCAGGGCAGTCAGTCCTGATCTCAATATAAGTGGGAGGTGGTCTAGATTAAATCATACACTGTGTCTATATATTCTTCAATGTTGTGACAGGAATGGTAGGAATGGAATCCTGCCGCCCTATCCGAAGGACGATTCTATTGTCAGTCGTTCCGTTACGGATATTGATCCCACTAATCAACACGATGTGTGTGTGTGTGTGTGTGTGTGTGTGTCTGTGAGCTTGTGAGTATGTGAAATACTTGAGACATTCCCTTTTTTTGCCATCCAACTTCACGAGCGATGCTCTAGACCCGGCGTCTCGAGGTTTTCTACGGAGGTGGACTGAATCAGTTGTCACATTAACGCCCCCTACCAATCAGACCGACCAGAATGACGGATGAAGATCAATTATGGATCCAGGCTGGCAGCACCCACACACACCATGTTGCAGAGACAATCTTTGGCAAAATTGTATTAGGTGAGTGTTTAAGCATTATTGAATTATTTTTCTAGTGATGTAATTATATATGCATGTACCCTCACCCAGCTTTTGGTCAGGTATGGGGGCTAGAATCAAACTTTGTTTTTCAATATGGGGTGGGGGACACGTCCCTCCAACATCCTCATGTAACTTATTATTATTATGATTATTTACTTAGAATGTACTAGCATTGCAATGCTCCCAGTTTAACACGACTGATATTTTAAACTACGCAGTCAAACATCAAGAATACCTATTTATTTTAAAATTGAATAAATTAGTTCAGTTTAATTTAATTTAATTGAGTTAAAATTGTCATTTAAAGACAACTAAGTTAAAGATATAAGAACCAATCTTTAACCTCGTTAAAATTTGTGATTCAACAATTGCCTACTGTGAAAATTAGCTCCACTGAAGGGTGCGTCACTCATCGTATAATAAAATAACTTATTAAAAAGTGACATAAAAAGCATTATTGTAAAAAATGCATTCGGTCAGGTCTAGTGTCCTTGAATGTACACAAAGATTAAATTGTACATGTATTTTTACACGGTGCAAAAAATAAAGTACATGTCAGACCAAAGAATCTAGTGTTTGAGACATCTTTTTATCACATTGATTTAAAAATTATCCTCATTTGTCATGGAACTCATGCTGCCTCGGATGTTTTAGCTTTCATCTGCTTCACGTCCTCAAGAAGCTGCTTTTTATCTACCTAAAACAAAAAAAAAACAAACATTTTTTAAGTTGAAAGATTGTTCCAACTCCCCCGGAACTCTCGCTGAATGCAAGAAAGAATGCAAGAATGAGTGAATCCTCTTCGAGCAGCACGCGAAATTTAATCACCCACTAACTGCACAAGGAGGCGTTCCATACTGTTAATCTGTTTGCATTCAGCAAGAGTCCCCGATGAGAGGTGAAACTGCGTTAGCTTATGGACGAAATATACATTCGTCCATGGTTAGGAACAGTGGTTGTTTAAAAATACTGCTTGTCTCTAAGCTACAGAGTCTATGGGAGCCAGCTTCTTAATTTTCAAACCCTCATGTGGGCATGTTTATCATATTTGAAGATTATTTATAAGAATATGATGCACCAGGCACAGATGGTCATCCGGTTATCCGGATTCCTTGGCAAGGTATGTGACGTAGATAAGCCTAGATTACATTTGCCACGGGCACCGTACGATGAAATTGTAAAGGATTTTCCATACGTTTTTTTTTTCACATCGTAAGAGGCTACAGGCTACGAGTATGTTTATAAAAGGCCTACATGCCGTGTCATTTCTTCGACATGACCTTCAAGGTCATGATCAGGTGCGGAAAATTCGGTTTATCGGTTAAACAGTGATCACATCGAGCCAGTAGTAGACACGAGAAACAAATGTGGCTGGTGAAGTCAGCTTCAATCAGATACATGTAACACTGAATTTCAATTTTGCCGGAAGCGAGTATGAATGGATATTCATAAACTTCGCATCTAGCCAGCGTTCGATCTGAAACCTGGCCCTGGTTTTACAAAAAAAAAAAAAAAAAAAAAAAAAAAAAAAAAAAATATATATATATATATATATATATATATATATATCTTAAATCAGTTTCCTGACTTAGTTGACTAGGATTTCCATAAGAGTGCTGTAATACTGTTTCTTAATAGGATAAGGTGTGTGCACGGCACCGTGTAACGTTGGTAACCAAATTCTTAATCAGGGAAGCTGACTTAATTTTTTTTGTGAAACAGGACCCTGGGCTACTTACCTTGTGCCTTGGGCCAATTTTTATGAATTTGTCAAAGATATAAAACTCATCCGGTACATAATATTCTAGAAGCTGAAACAAACAAAGAAAAAAGTTCTCACACATTATATGTCTCGGGGAACTAATTAAAATTGACCAATTATAGCTAAAATTCATTTACGTGAGAGTGAAGTTTGTTGATAATTATCCATATATTTGAGGTCGTGTATGTAACAATTTCGTCTGTGGTCAGCATTTATATGTTCACTTTCCATATAAAATTTGCACAATGATCTTAAATTGTACCAAAGCCTGAACAAATTGAGATAATAATTCGTAAAGTTAATGCAAAACTTACTTCCTTTTTACAGTAGTCGTAAAGTTCGTCAGTTGTCAAAGTTGTCCCCGGTTCCAAGCTAAAACAAACAAAAAAATGATCATGCAAGGCCTTAAACTGAATTAATATTTAGGGAATTACATCAGCGACATACAACTGTTACAGCAGCCACATCACGTGGTATATCAATTTCAATGCTCCAATTGGAAATGTTCCAGTGTGAGATCATTTAAAGGTGGTGTTCCCGTGAACTTTAAATCATATTTAAGTGTCACCGTGTCACTGTTTTTATTCCATTCTCAGACAGTTCCTAAATATATTTTCAATGTAACTAGAGCAATTACAGGCCTACCCAACTACCAGACTCGGCACCGAATGATCCTGAATTCACCGGTAGATCGGACCACACTGCCCGTTTTCAAGGTGTGTGTCAGTACGCACTTGGAGGTATCAGACGCGACACAGCTCTTGTCTAGTACGCGATGTTATAGTGATGATTCTCAGCGGAGTTGGAAAGTAGTGCATCTTATCTCAAAATTTGTTCCGGGGTATGATACTGTGCAATGTGTAGTGACACACACACCTTGAAAACTGGTAGTGTGGTCAGATCTGCCTGTAAATTTGGGATCATTCGGTGCCGAGTCTGGTAGTTGGGCAGCCCTGAATTATAACAAGTCAAAATAGAAGAGACATACAGGCAACAATGTTACATACACCAAAGACACTTTAAGATGTATCATAACTGAAATGTAATGAGATTGACTTACATCACACAAAGAATGATGGTGTCACCAAATGCACCATTTGGGAGTCCGACAACCTGCAAAAAACAATACTGGACTCATACTGAACTGAACTACATGTAAAGTGATATTTCTTTTCGATACCGATTTTTTATATAAAGCCGCATAGAGAATAGTTAAATGTATGTAATCTGTACATGCACAATATCCATGTACATATTCTACAAAATAAATATATAAATAAGAAATGTAATGATATGAAAAACATAAAACAAAATCGAATTTTATTTGATCTGTCAGATTATGTAAAGTTGGAGAATTGCTTGGTGAGTAAAAAATAATTAATATCTCCAAAAGAGGAAAAAACTTACCGCGGCCTCTTTGACTTTAGGGTGTTTCATGGCGGTTTCCTCAATGGGCTGAGGATACACTTTGTCGGAATAGTGGTTGTACATCATGGTTTGAGATTTGCGCCCCATAAAGTATATGAACCCCTGCTCGTCCATTTTGCCCATGTCACTAAATTAAACATTGACTTCTTAATTTATATATGCAGTCTTTTCGCTATTTTAGATGTAAAGCCGGCGGGAGATAAAGATAATAGAATGTTTGGACAGGAATATTTTACATGTACACATGTACTACGTACTAGTACAATAATACGTGTATAAATTCATATTTACCTGTATACATGTGTGTGTCTAAGATTGTCGATCTACGGTTTATTCGGCTGCATTCAGACCAGATGGTCCGCCAACTTATTAATCTGCGGACTAAATATGGCCGACCCCACTTAAAAGTAACGCCGCCTAACCCTTTAATGGTCGCCCCGCCTCCAAACGGATTAAATTGCGGCTTCGAGGTTTAATTGCTAGGCCCCTACAGGGGAGGCACGTGTGGAGCCGGGGGGCTTCAGGGAATAAGGCGATTTGCTTTTAATATTTAGTCCGCGGATCGGCTAGCCCGCGGATAATCTGTTGTGAATGCTAGTAACTAGTCCGCAGATTATATATGGCGACCCACTTAAAGGTTTGCCATCCAACCCCTAATACATACTGAACAGATTCTCCGCGGGTATTACTCAAGAAGTATTTAAGTGGGTCGGCCATATTTGGTCCGGGGACTAGTTAGTCCGCTGTCGTGAATGAGTGCACTCAGAAGAAGTTAGTGTGTGTGTGTGTGTGTGTGTGTGTGTGTGTGAGAGAGAGAGAGAGAGAGAGAGAGAGATATTGAGTTAGAGGGGCAAGGAAGCGATTCATATCAGTTCAAACTGCACTCGTGTACCTGAACAAACCCACTCACCCTGTCTTATACCAGCCACTTGGTGTTTTTGCCTTTTTTGTCTGCTCTTCATCGTCATATCGAAGCAGCACGGCAAAGCTACGGACGTAAATTTCACCAACTGTCCCAATTGGAACAATATTCTCATTGGTTTCATCCACTATTTTCACCTATATATAAAAAATAATAATAAAACTATTACGAGTTTTAAATCCGCGCTACACATACGCCTCAGCATTGTTTACAAACATTATCACATGTAAAATCAAAAGATTTAACTTAAAACTATAATAAGAAAATATATCCTGATATATATATCCTGATATATATATATATATATATATATATATATATATATCAACTAAAACATACCATAAATAAAGAGTTTTTTTTAATGTAGAAGATAATTGCTAACGGTGTATCAGGTATGGAATTTGGCACCACCAATAGATGTGAACAGTATTGACATCTGTGATCTCATGAACAGTTTGGATAGTTATGTTAATTCCTCTTGAAAAAAGTCCAATAAATACTGATATGGTGATATTACGAGCATGACACAGCAACATGTTTTTTTTTTTATCCTGTTTGCATTTCATATTTTAAGGTTCGAAGTAAATAACTTACCCCCAGTACAAGTACATTTTCATTTGTTTAGATGACACGAACTGTAAACAAAATGCAATTAAGGGAGTTTTGTATTGGAAAATCACACAATCATTGACACCTGTGTAATATAAAAGGTTACATATAACAAGATCTACCTCCGTATGGCCAATGGGAAATCCCATGGATCCAAATCTATGGCTGGGGTTAGAGTCACGAGGGTAAGTCATTGAAACGTAATACACTTCTGACAGGCCCAAACCATTCTGGAACGTAACAAGAAATACAGTTAACTAAAATTAACAGAAAAATAAGATTAGCATATATACACAGCATATGTACATACACTGGTTCCAGTTGTCTTAAAAGAAAACAGTCTACTTATCTATACTTTGCTTGACCATCGCCAGGGGCGGATTGAGGCCGTCTTCTGGGTCTTCAGGAAGAAGGTCAGTTTACATTCATGGGTATCTAAATTTTTCTGTCGGAAGACGGTCGAAAAATGGAGGATGGATCAACAAAGATAATGTGGAAGACTGTCAGAAAATATATCTGGATCCGCACTTAGCCGTCGTTTTTATAGACGAAATTGCCTTTTGTGAGTTTGAGCCGCGGGTTTGTGATTGCAAATTAACAACTAAAACTGCGATTACATGGAGTAATTATCATTTCTGTGGCCTGTATTGGTCAAATTATAAAGAAAATGGACAATTCGAAAATAAATAAAAGTTTTACAACATGCATGTACCGTAAATTCTGGGATTAACTGTGACATTTGTTTCTGTAAATTCTCGCTCAAGTACGTGCCAGTCCAGGTGCCTATATTAACAGAAAAAACATTTGAGGTTATATTACTAAGAAGTGTTACCTTTCAAATGTGAATGAAGATAATCACCACATCTAGCAGTGTATACAAAAAATCTACCAGTGCATATAAAAACAAATTTACGCTTTATTCTGACTATCATTGCATTGTTGTGTCAAGGCATTGTAATTTTTTTTTACATTTTAGTTTTTTCTTTCTTTGTGTGTGCGTGTGGGGGAGGGATTGGGCTATTGGGGGCACAGAAGGACGGCGATTGGGAGAAAAAATTCGCTTTGATGGGTTAAAATCAACGCCCGTGCCCGAATGTATCTGCTTAATGTGCACGTGCAAGTACGGGACTCGTCTTTTTTAATAAATTCACGACTTTTGAGAATGCACATTCCCAAGGTAGCACATCTATATTGTTACTTAAAAAATTAAATGCATATAAAAATAATTTTTTCACACTAACTTGTTTCTTACGACACAGAGAGTTAGATAAGTACCTCGTTTTAGCGACGATATATCATACTTCTTCAATAATTCAGGGCGTTCCAAAATTTTTGCCCAAAACTGCGGGTAAACATCGGCATGCGTAATTCTTAAAACGTAAACCAAAAAGAAAGTGAACTCTAATATTGTTGATTAATATACACAACACAACAGAAATAAGAAAATAATAAACAGAATTTCAATCATACATCCATCGGCATTTTTCAAATAAAGTTTAAGATAAGCAACATGACCATAAGGACCATGTAAAAAGTATCGACAATATTTAGAGCTCGGTTCCTTTGTAAGCCCCATCTGCTACTTAAAAGAAACATCAGCAGATGAAGCTATAAAGGAGAAGAAAAAAATGTTATCAGTTAAAACAAATTACAATACGTGAATTAGTGAAAAGGATAAAACTAGATTAGAAAAAAGATGAGATGGTTGGATGGTATGACTGTTCAAGAGAGCATAATATCAGTAACCCAGACCTACTTACTTGTAATCTTGTATCGTCCTGAGTAGATCGTCTACTCCCCACCCCTCCTCCTCCGTGAGCCCAAGTTGGTCGTAGTAAGCGTTCCAAAGCGTGGACGGAAACACTACTGCTTTGGGGCGTATCTTATAATCCCTCACCGCCCACACGACGCAGTCAATCTGGATGTCGTCTACTGCGCTGCTCATGAGCCCTACAACTGCGTGCTGTGAAAGGCATACGGAACATGCAATTTTGTAGCTTCCTCATTCACAAGTACTGTCTAAAATCCCCTTTATACTGGACGGCGATCCTTTCTGCGTCCATGTGCGTCCATGAATCTGCCATTGCTGTGGTCGTAGAAAGGAGGCACCGGCATTGGTTTGGTTGCAGAATGAATGGTTAATAATCGACCAGTTGTGGGCACATACCGGTAAACTATTTTTTATTCTTACACCGGGTCGTACATGTACTACAGAAAGGACGCCGTCCAGTGCAAAGGGGGGTTAAGAGATCGGTTGCGTCTGACTTGAAGCCATGCCATCCATATAAATTATAATGTGAGCATAACAAAGCACGTATCTGGACACTGTCTTTATAAAAGTAATTACACTTCGCGCTTTTGTAAAATTTTAGAGCTATTTTATCAAATATTAATAATACTTGTGTTAGGCTTTGATTAAATTTATTTCAGTTACAAAAGTCAAATTACCGGCGGAAAAAAGGTTGAAATGAAGAGGGGGGCTTATTACTGTAGCACAGAGTTGGAAATATTACCTCTATTGCGCACTTTTCATATCTGAAGCAACAGGAACACTATAGGAAAGTTTTAAATTTTTGGCGGGGTCGGGGGGGGGGGGGGGGGATGTATTATCTTCACCTCTCTGTTCCATTTTACTTCGTGCCTCACCTGAGCTCCGATTCCATTTCTCATATATGTATATTTCATCGAATTTACGGTGCTGTGGTGGGTAATAAGGCCTGTCTTCGGAGATCCCGTGCTGCCCTAGAATATAAACACAGTGCAGCTTGTTTTGCTCAATAAAGGCCAAAAGTTCAATCTTCTCGGTTGATTCATGGTAGACTAATTATGGTGGAATCGCCTGCTTGGTAGAACAGCTTTTTAGGCCAGGCAGATACAGATTGTTGTAATCCTAAACTTGTTTTTACCCCGTGTAGGTTATCAAAGCCCTTTACAACAAATTTACCTAAGTAATAAAAACAATATCTTATCTCTGTAATAACTGCACTCCGCTTGCAAAAAGAAATGCATCCACTGACACACATACATATTGGCCTATATAGGGACCATTCTTATAATCCTATCGTACTAGCAGGGTCGATCTATCCCGGAGGGGATTCTCACTGAATTGTGTACACTTTCAGGAAAGTTAATTATCCCCCTAGCAGCTTCAGTGGGCGTGACAGACATTTAAGCAGCTTCAACTGCATGCAATTAAGCTAGAATCCCCTGGGAGTTAGATCGCTCCTGCTAGTACGATAGGTTTATGGGAACCCTGTCATAGACTGTAAATGAACGCGGTTACATACCGTAGTGCAGAATGCATAGCTGATGTCGTCCATGGTAACTTTATCCTTGGCTTCTCTCAGCGTCTGGTCGCTGATACTCTCCCCCAGGGTACACAGACTCTCAATAGTCAACCTACAATATACACACCTTACCGGTACATTCTAAGTACGAGGCTGTAGGTTGTAGGCTGTAATTGCCAACCCCGACCCACCAGAAATTTTGGAAACATTGTTTTTTTGTTTTGTTTTTTTAGAGGGGGGGGCTTAGCCTTTCCCTTTCTTGCAGCCTATTACCAGTCTCTTGCTTTTTCTACAGTCAGCATTTTAAGTGTCACAAGCGGTACACATAACCTGCTTACATATATTGTAGGCCTTTAACAGCCAATATCAATGCCTTGAAATTAGAAAAAAGGGTTAGAGGATAGTTCTAGGGCTCTGGAGACTAAATGAATATACATACGGGTAAATAACTGAGATGTTTAACTATAAACAAGCATGTATCTGTTACGGTATATATGACTGACCTTATAAAAGGGCGTTTTGTGCCTTCTGTCAACATGCACCTACAGTATATATTGGAATCTTTGACACAAAGCTGAACATTGTAGGTAACATTATACAACACTCACGATGCGTTTGTTAATTGACTCAAAACTACATATTTTCTGTTAAATATTCGAGTTAGTTTCCACCAAAACTTACCCGGTCACTCTTCCATCACCTATGACCACGTGGTGTAAGGTTGGTAAACTGAAAAACAAAACGAACTTTTTTTATTATAAATTGTTCAAGACAAGACTCTATATTGTTAACGTCCCTATTACAATCATTTTATTTCAGGACAACCGTTGGGTTGTGTCACTTGTATTTTTTATTCATTTTCGGGTCACATATAATATAGTACTGATAGTGTGCATTTTGTGTTCATAACAGCAAGGAATGGATTCTTTTGATAAGTGAAAGAAAATTCAGATACTGTAGATACAATTGGCTTATTTCAACATTGTGATTGAGTTATTTTACATTTGCCACTTTCTTATTTTTAAGGTTACCCAAACGGGATTTTTGCTCTAATTTTACTCGAAAAAAATATTGCTCCTACTCCCAAATCATCGCTGAGCTGCAATTCAATGTTTTAGAGAAATTCAATTGAATCTAAGTCCTAGAAGAATAACGACTCATTCAGACCGCCATGATCTTGCTGAAGTATTAGAAGGAAATATCGTCATCAGATACTTTTACTCGTGGGATTTTATCGACTTTAAGGTCTGAATAAGGACAAATGAGTATCTTTGTAGGGTATTTAGACATGGAAATATGACTTTGACCATTTTCAGAAGTAAATGGTATATAAGAATCAAATGCTAATTGCCTACATGTACCATTTTAATATCGTTAAGATACCTTTCAGATGTGATATTCCGCCCCTCACACTTGTCCAAGTCAGGAAGGATTTCTTTCAAAGCTTTTACATTAACATCGTTTATCCCAGGGAATAACAACATGACATTGATTTTGGCCTAGAAGGCGAAAAAAAATTTGAGAATCAGTCCCGATGAGGGCTAACTTCTTCATTTTCAAATTCTCACATGTGTGTTGATCATGTTTGGCTATCATTTGACTCAAGATATATCTCTCTATTATAATCAATATGGGGGTTACAAGAAAAATTAATTATATTAGTTAATTTCCTAAACTTAGTACCGGACACGATGGATGGTAGAAACCTTTGAACACAAGTAATACATGTACAAATTCCTCGGAATGCCATGATCTTCGGTCATTGTTTGCAACACGAGCGTGAATATTAAATGTTATGATGTGATATTACCCAAAATTGGACCCAGTTGTACAGGTCAAATACTACGTTACGTGCCCTGTTTGTAAGGCACAACAGTTGGATGATTAGATGGTATATTGTAATTGGCGCAGGAAACAAGGTAAGGACCCGTTAAAAGTGCACGTATGGAGATTTGAAAATGAAAACACTAAGACTGGGTTCCCATGCCTAGATCGATCCATCTGGATCGATCTTGCTCCCTGTTGAGTCTCAATAGATTGCTGTCAACTAACCGGCTTAAGAGTTGTCACGCCTACCGAATCAGCTAGAGGGTAAAGATAATACCCCCTAACAACTTTACTAGACGTGACAGACATTTAAGCCGGTCAAGTTGACAGTAATTTAGTGAGACTCCCCAGGGAGATAGATCGATCCAAAAATCTGTGGGAATGGTCCCTAACTGAGGGGTTGATGCAAACAGAATAGGTTTAGCTTTTGTTTGTAAAATATATAGTTACTTATTTCTAGGTAATATTTCATATTATATTTAATTTAATGCTTGAGTTAATTCCATGTTTGTTTTGATATAATTTCATAAAGTTTTAATATTCGCAAATATTTTGTCTATCAATATAACTAATGTAGCATACCTTGTTAACGAGCATTTCAAGATGTTTTGATCTCGGTTCAAACAAATAGGCTTGCTGCAAGTCGAAGTAAATAAAATAAATATTGACAACAAATGAAAATATACACAATTTGCTATCAAAATAAGGACTTTCATTTGACGTTTAATTATAAGTGCATCGTGATATTAAAGAAGACTACACATGCTTTAACTAACATTTCAACCTCTTATTTAAAAGTAAAATTGAAGACGAACACAACAGAAAATTGAAGTCACATTTGTCATATGATATATGACGAAACGATAGGCAATAGTGAAGAAAAAAAGAATCAAAGGAACCATTCCCATAACCCTATTGTACTAGCTGGATCGCTCCAACTCCTCGGGGATTCTCTCTAAATTGTATTCAGTTTAAGTGGCTTTAATGTCTGGCACGCCCCCTCGTAACTTAAGTACTTGGATAAAGTCGGGAAATCTTTGTGGTCCACGATGTTGTTCATAATGCTTTGCGAGGTAAGCGTGCCACAGACAAGTTGATAACATTGTCTGTGGCTTAGGGAGAATCCCGCTGAGAAAGATCGATCCTGGTAGTACGATTGGGTTATGGGAACGCAGACGATGAATTACCGCGTGACAAATCATTCCTATAGAGGTCGCTGCAAACACTGCAATTGGAAATGTCTTGTCCGGAAACGCCACTATGGTAACCCTGTCTCCCTTAGCACAGCCCAAAGCTAGGAAACCCTTAGCCAGCCGATCGCTCTAGAATAAACACTGCATTTGAAATCGAAGATAAAACTGGAAAAATTGCCTGTTAATTAAGGGGTTGGGAAAACAGTTCAAGCTATCAAATCATCACCACAGGCAAATTTCATTGTGTCCCTATTTAAGAAAAATTTTGGAAAAAATCACCTTTAGTCAACGATATCCGTGCATGGACCGTGTCAAGGATCCATGATTTGTGTAACCATACATCTGGTGCCTTACTAGCTTTACATCTTTTTACCTATCCACAAATCTCGCTTCTTTCTCTCTCCTCACCTGTTGCAGCCATTCCCTGTATGACAGGTGCTGGTTGTATTCTGGGTAAATAAGTGGTACATGGTCTGGGTCAGCTGCGGCGGCCTCCGTCAACAGAGACCCGATGGTGGTAGCCAATAACGGGAGCCTACTGGTGGCATGGATGTAACTAGTCTTCAGCGGTTCTGTAGGAGGGACAGCGTCGCTTGAAATACAAAACATGTTCCGGGCCTAGTAGAAATGCCCGCGATTGGCAAATTGTTGGAATATTAAGGATATTAAATCGATGATTTATGGACCTGCTTGACAGCATTCTTACAGTGTCGCTGTTGCTTTGATCCAAATACAGTGTACCCTCTTACTCTTCCATTTTAAAATAAAAATCCCTCTTTCAAAATTATGTTTTCACGCAAATCCCTAAGATTCTGACGCAACTCTGAGTCATACTACAATATCTATGTAAACAGGGTCCCCCCTAATTCTGCCTGCCATTCATTGACATTTGCAGACTTTCTTCTCTCTACCATTGACCAACCGGGCGATGACATCATTTTATTTATTCTCTTTTTATTTTCAAAAATTTCTAACAGCACTGAAAAGTGCAGAGAAACACTGCTGTTTTTTAATTGTGCAAATTCATCACTTTATATTTCATGGAAATCTTAATTTAACATATATGTTAGGGTACTGTATGTGCATTAATAGGGTCCTCTCCATGGTTTACAAGCTAATGAGTCGCTGTTGGCTGTGTTATGAAATACAGCTTGAAATTCCAACTTCCCATGATGTTGCGTGTGATTTCTAGACACCCGGGTTCTTTCTGCGGGTTAGTTGGTGCTCCTTACACCAATCGCAAGGACCTTATGTGAAAATGAACTATCCAGCACACGCCCCCCTGCATCAAGACACGTTGATTACATATTGATACCAAAGCATTGCAAACGAGCAAACAAATACAGTACGACAGGTAAACTATATTCTTAACTAAGAACGCTCTAAGTATTAATGTATCTTTGCGTGTTCTTCTTCATTTGAGTACTTACTCTGGATGTTCAACTGGAAATGACGCGCTAGCTGATGCCGACATTGTGATTTCGTGGCCGACAGAAAAGACGCACTCTTCGTTACTAGAATCCACATAATTCTATATTAATATTCTTAATGGCACAGTTTGAGACTTATTCTTTTATTCAAAAGTCGTTTTGACAATAATAGACAGTAAATCATATTTAAATTTGCCATGGTTTCCAAGGGCGTTGAGCTCTGATAACCCTGACATTTTTCTCTTCACACTCAGTACACTTGAAATTATAATGTTACCCAAATAATTACATACCTTGGCTTTCTTTGTCCCAAATCTGCCCATGAAATAAAGCATATATGTACTGAACTTATTATGCAGTTTCCATTCAAGCTTAGGCTTTTTGTCACATCATTTAACTTTGAATAGTTTATGTTCGATATTCTTTTTACCTTACAAGTGTATTTAGCGTAGAAAAACAATTTGTAATTTACATATCCATACTTAATTGCCGATGCAAAAAGTTTTGTAATTGGTCACGTTCACTTACCTGTAGTGCACTTACCTATAGGGTAGGCTGCAGTACCTCTGATAATCTGAACACTAATAGTTCAAAGAATCAAATCAACTTTGATTGAGGACCGTACATGGCCTATGTCACATGACGTGATATATTTAGTGATATATTTCCGGTATTATCTTATAACACTGTCCCACTGTGGCTACATTGCATGACGTTTTCTGTCATATGTTGAGAGATTATATTATCTTAATCCAACATGAAGCGGTTATTTCCAGAAAACCCATGCAATATAAGGACAGAAAATAGAGTTTATCATTTCTGAACTTTACTTTTCAGGTGACGGGGCAATCAGGACTGTTGTCACCCTAATACGTTGACAAACAAGGTAGTCATTCACATATTTCGCCAATACGGATAAGTGCGCGTTGTTCAACTATGCGCTAGTACATGTACTAAACAGTTATTGTACAGTTATTGTACTCAGTAGTTTTATATCATACAGTGAGTCATTCCAACAAAAATTGAACACTTGAGCAACGCCAGAGACTCAATCATTTTGTATAATATTTTGCATAATTATTATAATATAATCTTTATAATTATGCATAATCCAAAATAGAACAAAATCTACAGTGCTTAAAGAATGATATAAAAGAGTTTTGAAAATATTACACAAAATGTGTGCGTCACTGACACTAATCAAATATTCACTTGCTTGTGGAATAACCCAGAGAAGACGAAGATATTATAATCATTTTCATGCAGTTAAAACAGTAGGATCCATTCGGGAAAAAACACGTGGAACATTTGGAACACGTAATCAATTTGATCCATATATGTGGGAGGTGTGCCCCGTGATCGAGTAAGTCTAGCCTCTGATCCACCTGGTGGTAATAAAAGCCCCCATTTACACTGGACGGCGTCCTTTCTGCGTCCCTTCTACGTCAAAAAAGTTGTCAGGACGCTCAGTGGACACTTAAAACTGCGTCCCTTGTCCCATGGACTAATAATAAGCCAGATGATCATTGTTGTCTTTGTAAGAAAGATGGACAGGCGCCGAAGACGAGAAGGCTAACTGATACAACATAGGATGTTTGAATCCGTTTTCCACAGACGTATGTTACGGCTCTCTTCTGGTCTTGAAATCAGATTCGGTCCCTTGTTTCTAAACTGTTTACAAGAGGCTCCGTTCCAAGGGACCGAGTTGAGCCATGCTTTACAAATCCTGGGGACTAAATATGGCGGTCGTACATGAAAGAAAAACCGCCTAATCTTTTAATAGTCTCTCCGCCTCTCACACGCCTCCCCACACGTCGTCCCTGCGGGGGGACAGTCATTAAATCTCGGCTCCATTGGGACGACACATGGGGAGGCGTGTGAGAGGCGGAGAGACTATTAAAAGATTAGGCGGTTTTTCTTTCATGTAGGTCGTCGTCCGCCATATTTAGTCCCCAGGGTTTGTAAAGCCTGGCTCAACTCGTTGTGAATGCGATCTAAGTAAATGCTATATAAAAAACTTAATACTGTAAGTCTCTTATACTAGTTCATGTAAGTCTGATATATAAATAAATACAAAATTAATTAAAAATTGACTTACACAATTGCAGCTATATTGCGAGATAATCGTAAACGTTCCCACAAATAAGTGATACACGGCTAGCGCGTAGAACAAAAGACTCGGCTGTGCTGTATTCGACATAAAAGCACGTCATGTACGCGTGCGTTCCACGGTCTGTTGCACTACTAGTGTGGTAGCCAATCAGAGGCCGTGGTTTAAGCCAGTTACAACACTCGTCGCCGAGCTGTACGTGAAAATTACTCGTGTATTGTCTCGCCTGCGGCTCGCCAATACACTCGTAATATTTCACGTACAGCTCGGCGACTCGTATTGTATCTATTTGTCTTATCACCAAACCTGAAGAAATAAACTAGTGGGCAAGCCCCGGCTCGTCACAAACCCAGCTTTTGGTCAGGTATGGGGGCTAGAATCAAACTTTGTTTTTCAATATGGGGTTGGGGACAGGTCCCTCCAACATCCTCATGTAACTTTTTATTATTATTATTATCATTTACTTAGAATGTACTAGCATTGCAATGCTCCCAGCTTAACACGACTGATATTTTAAACAACGCAGTCAAAGTGAGAGAACAGTTTCATTAGCTCTGTATGTATAAATTCAAATTACTGTTTTTCTTTTTATCAAGAGCTTGTAAAATATGTGGGTATTACCTCCAATATTTCTGCAGAGGGATGCAGAGGAGCCCCGGGGGGAGCAAGTAACAGTTACAACACAAGGCCAGTGATTGTAANCCTGAAAGTGATAGACAGGGAAAACTGGACATTCCAAAGAAAAATAGCAGAAGCTGTACACATCAGGACCAAACAACCAGACCTGAACAGACAGGGGGGGTATGATTTACCAGCTATCTACCTCACGGTGCTCCAGAGGGATGCAGAGGAGCCCCGGGGGGAGCAAGTAACAGTTACAACACAAGGCCAGTGATTAGGGGCAATTGACCTGGATTTTCATTCCAGGTGAAATGACCCTAGTCATTTACTCCCTGATGATGGTGACTGACAGTCACAGAAATATTGGAGGTAATACCCACATATTTTACAAGCTCTTGATAAAAAGAAAAACAGTAATTTGAATTATTAGTAGTGGCTTTTGGTAAATGCAGTTTCTTATAGTGTGTCTTTGGGAAGTATGTGGTCATTGAGGCACAGTACTGATCGCTGTTACTTAAATCAGATATAATTTTTAAACTGAGAAAAATTTAATGTGTTAAGTAACAAGAGTAACATTCTTTCACTCATGTTTCAGATATAGATGAATGTGCAAGTTCTCCATGTTCTAATGGCACTGAACAGTGTATTGATCGGGAAAATGGCTTTGTCTGTGAATGCTCCCCTGGGTATTCAGGGGTTTTCTGTGAAATAGGTAAGACAACAGAAGTAATTGATGTTCTACATTTAAATGGGAATAATTCAAGAAAAACAGCTTGAAATTGTGATTAGCTCCAATTTTCTATGAAAAATTTATATAGAGTTTTATATACATGTACATTAGTATACATTCAGTATACATTAGCCCACAAGGTATATGGAATTTTCTGATGTCATTTTTTCCAGTCACTGTGGTATTTTTATCAAGAATGGCTGCCTTTAAGACACATGTTACTGAGTTTGAGTTGCCATGGCTGGCTGATATAAACTTTTAAGATATGCGCTTTGGAAACAAACTGCACTGAATTTCCATTTTCAGATATAAACGAGTGTTCATCGTCCCCATGTCTCAATGGAGGGACATGCAAGGACGAGGTGAACAAGTTTACCTGTGTGTGCCTGCCAGGGTATGCTGGGAGGAGGTGTGAGATAGGTAAGTTTACCTGTGTGTGCCTGCCAGGGTATGCTGGGGGTGGTGTGAGATAGGTAAGTTTACCTGTGTGTGCCTGCCAGGGTATGCTGGGGGTGGTGTGAGATAGGTAAGTTTACCTGTGTGTGACTGCCAGGGTTTGCGATATGCGACATCTAGTAGATGTTTAGAATATTTTAAAGTTTGCTTAGATGAGGCAAAGAATTCTGATGAGTCATTGTAGAAATTGTCAAAAAACAAATCACATGACGTAGACATTGTTATGCTGATTATGATAATAAAGCTGCATTTTTCTTATATGTGCATTCTTTTCAATAATCTGCAAATTCATTCCATTTATAATAATTATCTTTTTTCTTTAAAATGTAAGATTTCAAATAAATTATGCTAAAAATGATATATTAACAAATAAGGTGTATTATTACAATGATATATTGCAGATATAGATGAGTGTTACTGGACCCAGTGTGAGAACAATGGCACTTGTACAGACTTCATCAATGGATACCAGTGTCACTGTATTCCATACACTACTGGGAGGCATTGTCAATACAGTATGTAAAATGAAATTTCTCTCTCTCTCTTCCTTTGTGCTTGTACATGTGCTTGGGTGTATGCCTTAATGCAAATAGATGATGTTAAAAACATCTGGCAACAAGGGCATTTGGCTAAACTGATATATTTTATGTTTTAAATTTTTGCATGAGGTTAAGAAAGTGCAGGGAAGAATAAATTGTATTTTTATGTGGCATCTTTTAAGCTAGTTGTACCACCAGCGTAGGCACTGGCAGTACGCGTGGTTTTAGTCCCGTCTCCTTAATGCTCCAAAAGATAACCTTAATTTTTACCTTTAAGGACTGCCATATTATACAGAATGGAGCTCCTGGGGTGAATGTTCCCAGCCATGTGGTAGGGCCTTTCACTTAAGAAACAGGCTCTGTATTGATGTCACAGGGTCACCCAGAGGTCATGAATGTCAAGGTCAAGGTCAGGGTGACCCAGAAGAATTCAAAGATTGTTATAATCTAACAGAGTGCATCAGTAAGTTGAAATTTATGTATGATTTATTTTCTTTGTGTAGATAAAATATGTGAAATATCATTTGGATCAATAAAAATTGCACTTATTAATTTGCATTTCATAATTTGTAGATGTATTAATTTATGTTTTTTGTTAAGTGTATGTATTTTGAAAATAAATTTCATATTTTCTGTTTATTTTCATTACAGCCTTTTCTTTTTCTTTTTCTTCATAATATGTAATATTCATTTTTACAGTGGCTCAAATCTGCAGATTCACATTACTTAGTGATATATGGTATGTGAATAGAAATAATTTATATCACGCTTCATCAGCTGTTTCACTATTAATTTTAGTTCATCCATTTTGTTTTTTTACACTTTTATACAGCTTTTTGTCAACAATTTTTCTCTTGGTCAATTTGACTATCCCCAGTTAGCAATGTCAGACTGTTTAAGTGATGTGACAGTTTTATAAGTTATAGGCTTTAACACATAGAGTAGCAGGTGATTATAATAACCTCTTTTATATCTGTGTCAGAAAGCATCACTTCATGCTGTTAATGTATTTTTAGCACCTAGAGACCCCTGCCAGGACCCCTGGGGAGACCCCTGCAATCCAGATGGTAGGGGTCTACACGAGTGCCGCAGTGGGCCAGGGGGAGTGTACAACTGTATGTGTGCCCCAGGCTACCACCCTGAGAACAACAGGACACTGTGTGTTGGTAAAGTATGGCAGTGTCTGTATATTCTCTGTACAATTATCTCTGAAACACGTGGTATATAGGCCACAATTAAAAGAGAAACAGAAGGGTTTCATAATTGGGTAGAATTTCAGTGATTTGACAGTGTATTGTATAATTAATTACATTTTTTTGGAGGACCATGTTTTTGCTGTTGGAAATAGACAGAGATTATTTTGTGGTTTTTGTATGTATCATACTTGGTAATTTGTTGGAAGAAAAGTCTCATATTATTTTCAAGTTTGGTAAAAATCAGAACTTGAATAAAAAAATTCGAAGAGATGGACTTTTTATAATTGAATACATTGGCCTTAACATTTTTGCTTTAAATAAAGTGAATAAAGATAGGTATACTTGTGCTGCTGTTTAATAGTCCATGGGTTCCATACACTCATTAGCGAGCTATGTAACATGCATTTTGATCATGATACTATTGTGATTGCTGCCACTGGACCAGTAGCTTCTAAAAATAATTAAGTATGGACTTAATGATTTTAAAATAAATTCGTTTTCAAATAAATTTTTTTTGTGACAGTCATGCTTTTCACAGTGTTCCGATCTCTGTTCCAGATGACAATGAGTGTTTGTTTGGAGCCAACGAGTGTTTGGATAACCTGACTGGAAGTCTGCATCCAGGAGTGAAGGGCTGCGTGAATGTTGATGGGGGGTACATCTGCCAGTGTCACAAGGGGTTTAAGTATGTCAGTGGAAGTCTCCACCATTGTGAGGGTATGTCATACTATGCAGGTTGGACCAACTCCACAGGGACTAGCTGAATACAATCATATTAATAGTGAGATTAACATACCATCTCCTGGCATTTAGTAGAATGCAGAAAAGCTATTGTGATTATTTGAGTACATTGGAAAATGAGGAGGTGTGTTAATCTGATTGCATTCAGCAGGAGTCACTGTGTAGTTAGTTTGAACTACCTAGTACAATACATTTATGGTGGAGTTTGGCTGAAATAATTATTACTTTGAGATTAGATTTTAATGCTTAGTATTCCTGAAAAAAGGCCCACTTGGGTGTTTTTCTCTGATTTAAGCAAATGGACGAATTGTGTTTTAGTAAGCAAAGTATGGTAACTAAACTTAGAAAAAAATGATTTGAATCCTTTGAGGAGTTTTTCATGCAAAAAAGTATGGCGCTTGTGAGTTGCTGAAAATGATAAATATTTTTATGTACACTTGTTTCTGAAGCAAAGTAGATATACAGGAGTTGGAAAAAAAATTATTTTTTCATGTTAACTTAAGAATCTCCTTTTTCAGATGTCAATGAGTGTGAAGAAAACATGACAGATTGTGGTCCCGCAGAAAAAGCCGTCTGCACAAACACTGTTGGGGGCTTCCAGTGCAGCTGCAGGGACGGTTATGAGGGGGATGGAAAGACATGCTTAGGTCAATTTATGTCAACGTAACTTTTTTGATCAAAGTTTAAAATGTATAACATATCTTGAGGATTATATGAAAAATAACTTATAATTTGAAAGAAAACGAAAGAAAACGTTGGAACAGTATTTCAACTAAAAAGATAATGTTTTAGTGTTGATTATAATTATTACATAAATTTTAAACTGGAGAGGCCCATTGTCTCCCAGCTGTAAATTTTGGGTTTTATATCCACTTTCCATTTAGTCATATCATCATCAAGTTGAGGGTTCCCAAGCTATCAAAGTGGCAACTTGTTACTGATTGCATTAAGGGAACTTATCAATAATATTTATAATTTAATTTTTTTTCTAGAAAAGCGGTTCAGATTTCCCTCATTCTCCACACACACAAAGCTGATGTCATCAGAGCAGTACTCCCCATTTCTGTTCCCGACATATTCCATACCACTGAATGAGAACTTCTTCCCTTCTCTGTATGTAAGTAGCTTCATTTAGTTCATATCTCTAAGGAAAGTTAAGTTAAGATTTTAGCAAATGCAGGTAGTGTGCGTGTTGGAACAGTGTTTGATATGGAGGCTGTGCAACCCTAACTTTGTATGTTAACAACCTTAAAGCTATTTTAATGGGTTTAAAAGTTCATTAAAAATTATGGCCCTGATTTCAGCTTTAGTGACCAGATTTGCTGGTTATTGATTATGCTGTCCACATTTAGAAAAATAAGAAAAGAAATGTTTTATATTTAATTTCCAGTGAACTTATGAATGATACATATTTTACACAGATTTACTCCAAATATTAATCTTAATGAATTATTTTCATCGAAAAATCAGAGTGCAGTATTGATTGTTGATGTCTTTACATTTTGAAACTTACAGTTTACAAAGGGAGGCCTCATACTATTCAGCCGCCTGAACAAAACCACCGCCAACTTCAGCAGACGACACACATTCCGCCATCCCTATGGAGACAGCCAGAGTCTGGACGACTTCAACTTTCATCCTGTTTACCACGAGGGGGCGCTGGTAGCACCTTATTGGGCTAGTGCTGTAGATACAAGTGATAAGGTACTGGCACTTGTGCAGCTATCTTGGAGGTTAAATTCTTTAAATTTGGTCTAAAATGGAGTTTGGTTGTTGGAATAAGAATTCATATATGTGCATAAAGTACAATCAGCTGAAAAAGTTGTGAAATCAACCGTAAGATTTTTGTCTGATAAATCTGATATATCAAAATATGAAATCATGTTTATAATCAATAACACTTAAATTGTGATTTACTTCGCATTGAATAAAGGTTTGTTTTCAGACTAAAATATTCACTATTATCTGCCACATTTGAATAAATTGCAGCCGTTCATTGAATATTTCTTCCAGTTCCCTGATCGTGGCGTGTACTACACCACTTTTGAAAGAGGACAGTCACCAGAGGCCGCCACTGCTCTGGATACCATCCGCGACATTGGCTCCGGATTACTTCATCAGGTGAATGTCAGTGACTTTGAGCCTGTCTGGATGTTGGTGGTCACATGGAACAAGATGGGGTACCCAGCTGTTGACGAGAATCCAGATAACATTAACAAAGTAATTATCTTTGCAAAGTTGATACTTCAGTTGTGTTTATGAGTTTAAGTGTGCTAAAATGAATATGTGAAAAATGTCAGTAATTTATTTGAAGAATTCAAATGTTCTGTTATAAAAGTAAGAACTGTGAGGTTGTATTATATTGCATTTTAAATGTTAATTCAAAGTGTTTAATTTATGATGATTTAAACTTTGTGAAAGGCATACATCTCCATTTTAACGATGGGTAAAAACAAATTAAAATTAAAACCCTGGAATTAGTGTACAGATTGCACGTTTTTTTCCTGTCTAGAGACTTATTTGCAGTAACATGGTATTCTACAAAAGTGTTCTTTGTTTTTTTTTTATTTCAGAGTTATGGCTTATAAAACATGAAATTAACTATTTAAATTGTATCTTGCAGACCATAACTTACCAAATAGTTCTGGCCACAGATTTCCTGACAACAGCAGTGGAAACAATATACGCAGATGGGGGTATGAACTGGAACATCATGTTAGACACCCGTACACAGCCAACGTATCCAGTCAGGGTGGGGTATGCCATCAGGAATAAGAAAGTCAAGTTTGGAGAGACACCTGTGCCTGGTAATTATAAGAGATTAGAGAGTTGGGGGGAAAAGTCTGGTTATGAGTAAAGTGAAGTTTTGAAATGTTCTAGAGTTAGCAGTAAATTGAAATTGAAAATTGACACTTCAGACTCTTATGACTAATAAGAGATTTTTAATCTCTGGTTTAGAAAGAAAATAAAATGCACCACTCTGTGATGTACTTGTTATTTCATGGTATTGTTCACTGTAGAATAAATATAGGCACTCTGTCACTTTTCATTAAGACCTGAAACTGGCATATTTCCCAGTCCATTACTAGATAAATAGAATTTAAAATAAAACGAAATATTATGTATTTTTTCAGGTTCTAGAACAACTTATGAGTACGATTACTCATGGTTTACCATACGCACTGCACGGGACATCAAGTTAACACCACGCATTGAGCGCATGGACCAGCAAATACAAGATGGTGCCAAATCACCTGGTCATTTCACATGGGTGCTTAGCACCCCAGGTAAAAATTTCACCCATCCAGGATTGTATTGTGAACGCTGGATCGAAGCTGACAAAAAGTTAGATGCACTGTGGGGCGGACAGGTGAATTACGATGATGCAAAAACATGTCCTTGCTCCTTACAACAGCTCTATAGGGTTCCTAAAGCCATGCCTGTTTTTCTAGATGACCCCCGCATTCCTCCTCACATTGTCTGCTATAGGAAGGACATCCAAGAAGAGGAAAGCTCCTCAGTGACTACACCCCGGTGTTGTTATTACCAAGATGGCGGAGCTCTCGTCGTTAACCATGCTGATGTTAAAGGTGCCAATACATTTATGAGGCATACACTGGAGGCTGATCTCACTGACTCAGTGTACGACTTTTGTTGTGATGTTAATAACATTGCGCTTGGAGCCTCATTGTCTTGGCAGTGTGACAAATTTCTGGCTAGACGTCCTATTTCTAGCTGTGAAGCTTTTAAAGCTTATTATGCTGGTGAGTTCGTCTAATAATGGTATTAGTTAAAATGTTTATTTTCCATTAAGTACTTTGTATAAGACCTTGTTGTGGATGGCTGATTTTAAGGATTAAGATGATATCATTTGTTTCATGTTTTCTAAACTTGATTGGCTTAATACAATTGTCATATCTAAAATAGTTGCTGTATTTACAGAAAGTGATGCACCTGTTTATTTAGCTAACAGAATATTCTTTTTTACAATTATGGAAGCACTAACATTGGTTAGTTATATGAAAAAGTAAGATGGTGAACATTTAGGGCTTATATTTATATTCAGGCAATTATCCACCATTTGGACAAACTAATGATTCAGACATCATACTGAACATTAAACTCGGAGAATCGTATCCCAACCTAACCACAGTGGAAGCATCAGACAGAGAGGGAGACAGGATCAAATTCCACCTCCGAGCAGACGCCCCCAAGGAAGCAAGGATAGATGGCAGCACAGGTCTGCTGGCTTGGTTTAATGTGACAGATGTCCGGCCTACCATCATTCCCTCTATGATTGTGATAGTGTCTGATGGGGTGGACCAGTCTGTCTGGAGGGCAAAGATTAGTTTCTGTAAATGTGAGGTAAAGGTAGATAAATTTTGATTTTATCAAACTGTTTCTTTATTTACATCTATTTCCTTGCTTGGAGATTCTGATGTGTTTGCAATAATGTTTTGAATTGAGATTTGACAGCAGGATTCTATATGCTAGTAAGGTTAGGTAGTTTGTACAGGCAGAGCATTAGGAATTAGATTGAGAAATAATAAATTTTGAGGTTGTGTAGAATGCCATAATGTACAACATAAGACATAATATTGACTTTTGAATGAAAGTTTAACCAAAACAGTGGACAGCCAACTAATTAAGAGCTGATAAATTTATTGATCAGAAATTGAAATTTTTCATTTTTGTTTACTCAAAGTTACACATGAAAATGACATTGTATGTGTATTTTCATCACTAACATGAGAAATCTTCTTTACTGTAGAACAATGGTACCTGTGTGTTTCATGAAGAGCAAATGAGCTCCTTCGCCTTTGCTTACTGTATGTGCCAGGATGGATATGGAGGACAATTCTGCGAGGAAGATATTGATGGTTGTGCAGACAACCCCTGTTATTTTGGTGTCGTCTGCCATGATGTTCCAGCTCCAGATCTCCTTTACAACCCCCTTGGTTACAGATGTGGAGAGTGTCCCTTTGGTTTGATTGGGAATGGCCAAACCTGTGTTGGTAATTATTCTGATGTGCCAAAAAGGTGTTTTCTCTAAAAGTCAATTGCTAGTATATTGCTAAGAAATTAAATAAATACTCTTTGAAAATACTGACTTCAAAGCAAAAAGGTGCTCAAAAATGTTTTTATAATTTGTTTTTTGGATTGTCACAGACTTGTTTGTTTGAAACCATGTCCTAGTGAGCTTAAGGTATTGAAATCAGCTTGATTCTGTTTTATGACTCTCACATCATCTCCATATCTTTTTATTTTTGCTTTTAAAGATTTAGATGAGTGCCAAACAGAAAATGCCTGCCAGCAAGGTTGTAGAAATTTAGCAGGGGAGTCACACTACGAATGCTTTTGTTTTGAGGGTTATGCCTTAGGAGCAGATGGCTTCTCTTGTGTAGGTATGTCCCTCTTTTTCTGGGGCAAAACTGTCTGCACACTGTTGCTGACAAGCAGTGTAAACATTTTATTTTGTACAGAGATGGTAGCATTTTATTGTTGTAAAATATGACACTTTGTCTTGTTTCCCATTCTTTATTTGCACATTTATAATTATGATAAAAATTATAATTAAGCTGACTTATTTTAGACATAAATGAATGCAGCCGTGGCCTACACACGTGTGATCTCAGCACCACCTATTGTGCAAACAGGAATGGTTCCTATGACTGCACCTGTCTCCATGGTTACACAGCAGGGGACATGGAAGAGGAGTGTGTTGGTAAGGTGAAAGATGAAGACTACTAACTCCAGACACATTCTGATCTTGGGCATCTAGTCTTTTTTTTTTTTTTTCAATGATGGCATTGAATTATTGCTGAATTATTGCTGCAAGCTGTTGGTTACTTCTATTTTGTAAGATTTTGATACAATTATCCCAGTTTTGAAAAGACATTTCGATCATTTTTTGTTATTTGTTTCTAATGACTTTTCATTGACTAATCTCCTTATTTGAAAAAAAAAATTAATGAACTAATTTTCCAGATCAAAATGAATGTCTCCTTGGTAACAGTGACCATGGCAGCAACAGTAGCAGCCTGTGCCCTGAACACTCGCACTGTGTCAACACTAGAGGGAGCTATGTGTGCCGCTGTTACTATGGTTACAGAATGAATAAAGTTAAGGGAGAATGTGAAGGTATAGTAATGAAAAAGCTGTTTTGTGAAAATGTAATGATAGAATCTGGCATCTGTTTTTTATTTTTTATTTTTTTTTGTTTAATTGATTATAACATCATTATTGATTCATAATATTAATGGGCTCATAAAAAGTAGCATAGTTTGTGGCAAATTTGCACTACTGTAGTCTTTTCATTATGCTTATGGGTATATACACTGTATAATGTTGCAGAGGTAGATGAGTGTGACATAAACAACAGCTGTCAGCAGACATGTGTGGACCTAATTGGACGATATGAGTGTGCATGTGGGGAAAGCTTTATCCCGGACAATGACACTGTATCATGCCAGCGTAAGTGCACATAGTCATCACTTCTGTAAATGAAATGTTAAAAAATATAACAGTATTTTTCAAACAGTGAGAGGAGTATTTGGTTTTCTCCCTGCTTTTGCAAATCCATTGCTCCCATCACTGATTTAGATTTCTAAAATTAAAAGAATATGATTGCAGTATTTATTGACGATGTATGTCTCTTCTCAAATCTCTTTTGCAGCCATATTTGAGTGCGATGAGGAGGAAATTATGAATTGCGATGGAGGAAACCCACGTGCTGTGTGTGCAAAATCTACGTCAAAGTTTGAAACCATTTGCAGTTGCCCTAAAGGGTACTCTCTTAATTCAACCAACTTTTGCGTGGGTAAGAGGCTTTCATGGTCCTATTGTTATAGTATTTGAAAATATTTCTTATCTTTTAATGAATGCTACCTGTGTATATGGCAATATGAGTGTGCACCAAGATTTAAAGAATGTTCTTTTGTATTTGCATTAGGTGCATATGATGTTAAAGGGCCGGTTTTTGAGTTTGCTAAATCAGAATTATATACATGGTCAAAAATTCGAATGGGAAAATTTAACTGGAAAATAAGAAAATTCAGTGCAGTGTAATATTATAATTAATAATATGTGGTGTATACAACCATTGTCTCCTGATTCAGATGTGGATGAGTGTTCAACCGGTCTCAGTCCATGCCGCAGTGAGATCAGCCGCTGTGTGAACACAGACGGCAGGTTCTACTGCAGTTGTAAGCTGGGCTTTGTGCAGGCACCAGATGGCATAACTTGTGTGGGTTGGTAAAATTTTTAACTTTTAGCTTGTCTCGTAATTCAGTTCTAGTGGATTTCATCTTTGTTACCAAAGTTACATGGTCACATGCACACGTCTCATCCTATCAGAAACAGTTTTACAATTAACAGTCCTGACAACTAAGCCAGGGAACAGAACAGTTTAGTTAAGAAAAAAAAATCCAAAAAAAGAAAGAAAGAAAAAAATCTGACAGTGTTTTCATGTTACCTTGATATATATAAATAAATTTGCATTGAAAACCAAACCGTCATTTCAGATGAGGATGAGTGTTCCACGGGTCACCACAGCTGTCAGATGATCTGTATTAATGTGGTGGGGAGTTATGAGTGTGCCTGTGAGCTGGGATATATCCTACATGAGGATAGGAGACACTGTATACAGGCCTGTGAGTATGAATACTGGTAAAAATACAGGCTGTGTTGTCCGTGAATAAGTCAGGGTTAGGGGGTTTGTTGTCCTCTTTGAGACGCATCTTAGTTTTTATGGAAAAAGTTGGGAAAATTGTTGAATTTTGTATATGTTAAGAAGCATGGATAATGTACAGAATGGCTTTCTTCCTTTATATGTACAGCCACTACTGCGACCTGCTTTGAGAATTTTAAATTTGATATTTAGGAATTTTTTACACCAGATTTTGATGAGTCTTCCTCCCCTCTCACCAACAACTGTGACAGAATCTGTTATATTAATGAAGCAATTTTCTCTCACACTAGATTTTGATGAGTGTTCCTCCCCTCTGACCAATGACTGTGACAAGGTATATGGAGTATGTGTAGACCAGCACCCAGGCTACAGCTGTCACTGCATGGCTGGCTTTACTGGAGATGGTTTTGTATGTTCTGGTAAGGTGCCATGTGAATACTGAATTTTAGTCTGTAAAAGATTGGCTGCTAGTGTGCTTTTAACCACAAATAAACACTCTTCATACTTCTCAATTGAAGAAGCACATTTACCGTATATGCTCATAATAAAAAAAACTTTAAAACTTATAGCATTTAGATTTTCGTCAAATGATGTCTTATTTTGTCATGAATTGTGATATGAACGTCAGGTTTCATGTTATCACCATTTTCAACATTTCCATAACTTAAACTAAGCTTGGTTATTTTTCATTCATCAGTATTAAATCTAAAATGTTTGATTGAAGGCAGTGTGAAAATAATGCTTCTCTGGCTGTTTTTCCAGAATTGAATGAGTGCTCCCAGCCTGACTATGGAGGTTGCCATCATCAGTGCCTGAATACTCCATATGGTAACTACACCTGTGTATGCAACACTGGATACATACTGGCAGATGACAGCCATTCCTGTGAAGGTAAGAACACTTGATACCATGTGGTAACTACACCTGTGCAGGTAAGGACACTTGATACCCTATGGTAACTACACCTGTGAAAGTAATGACACTTGATACCCTATGGTAACTACACCTGTGAAAGTAATGACACTTGATACCCTTTGGTAACTACACCTGTTAAGGTAATGACACTTGATACCCTATGGTAACTACACCTGTTAAGGTAATGACACTTGATACCCTATGGTAACTACACCTGTTAAGGTAATGACACTTGGTACCATATGGTAACTACATCTGTGAAGGTAAGGACACTTGATACCATATGGTAACTACATCTGTGAAGGTAAGAACACTTGATACCATATGGTAACTACATCTGTGAAGGTAAGGACACTTGGTACCATATGGTAACTACATCTGTGAAGGTAAGGACACTTGGTACCATATGGTAACTACATCTGTGAAGGTAAGGACACTTGGTACCATATGGTAACTACATCTGTGAAGGTAAGGACACTTGGTACCATATGGTAACTACATCTGTGAAGGTAAGAACACTTGATACCATATGGTAACTACACCTGTGAAGGTAAGGACACTTGGTACCATATGGTAACTACACCTGTGAAGGTAAGGACACTTGGTACCATAACAACACCATGATAAGACTACTTGAACTGCCTTTCTCCCGGGAGTTTTTATCAATTCCTGTTTTATTATTTTGGTTATAATAACTTTCTTTGCATCAATAGCTAGAATAACAGTAAATGGGTTATTACCAGAAAAGAAGTAGAGAGAAAGACACTTATCATCTTAAAAAATAAATATTTATTTTGTCATATTTAAACTCCAAAACTTTAAGTATCATACATTTTGTTACATCATCCAAGATTTCAAGTGATATTTTTTTTCTAAAATTATTGCTTTTTTGTTTCTCATAATTTTGATAGACGTGGATGAGTGTCAGAGTGAGGCCACACACAGCTGTTTATCCAGGCAGTATTGTAACAACACCAGAGGGAGCTATGTCTGCTCCTGTCCCACGGATTTCTATCTGGCAGAGGATGGCAAGACCTGTAAACGTAGGAAATCTCATACATGCTTATTGCTCCATTATTCCATTATTAACTTATGATACTCCATTATTCCATTATTAACTTATGATACAAATAATTTTGGAGAAAAATAATTTAGCAAGACTAACAAAAATTTTATTTTTCTGCTTGTAAAATTGTTTCACTACTTTCTGAATTTTTGATAGAGACCATTTAACAACGGACAGTTTTCATTCAGAACCATGATGATATTTTTTTTGACATAATATTATGGAGCTTTTTGGACTTTTAAGAACATTTGCTTACATATTTGCATGTAATTTTTATCTAATTTTTCTGTCTGTCCACTTATTATAAACATTAATTTTGATTGATACACCACTGTACATGTAGACTACTAAGTATCCTATTTCACTCTTCTCTGATTACAGCCACATTCAAATGTTTTGAGCCCAGAGGTTGTTCTCATTTCTGTGGCTATGTAGCGGGTGCCGACTCTTGCTTTTGTCCTAATGGGCTCACTGTCGATGAAGAATTCGGAGACATTTGTGAAGGTAATGGACAATATCTTTTCATTAACATATTATTACTCAATGCATGTATGATAATCCAAGACAAAATTAACATTTACTTCTGTAGCTTTTTTCAATGCACAGGTTAAGACGCTTTCTTGTTTTCAGATAGTTTTTGCCCTAATGTGTGTAATTAAAAGTTTTTTTAAAAAATTCTGCAATTTTGTTTCCTTCTGTATTACAGAAAATTTCATTGACATGTACAAACATTAATTCGTATATAAAAACAATGAAAAGATGCTGCATATAGCAATTCATTGGAAAGGATATAAATGTCCTTTGCTAATATTTTTATTTTGATAATTTACAAAAAGAGTTTATTCTTTCCAGACATAGATGAGTGTGCCATGCCAAATCTTCACAACTGTGATCCTGAGATGAATGTCGTCTGTGTGAACACAGTGCCAGGATATGAGTGTGCCTGCGTCAGCGCCCTCTATGTGCAAGTTGGTCCATATAGGTGCATAGGTTAGTTTAGCCTAATGTTAAGAAATACAGTACCATATAGAAACAATGAATGGGCTAAAATAAAGGTGCAACGTCATTCCATAATTATATTGAATTTCAATGTAATTTTATAATTTTATTGTTATAAAAAGAGACATATATAAAGAGATGCCTTTCTATAAATGTGATGATGGACCAGCAAAAAAGTTCACTTGGATAGAATACATGTAGATTTAGATAAATTTGTGTATATATTATTTCAACTGGTTGACAATTGTCTAATAAATCTTTATCATAAATGTTATTCTCTCAGTTTGTTATTTCAGATTATGATGAGTGTCAGGCTGGTAACCACACCTGTAGTTTGACCTCTCACACTGTGTGCCACAACCTGTCTCCAGGCTACCAGTGTGTCTGCCAGCATGGGTACATCCCCATGGGGGAGATATGTGTAGGTGAGCCAAAGTCAGGGATGGGATTTTTTGACAGTTGGTGGATTTCTGACATTTTGGGAAGCCAAAAATGTCATTGATCTATATTGCCCCCCTGTACCCCATGTCATATTTTCCAACTTTTAAAAAACTAAATGGTACTCAAATCCCTGCAAAATATTAGAAGTTAACTTTTAGACCAGAAAAATGAACTTTGGTTGAAGTGCTTAAACTTAATCTTTAAAAGCTTTAAGAACAGATGGAATTGGGTGGTGAATTAAAATTATTTATGGTGCCAAACCTTTCCAAGACCATATAATAACTTATGCTTTATGTATTATTTTGTAAAAGATACTTTGTAAATTATTAAGTGTTTTTATTTCCAAACCATGGCACTTTATATCTGAACTTCATGATTTCTAATAATTTCAGACTTAAATGAGTGCACTCTGGGCCAACATGTGTGTGATAAGGTCAAAGGTGTGTGTATTAATACACCTGGTAGTTACAGGTGCCAGTGCCAAGCGGGTTACCATGGTGATGGCATTGATTGTGAAGGTATGATGAAAAATTTGCTCACTTTAAGTAAAAGATGTTCTATTTATTTGTCTATCACAAATACCAGCAGTATCATGTATTACTATTTAAGAATTAAGACAATATGAAATTTATTAACAGTGACTGCAACAATGCAGATTATATTAGTTATTGGACAAATATTGTAAATGGTGTCACATCTTTTGAACTTTCTTCAAACTATTAACTATTTCAGATGGATCACTTATAAGTCTTTTTTTTTTTTGGTAACATTTGAGTATCATGCTGAACATAATTCACTGACTTTAATTTTAAGTATAAAATAGACACTAAAATACTGCACTGTACATTTATATTAACAGATGTAGATGAGTGCCATAGGGATACACATCTGTGTGACCAGCGTCCAGACAGAGGACTGTGTCATAACACCCCTGGCTCCTATGTCTGTGACTGTGCCAAGGGATACCAGCTGGCAGCCAATGGAAGGACCTGTGAAGGTATGTCTGCTGTGTGTGTGTGTGTGTGTGTGTGTGTGTGTGTGTGTGTGTTCATGACTATTAACAAACCAGGATGTCATATAGTCTAGCTGTTGAAATTTTGGATCCTATAACCAACCTGGATGTCTTATAAACTTAGTCTAGACTTGTAGTTGTTGAATTTTTAACTCTCTGCAGATATAGATGACTGCAGCAATGGTATCCATGACTGTCATCATATCTGTATTAACAAGCCAGGGGGCTATGGCTGTGCCTGTCTGCCTGGGTTCAGACTGGATGTTGACATGAAATCTTGCATTGGTGAGTGCAGGTTTGAATGGCCTGTTTCCTAAAAAAACTCATGTCTTTTGCAAGGAATCAAAGGGGCAACTTTATTATTAAACAGTTTAAATTTCCATTTTAAACAGTTAAAAATTGGCCAAGCTCAAAATTTAAGATAACAGATACAAATTAAGCTAGTCTTTAATCTCAAGATTTCCATTAGCACAGCATATGAACTGATAGATGTTGCCAACTTTTATAATGTTGTAGACATTCTTCCAAACATTATATAATTTGTTTATTGCTGACAGCAAGTGCAGTTAACACACCAGTGCAGTTAAATCTGTAATAAGAAATTGAATTTAGTTTGGAAAAATTCTTCATTATCTGTAGCGGCCAGACCCTGTGATAACAGTACCTATGCAGCCATGTGCCACTGGGACTGTGCTAGTATAGAGGATCTGGACACTTGTATATGTCCTAGAGGATACAGGGTGGATGAACTGGGCTTCTATTGTGAAGGTAAATAATGTATAATTATATTATATATTGAACTGGAACTGTGCCAGTATAGAGGATCTGGACACTTGTATATGTCCTAGAGGATACAGGGTGGATGAACTGGGTTTCTATTGTGAAGGTAATTTTGGTTTGAAAGTTTGGGCTGTACCAGTACAGTATGTTATCCTATTTTTTGTGAAGGTATTGCAGAGTATGAGTTCTTTCATGTTAAAATTTTGTGAAAAATAAGTAAATAAAATACTAGTAACTAAAAATAGATAAAAATCTAAATTTATGGCTGAATGTACATAGATTGCCACTGCACCTCAGAATTTAATTAGTCCCTTTTGTGCAATAATTAAGTTAATCTGATGACATATTATATTATTATCTTTAGACCTGCACAGTTTTTGTTAAAGTCAGTCGATAAATTAAATGCATTTTGTTATATATTTCAGACATTGATGAGTGCTCTACCCAGTCACCATGTGATGAAGAACGCGGCAACTGCACGAACACTTGGGGCTCGTTCCAATGCACGTGTAGAGATGGGTATAAACTGGGACTGGCATTTAAGTGTACAGGTGATCTCATGGATTTACTGGAATTTTTTTTTTTTTCACAGATGATATTTGCAACTTGTTTGGTCTGTATTAATTTCCTCATAACTAACCTGCACATTTCCAGATCGTGATGGACAATGGGGAGAGTGGACAGCATGGACAAACTGCACCAAGCCTTGTGGCGGGGGCACCAAAGTGAGATCCAGGGAGTGCAATGATCCCTCACCAGATGGCGGTGGTGCATGGTGTGTTGGAAGTGGAGGAGAGATGGCACAGTGCAACACCTGGTTGTGTCCATGTATGTTGTTTGATATAATTTGGATTATAAATTTTAAATTGATATGTTTTGTGCATGATATACATTATTCATATGTACTTGTGGTTGTCCATCATACCCGATGCTGACCAATTTAAAAGCTTCAATTTAGAAGTTGCTTTTAATTATTTGCTCCAGCTTTTGACTTGTTTTGTCAAATTAAATGTTAAGATTAAATTTTATAAATTTATATAGGAATTAACAAATATTGCCAACTTTTATGAAATGCATTTCCATTTAATGTTAGATTCAGCATTTGCCTGTGGATATCTAGGCCAATGCCTATAAGGATGTTATAATTTGTGATATATTTTTATTAAAATGTTGAGATTGCTGTTTCAGTAAACCCTGAGGAGCTTCAGTATGGAGTTATTCTCACTATAGATGGAGGACTAGGTGTGCAGCAGGTAACAATGGATATCCTTTGTTCAGGACTTTTATATACAGAACATTTTTAAAGGAAACAATATTACATAAAAAGAAAAACAATAATTTAAAAAACAATATTACACTAATTATATTTAATATAGACTATTTGTTGAAGGGACAACCGATAATTGATAGTTTTTTTGTGAGTATTGCATTTATTTATCACAGTTTTAATAACATCAGATTATAAATATACTGACAATAGAACTGAATTTTCCCAGGTTTATTTTAAAGTCTAATATTTTTCATAATAAAGTTATTTGACCACCCATTATTTAATTTCCTCGTAATTTTTGTGCATGATTTTATTTCAGTTTGTTCCGATCAGGGAGGTCTTCATCAGCAAGTTGATGACAGTTATAAATTCTTTCTGCAATTTCAATCGGAGCACGGTGTCACAGTGTTGTGGCTATGAGACATTATATCTGTAAATAGACTATTTTCTAGTTGCTAAAAGTCTCAGAATCCACTTTAAATAACATTCATTTTGTTATTACATGCTGAGTACCAGTATAACTATGCATTAGAAAAGCTTAAAAGTGATCAAAGGCACTTTTTTATTTTTATTTTTTCAAAATTAAGTTGACCCAAGAGTGTACCATAAATAAGTTCAGTAATAATTGCATACTTGAGCAAGGTGGAATATGGGAATAAAAAGGGAAAATTGACAAAAGTATTCACTATGACAATTTTTTTCTGTGAGGGCAAAAATTGTATTGAATTCATTTCACACATATTACTAATAATGCATGGCAGTCATCTTGTGTTTGCAGACCACGTAAGAACAACCCTCTCGTGTTTGCCTCCATGAACCAAGTGAAGATCGGCCAGGGCTATCCCCTGGAGAAAGATGGCCTCTTGGACGTCCTGGTCTTCTCCAAGTATAGTCCAAACTCTGGACTCTGTGCAGCCGCTTACAAGATGTTACTGACCACTACCCTTCCAACTACATCAATTCATGGAAACTTTTCCTGGAATGACACAGAGCTCCTGAATATCACTCAGGAGACAGTCAAGGATGGCGAAGGCGACTTGGTGGCAAGTGGAAGTGGAGATATTGTGGAGGAATTTAATGGAACGTTTGGTTTTAATGCAACGGATTTGTTGAACAACAGAACTTTACTTGCGTTCAATTTGACGAGCCATAATAATTTTTCTGAAGCAGCAACAATTGATGAGACATCAAAATCAGGGAGATTAAAACGTTCACATGGAAAGCAGGTGAATGATGATTCTGATGTTTATTTGGCAGACGTACACGGGCGTAAGTTGTTGACAGTGCCTACTGTTATTGTTAATGCTACAAATGACACACTTTGGAATGTGACAACTACCATCACAGTCATGACAGAAGAAACAACCCAAGATGAGTTTATACCTAAGGAGCTGTTAGCTGATATTCTTGAGTACACGGATGTGTAAGTATCTGAGGGATAAAGTTGTTAAAATAATAATAATAGGAATATTTTTTGACAGTCCCATATATTGTCTCTTCAGTATAGCTTGGTCATTATAAGCAGCAGAAAGTATGAACAAATGCTACTGTAAAAGCAGAAAATAGAGTATCATTAAATGTGCAGAAAATGTATTTTATATACTACATTGCAATTAAAATTAAATTTGATTAAAATCATGAATGTAGCATTTGTTTATTTTATATTAAATAAATAATTTGCCACAAAACTTCTATTTTGACTATTAATAAAGGTCTGTAAAAGAGAATTGTATTTTCCAAGCCATTGACTCAAATAACTGTGCAAAAAATAAAAAAAGATTGTTTGTTGAAAATGTGTATATCTTGATAATGTTGTATATATTAGTATCGCACTATAATCATATTATCATGCAGACAAGACGAGCTGACTTCAGGATTAGAAGAAGCAGTCAAAACAGCATATGGTATCACACTGAACCTCACTATCATAAGTGTTACCATAGCAACCCAGGCCCCTCCCCCTCCCACTGAGCCAGCCACCACTGAGCTGCAGTCCAACTCCACGGAGAAAATGGTCAGTTTTGTCAGGAAACACATGCCATGGGCAGATCCAGAAAAGTAACTTAACATTGTAATGATTATTATGTACAATTGCCAGATTATTTTAGTATTCTATGTTTATTTTACATAATTGTAAAGCATTAATCCTGGGGCCAGCTCTATATATATTTATATATATAAACAGTATATCTTTTATTATTTTTTTTTTTTTGACTGTTTTCACCCTGTATATTTGTAGGGTTCCTCCACAGAGGGCACTCCTGCCTGGGTGATACTACTGGCTGTCCTTGGCTCACTTGTACCCGTAGCTGTTATAATAATTGTGGTGCTGGTCCTCATCAAAAAGTAAGCTCATTTTGATAAACAAACTGTATGTTTTAAAGGCATGAAAATCTAAATTTCATGGTCCTTCATGACACTTTCAAATTAGTTGGGCATTCTGCATGTCTCATGATATGTACATTTCCGAGGAAGTTTTCGTTTTTTTACGTCATCTTTATTTCAGACCAAGTAAGGTAGCTGCTGCAGAATTTGAGGAGAATCCAAATAACTTCGATCCAGGCGATTTTGAGGAAGAAACGTGATGCTTTACTATATGGATTGGATAATTCAGGAATTGTTATCATAAGGATAACTTTTTGAGGGATAAAAAGAGAAGGGGCAATTGAAAATACCAATGAATAGCCTTAGAGGATGTTACCCAGTCTTGTGATTGTGTGGTACCTTTGTGGACCTTTCAGTTGCAATAGAGGGAACAATGCAGTTCATGTTCCGTTGATGTCTTAGCAACGTAACTTTTTGCTGCAGCAGAGCTTGTTTTTACAAAAAGACATGTTAATGGTCTTATGAAAACTGCTGGACTCTGGTTGCCTGCTATGTGATGTGGACTTTGCAACGTTGGTCTAAGGCAATCTGCCATATTACAGTTAGTACTGCTGATATACCAATAAATGCCATTTACCACTGTAAGTAAAAAGTTCAAATTTTTAGGAATGGAATAGAAACAAGAATGCAAGTTGTAGGGTTCAAGATTACTTACAGCAGTTTACTTTTTATCAACTACTGTAAAGCATAATTTCAAAACATTTTGTATGGTTTTTAACAAAACAATTACCTTCTCCAGTTCAATAATAAAGCAAAACATAAAGACAGTTATGTAACAAGAACATTTATTACATCAAATAAACAAAATCCACATTCTTATACCATATACACTAAATACAACCATCCACCTGGTACAATGTATAGTGCATAGTTCTCTCTTATACACTGTATAAACACATGGACTGCACATTGGGTGTTCTAGCTGTAAATATACTAGCTGGAACTATATATCAACCACCTTACCTTCATATAAAAAGAGTCCAGTTTTTTTTTACTTTTTGTGGGACCTTTATTCCAAATGTAAATATTTTCAAACTGTACATAAATAATAAATCGTATACTGTTGTCAGTGATGAGTTGTGTTAGTTAACAGCAATACTCACTTCTAACATGGAGAAGGCTAACCCTTATTTTATAACCAGTATATTGAGAATATAGTAATGTTCTAAGAGAAGCCACAGCAAAAGGAAGCAATACAAAGCTTAGTGTCACAGTTCTTAAATTCCCATACAATTTACGCCAGTGCAAGATGGAATGGCTGCATCCATTTTTCAAATGGGAATGTACAACAAACGCCCTTAGCTGTAAATAACGACTGACAGCATCTGAAAACATGCAATCTTTACAACCCAATATGCCATAAACTTTATATTGGATCCTAGCTGAAGCCTTATTTGTGAAAATTTACCTGTACACATTCTATTTAAAGACCACATGTATACCTGACTTATTGATAACACATGTATACACTCCTTGCACAAAGATCAACATAGTTGCATATAAAGCATTTCAAGCTAAATATAACTAATTTAACCATGAAATGTTACTTGCAGTAAAATGCTGCCTTTATATGCACTGTTTGTAAAAGTGACAACAATCTTGCAGCATTGCCATTCCTTACTAGCTAGGCAATTGTAGTAACACATATTTTGGATCATGTGTTAAAACTAAGACAATGACTGTCCAGAAGACCAGTTACACACTACAACGATTCTGTCTCAACTGACACTCGTCACATAATACAGAACTTCCTGAATCTGATGGCAAGAGAACTCGTATTTCAGTTGTATTGGTGCAATGACAAAGACCACAGCTAATGACTCACAACAGCATTTTATGTACTGTAACACGTTAGCACATATAAGAACTGTTTTACATTTACCCTAGCCCACAATCACGACTACGATATATATGGATATTTTTCAGTTTTATACATACAATGGCACACAAATACCTTGTGGCATATCTTCATACTAATGATATGGTTTCTACAGGTATTTAATATTTCTGTTTCTTGAGTAATGAATGATAACTACTGTGCTGTACACTACATTTTAGGTATGCTGACAGCTGTAAAAATGTATCTACAACAGTTAAGTATTATAATCTTTTTGGCAATTACAAAGGCTACTCGCAACATATATATTAATAAGTAAACTTGGTATCAGATCTGTAAAGAGTATACATTAATATGACTGTCACACTACTCCCTCCAATATGTTCTGAATGGCACTGCACTCTACATAGGCTGGAAAGATCACAAAACAAATGAAGAATTCTGCATCAACCTAACACTATTCTCTAACAAAACCACAGTTAGAAGATGCAAGTTGGCAATGTCACCGTTTTTAAGAAACCCAGAGGAAGAATCCTCTAAACTGGAATTCTAATGACAGAAAAGATCAAGAAGAGAAGAGCAGGAAAAGCACACTGAACAGTACATAAACCTGCTGAATATAGGAGCACAGTAGTCACCAACACCAGTGAGTTTAAAACAGCAGAAATGGATAGGTGGCATCTGGGAAAGTCGTCTCACTGGTTCCAGTGGGAGGTTGGCCTAAGTAAGTTCCTCTAATAATATACTAGTAGAATAATATTATAATAATTACATTTGATTTAAATTAAAAATTAATATCAAAATGTCCTATAATATACATTTTACTCATTTACAATTTTTTCATTCAAATGTAAAAAATTAAAGGGATAATAACTCTTCGTACGAGATCTATATTTCACAATAAGAACCTTGTGAATAACTCATAGAAATATAATATATTCTGTTTTACCACAAAAACAGCAGTTATAGCTTTTATTCTGATATCTGAACTTGTCTTTAGACCACGTGACCTCCATTGATGTCTATACTCTGTTAAAATCTCTTAAGAGATTTTAACAAAAAAACAAACTTTTTAGAAAAAAACCAGGGACTAACTTTGAATGTAAAAATGGATTCATTAACCATTGGTAAGTATGGAAAAATTGTTGTTTACTCCAGGTAAATTCAATTTTTGGCCGAAACGAAGAGTTATTATTGCTTTAAGCATGGAAATGAATAGATTAACAAGTAATGAAGCACAATAACTAAGGACAAAAAGCCCAATTATTACTACCACTTAAGGATTCCAAAATTAAACATTCCTTTTGGTGAAATGGAAGCTCCTACTTAACAAATAAACAAGAAGCTGAAGTCGAAGCAGCACACGAAAGTCATTCAATCAATAAGGGATAATGGCTATTTGACAAATCTTTTGAAGCTTCCTATACATTACTACCTACTACAGCTGATGGAGGCCACATATGCCACCATATCAATATATTAAATATTTACTTTTAATAAGTCTAATAAAAATTACACACTTTATTGGAAATTAAATCTCCAGCTGTGACTTAAGCACCCCTTCCCCCCCCCCCCCCCCCCAAATAAAGTATCCTTTAAAGTGTTCTATGCAACATACAACTTCATTGCCATGGCAAAGATTCAAAGCAGGCTGTATGGATACACCTTTTAACATATATTGTTAAATAAAATGTAATATAAAGAAAACCCAAGTGTCAATGTAAAAGGGTAGAAAATACAGCAAAGTGTACATAGCCATTCAACCAACATGTGTCCCATAAAAAAGGACTGGAAAAAGCAAAGCTTAATGTACTGTGAAATAAAAAATTAAAGGGTGACAAAAAAGACCACTAACAAAGCTGACAATAGTTTGACCACTTTGTCTAGAAAACTCAGCCAAACAGAAAAAAAAAATTCTGGTTCATTCATGTCATACAAAGTTTGACAACAAAAGTAAATGTGGTGCTGTTTACTACTTGCATCTATTCTGTAGCAATCTTCAATAGTTAATTCGTTCAGACTCTTACTTTAATATTCTATATGCATCTATTGTCAGCTAAATCAGTGGTTAATGGCAGTACTCTCTCAAACTTTAACATCAGCATTGACACCTATGTCGTTCTAACACGTGTATGAAGACTAACAATTTTTACATAAGGCCAAAAATATTTTCATTACAATCCTATCAATGTTAAATTAGTAAAAAAAAAATAAATAAATATATAAAAAAAATTAGTAAAAATTATTTAGAAAAAAAAATTGTAGAAATAAGCTTAAACTGTCAACAATGTAATTCTTACTAGCTGGAGTGGGACCTTGTCAGTAATTGTCCCTCAGTTTTAGATATATGGGCCGTGAAGAGAGTCCTATCCTCATGTTAGACTAGTATCCTAGCAGGACTATGTCCTATAACCTAATCTAATCTTGCCAAATCCTGTACAATAACCTTGTGCTCCCCCACACCCATGTTAATTGTGCCTTAGATCTTTTCTCTACATGTTACAACGCTGTCCTGATTCTATTCAGCTGTCTATATGTCACTAGTACTGAGTCTTGTCAGCCTCCTCGTACATGGCCCCCGGTACCTCCTGGGGTGGGGGGGTCACTGGGGTGCTGGCAGGCTGGCCCTGGGGTGGGGGTACAGGGGCGTCCCGGTGGAACCAGGGGGTGTCTTTGAACAGGAACCACAGGTTGCAGAGCCAGACGAATAAGTTGAGAAAACCAAAGATCTGGAAAATTGAAATGTTTTTTTAATTTAAAAACAAATAAATTATTTCATATTATTGCTGATTTAAGCATGACTCTTCTTCAGAAAAAAATGACAATTTTTTTAGGGAAATCATAGAAAAAAGTTGTTTAAGGGCAAAGATCATCATAAAAGTTCTTTAAAAATAATTAACAGTTTAATTGCCAAATGAAACATTCAAAACGATTTTTAGAGAGGTATGTGTAAAAAGTTCACAAATGACTTTCATATAGAATGTGTTCCTCTGTTTGATCTTAGTCTGTCTGTCCGTCTCTAACTCTTTCTCTGTCAGTACATCTCCCTCTGTCTGTCTGTTTGTCTGTCTGTCTCTCTGTCAGTCCATCTCTCACTCTCTCTGTCTGTCTCTCTCTGTCTGTCTGTCTGTAGTCAGAGATCTAACCCCAACCCCAGACTTACAATAGACACATTGAGGCTGGCAAAGTCTCCCTCCCTGATCGTGGTGCATTTCGTCAAGGGCGCTGTACACAGGTGTGTCCCCATGAACTCAGTGGGGTCAGAGTAGAACTTGAGTCCAGTCAAACCTGCTGCCCAGGCCGCCGAGGCTATCAGCCACATCAGACCAAATACTATGTGGACTATGAAGTCCTGGAGAGGAGAAGATGTAATAATAATAATAATAATAATAATAATAATAATAATAATAATAATAATAATAATAATAATAACAACAACAGGGGCGGATCCAGATATATTTTCTGACAGGCTTCCGAATTATCTTTATTGATCAATCCTCCTTTTTTGACTGTATTCCGACAGAAAAAATTAGATACCCATCAATGTAAACTTGAAAATCTGACAGTCTTCCAGAAGACCCTGAAGACGGCCTCAAGCTGCCCCTGAATATATTTAGTCTAAGATTCATTTTAAAATGTGCTTTCATTTCACTTATCCCCATCTTCCCATTGGGAAATAGGGCCACGACACGGTGATGCCATTCTGTGCAGTCTTTTGCTACATTACTTAATGTGCATCAGACTTGCCTCATGGCCTGTACAAGATATTGGTATGGGATTTGTCTTGTGAGAGTCCAATAACAAAGTATAGATTTTCTGATGTAATATAACTTTTATCTCTTGGTTACAAATATTTATAATCGATATTTAAAATACCAATACTCTGTGATTGACAAACTTACTGAAAAAGGTCTTTATTTTTTAACTTTAAATTCTGACTTTAAACTGAGAGAGAGAGAGAGAGAGAGAGAGAGAGAGAGAGGTCCAGCAATCTTACCACTTTAGGCCCCACGTCATTCTCTTTGAACTTGGCTGAGAAAAAGACGTAGGTGATAACAATGGCCAGACTGTACAGGAATGCCATGACACCAATGAACACATAGAACTGAGACGGCGCAGAGAAGTTGCCGTACACCATTCCTTTTACACCGCAGGTGGTAAATTCCTGGTTGTCTAAGCTGAAAAATATGGGACTTCATGTGTAAATTTGAACAGCATACCAGTATGATTTTGCCTTATAGGAAAAAAGTCAGAAGAAATAACTCAGTGGCCTTACAACTGATGGTTCATAGCTTTTTTTATTACTTGACGAAACTGTCTCTTAGGGAAAAAAAAGCAAAAAAAAAAAAAAAAAAAATCTCTTTGGCAGAGGTAAAAAAAAAAACCCACAGAGAATTTTTGAACTTGGACTAATCACATATAGGTCTGTTAGGCCCCATTCCCAAAGACACCATTGGTCTATGTAAATCGATCCAACTCTGTGGGGACTCTTGCTGAGTGCAAATTAATACATGTCACATCTCCTGGCATTGAGTAAAATACAGAAAAGCTGGAGATTATGGGAGTACAGTGAAAACAAGAGGAGGCGTGTCGTTCAGCTGATTGAATCTGGAGACAGTACCAGCAGAATGGCAGAGTTGGATCAGATGGTGTCTGTGAAAACGAGGTCATAGAATTCAACCACCAATTCTACACCTACACAAATGGATATGCTATCTTTAACTTGTCTACCCTTGCTGTTGCTGTTCCATTACAAACTACCTTCCACTCAGAGAAAGTGTTCACACTGGTTGTTGTGGCAAATGCAAATATTGCCAGAACCTGGAAAAATGAGGAAGCCAATACTGTAGACAAACGATTCATTAATATGGCAATGATTTTCTTGTACACTGTGAAATAGCTCATGCATCTAGCTGGTAGCTACTACATGTATTATGGTAATAATTTGTTGCATTTAATCCATTTTGTGTAACTCAAAAGTCTCTGTTACTGTTGTATCTTGTACAGTAGTATATAAATTTTTTATGTTTCATTTTAAAACAAGGCAGCAAAGCTGTCAAATGTACAGACAAAGAACAGAAAATAAATATGCAAATAAGTGAAAAATTAAATTTTCACAAAAAACTGTTAAATTGCCAGAAAAATTTACCAAACAGACTGCGTTGCCTATTGAAGCTGTATGTTAGACCCATGTTTCTTTCCTGTAAGTTTGAGAACAGTAAGTGACATGATTTCCCTTAAATGGTCATCATAGGAGCAGTGCCCAAAATAGGGGTTTCTTCAAATTTTGATGCAATATTACATAATGTTTACAGTAAACTCGTTAGCGTATGAGAGTGCGTAATTACAAATTGTTTTGCTGTTTTTACGCATTGGCTGGAGCCCCAGCGCGTACGAATACGCACACCTTTGGCTTTGAAGATCGGCGAAGTTGACCAGTCCGTTGACTGTTGACGNCCACTCCCCCCCCCCCCCCCCCAAATAAAGTATCCTTTAAAGTTCTATGCAACATACAACTTCATTGCCATGGCAAAGATTCAAAGCAGGCTGTATAGATACACTTTTTAACATTTATTGTTAAATAAAATGTAAAGAAAACCCAAGTGTCAATGTAAAAGGGTAGAAAATACAGCAAAGTGTACATAGCCATTCAACCAACATGTGTCCCATATAAAAGGACTGGAAAAAGCAAAGTTTAATGTACTGTAAAATAAAAAATTAAAGGGTGACAAAAAAGACCACTAACAAAGCTGACAATAGTCCGACCACTTTGTCTAGAAAACTCAGCCAAACAGAAAAAAATTCTGGTTCATTCATGTCATACAAAGTTTGACAAAAAAAGTAAATGTGGTGCTGTTTACTACTTGCATCTATTCTGTAGCAATCTTCAATAGTTAATCCGTACAGACTCTTACTTTAATATTCTAAATGCATCTATTGTGAGCTAAATCAGTGGTTAATGGCAGTACTCTCTCAACTTTAACACCAGCATTGACACCTATGTCGTTCTAACACGTGTATGAAGACTAACAATTTTTACTTAAGGCCAAAAATATTTTCATTACAATCCTATCGATGTTAAATTAGTAAAAATTATTTAGAAAAAAAAATTGTAGAAATAAGCTTTAAGTGTCGACAATGTAATTCTTAATAGCTGAAGTGAGCCCTTGTCAGTAATTGTTCATCAGTTTTGGATAAATGAACTGTGAAGAGAGTCATATCCTCAAGTTTGTCTAGTATCCTAACAGGACTATGTCCTAGCCTAATCTTATCTCGCCAAATCCTGTACTAAAACCTTGTGCTCTCCCACACCCATGTGAATTGTGCCTTAGATCTTTTCTCTACATGTTACAACGATGTCCCGATTTCTTCTCTTCAGCTGTCTATATGTCACTAGTACTGAGTCTTGTCAGCTTCCTCGTACATGGACCCCGGTACCTCCTGGGGTGGGGGGGTCACTGGGGTGCTGGCAGGCTGGCCCTGGGGTGGGGGTACGGGGGTGTCCCGGTGGAACCAGGGGGTGTCTTTGAACAGGAACCACAGGTTGCAGAGCCAGACGAATAAGTTGAGAAAACCAAAGATCTGGAAAATTGAAATGCTTTTATTTAACAAAAACAACTGAAAATTTTCATATTAATTATTAATTTAAGCCCGATTCTTCATTTGAATACAAATTGCCAACAAATTAAGTTTTTGAGGGAAAAAGGAAAATCATTGAAAAAAATTACAGGCAAAGATCATATAAAAACTTCTAAAAAAATAATTGAGTTAAATTGCCAAATTAATGATTTCATAGTGAGATTTTCATCTAGAATGTGCTCCTGTTTGATCTTAGTCTGTTAATCTTGAGTCCATCTTTGTCTGTCTGTCTTTCTCTGTCTGTCCGTATCTTACTCTCTCTCTCTCTGTCTGTCTTTCTCTGTCTGTAGTCAGAGATCTAACCCCAACCCCAGACTTACAATAGACACATTGAGGCTGGCAAAGTCTCCCTCCCTGATCCTGGTGCATGTGCTGGGAGCTGTACACAGGTGCGTCTTCATGAACTCATTGGGGTCAGAGTAGAACTTGAGTCCAGTCAAACCAGCCGCCCAGGCCGCAGAGGCTATCAGCCACATCAGACCAAACACTATGTGGACAATGAAGTCCTGGAGAGGAGAAACAGGATGAAACAATAATAATAATAATAATAATAATAATAATAATAATAATAATAATAACAGGGGCAGATCCAGATATATTTTCTGACAGGCTTCCGAATTATCTTTGTTGATCCATCCTCCATTTTTGACCGTCTTCCAACAGAAAAAATTAGATATTTACCCATCAATGTAAATTTGAAAATCTGGTCATCTTCCAGAAGACCGAGAAGATGGCCTAAATATGCCCCTGAATAATATGTTTAGTCTAAGATTCATTTTAAAATGTGCTTTCACTTCACGTATCCCCATCTTCCTTTTGGGAAATAGGGCCACGACACAGTGACGCCATGCTGTGTGGTCTTTTGCTACATTACTTAATGTGCATCAGACTTGCCTCATGGCCTGTACAAGATATTGGTATGGGATTTGTCTTGTGAGAGTCCAATAACAAAGTATAGATTTTCTGATATATCTCCTGGTTACAAATATTGATAATTGGTCTGTAAAATACTAATGCTCTGTGATTGACAAACTTCCTGAAAAAGATCATTATTTTTTAACTTTTGACTTTAATCCAAGGCTTTGAGAGAGAGAGAGAGAGAGAGAGAGAGGTCCAGCAATCTTACCACTTTAGGCCCCACATCATTCTCTTTGAACTTGGCTGAGAAAAAGACGTAGGTGATAACAATGGCCAGACTGTACAGGAATGCCATGACACCAATGAACACATAGAACTGAGATGGCGCAGAGAAGTTGCCGTACACCATTCCTTTTACACCGCAGGTGGTAAATTCCTGGTTGTCTAAGCTGAAAAATATGGGACTTCATGTGTAAATTTGAACAGCATACCAGTATGATTTTGCCTTGTAGGAAAAAAGTAAGAAGAAATAACTCAGTGGCCTTATGACTGATGGTTCATAGCTTTTTTTATACTTTGAGGAAACTGTCTCTTAGGGTAAAAAAGCCAAAAACATAACTCTTTGGCAGAGGTAAAAAAAAAAACCCACAGAGAATTTTTGAATATGGACTAATCAAATATAGGTCTGTTAGGCCCCATTCCCAAAGACACCATTGGTCTATGTAAATTGATCCAACTCTGTGGAGACTCGCTGAGAGCAAATTAATAAATGACGCATCTCATCCTGGCATTTAGTAAAACACAGAAAAGCTGGAGATTATGGGAGTACAATGAAAACAAGAGGAGGCATGTCGTTCAGCTGATTGAATCTGGAGACAGTACCAGCAGAATGGCAGAGTTGGATCAGATGGTGTCTGTGAAAACGAGGTCATAGGATTCAACCACCAATTCTACACCTACACAAATGGATATGCTATCTTTAACTTGTCTACCCTTGCTGTTGCTGTTCCATTACAAACTACCGTCCACTCAGAGAAAGTGTTCACACTGGTTGTTGTGGCAAATGCAAATATTGCCAGAACCTGGAAAAATATGGAAGCCAATATTGTAGACAAATGATTTGTCAATATGGTAATGATTTTCTTGTACACTGTAAAATAGCTCATGCATCTAGCTGGTAGCTACTACATGTATTATGGTAATAATTTGTTGCATTTAATCCATTTTGTGTAACTCAAAAGTCTCTGTTACTGTTGTATCTTGTACAGTAGTATATAAATTTTTTATGTTTCATTTCAAAAGAAAAGCAGCATAGTTTTATAAATTTACAAAATAAATTTATCATCAAATACATGTGTCAAAATCACTTGAGTCTTACACAGAAATCAACTCTACATGTTTCACTTTCTAGTGACAGTTGCAGGTACTCTCAAATTTAATTTACGAAATACAAAACTGCCCTTTTTACTTATCTTCTAACATTTCATTTTAATAAAAAAAAATTAATGCAATCAATTTTAACACAGTTCTGCTAATAACACTTCTTCCCTGTTTTAACTTTAAAATCCATTTGCTGACCCATCAAACTTATTATAATAATATTTCACTGTATCTGTATTCCTAGCTTGACATAAAAAGGTACAATAAGATGGATGAGCTTACAAACTGAATAATCTTTATAAATCCCTTGGGGTACTTCAAGACATCAAAGTCCGCACCAGCAGCTATCTGGAAAGTCAATAGATGGCGTTAGTGCATGGCAAAATCATAAATTCCTTCAAAGGCATGGAGGTCAATTTCTGCACCAAAATAAACTGATTTTTTTGCAATTCATTACCAGTGAGTGACCTGTTCAACTTAAAGGTACCATATGCTTTATAATGCCAAAACTAATACATATTTTACAACATTCAAACTGCACAGAAGCTTAAAGTGGCAAATGATGAAAGGCAATATATTTTGTTCATCCTGAAAATTAAATGAGAAAAAAAAATTATATGCGTGAAAAAGGTTAAATTGCCTTAGGAGAAAAGTACTAACTGAAAACATAATCAAAATTTGTTTCAATTAGGACAAACATTTGCCAATAATTGACCCATATATTTTGTCAGTTAAATTGTTAACTTTCAAGAACAAATTTTTACAGGTGGTGCACTTACTATTATACTGCCAATACATTATTTCTGCACCTCAGTTTCCACAATTTTTACACATAATTGCAAGTTAAGACTATAGCCTCACTTTTTGTCTTGTCTTGAATATATGTGTTTAAGTGCAAAATAAATAAATAAATAAATAAAAATTTAAATGATAACAGAATAAATATTCCATCAGTGTTCATTGGATTGTGCAGTGTCCGTGAAAGGATCTGTGCAGTAATGAAATAGGCAGCAATCAATGCCAGCTATTACCAGCAACAGAACCCATCAGACTGCATGAGAAATCAATGAAATGACCTCTAATTTTCACAGAGTAATCCCAAACTGAAGTTGTTCAGGTGGTGGAGTCTTGGTCTTTTTTAAAGCAGCTACTAGCATATACCAGACACATCCTATTAAATAAAACCTGGTTCATCTGTTCAAACATTTAATTAAAGTTTATTTTCGCTAACTTAACCAACTTGACTGAAAAGACCTTTCTACAGTTTTCAGCTTCACCTAATGTAGATATTTTCTGTATAAAATCCTCACATCAGGGATGCATTTCTAGGTATATATTAATAAATCTAGGACAATTTGCTAGAAATCTCTTGGTAGACTTGTTTGCACCTTGTTAAAAAATTACTAAGGAGTGTATTTTTGTTTAAACCTAATCTTGTTTTTTTGGCAGGAGAAGTGAAAACCACATAAATCTTTCACAACCAACTTCAAATAAACCACTTACCAGTACTAAAAAATAAAAAAATCAAGTCTGACGTGACAGCAGATCAAAATAATTATCAATTTTCATTTCTGTGAAATTCCAAGCTCTTTCATTAATTCTTTGTTTATTTCTGAAATCTTAATATTAACAGCAAAAGGTTCACATCACACTCAACAGGCAGATCCAGGGTGGAGACAATAGCCTTCCTTTCTTTTCAAAACCAAATACCCACCCAGTGAACATACACACACACACACAGACACCCACGCACAAAAAAAAAAAAAAAAAAACTCACCATTCTGAACACCTCATTGCGATATTTCTGCCAGTTTAAAGGGAAAGAAATATGAATTAGCATTCATTAATTAATAAGCATAATTTACTTTCACTCATTGAGCCACAGGGCTTTCTTCACATGTGTTATAACAACTCTAGACTAAGCTTTTTCACATCAAGCGTTTCATCTTGTTCTTAGGGGTCAGTCCCAATGAAACTATCCTGGCATTGAGTAGAACATAGAAAAGCTGGTGATTACACCAGTACTCTGGAAACAAGGAGAGTGTTAATTTACGAATCTGAGAGAGTGTCCGCGGAGTTGGATCGATCCACAAAGAACAATAGTTTCCTTGGGAATGAGCCAAAAATGAATCGGTCCTGACTGAATGAGATGTAAAGAAAAGGGGCACAGCAGTGCAACTGTTAGTCTATTTAGTTATTAATCTCAATAAAAAAGATATCAATGCCCTATTAGTATGTGGGAAGAATTACAAAGCCTGCAATTACACAATGAAATTCATTTTGGTTTGGCATATTACATAAATCATGAATTGCTTTAGCTAATGACATAGCCAGGCATGCAATACTGATTCTTTGTATGAAATGCAACAATCAAAATGAAAGTAGTACAACCATGATGCATAAACATTTGAATTATGGATCCAACAACATGTAATATAAAAGGGAAAAAACATACTTTCTATTTAGCACATATTATACGTACATCGTACGACACTTGTTTCCATGACTCATCCTCTATACACTGCCATTGCTTCTAAAACTTATCTGTCAAAGGCCCAAATATTAATGTACAGTAAAGAAGAAATCAATGCTGGGCTAGCTCCAGGCAGACTTAAACCATGTTAATAATCTTCTCTAGCTGTTAGGTGGACATAGTATTTTACTGATATTTACTGCATTACCATATTACACTGGTCAGCGATTTTCATAGTACAAAACACTCCTCTTAACATATATAGACTTCAGTGGTTGATCAGTCTATTAAACTAGTAGTAACTTAAACCCATTCTCATAGGGTGCTTTCCCAGAGATTTAGATCGATCTAGAGATTAAGATTTAGATCGACCTAGCTCCCTGGGGGTTCACACTAAATTGCAGTCAGCCGAGCGGGCACCATAGTTAATTACCCCCTTACAGCTTTTAGTAGGCGGGATAGACGCTTAAGCCAGCCAAGCTGACAGTAATCTAGTGAGACTCCCCACAGGGATAGATCGATCTAAAAATCTATGGAAATGGGGTGATAGACACCATAGATCTATGTAGATTGTTCCAACACTGAGGACTCTTGCCAAGTGCAATCAGCTTTTAAAACTAAATGGCACGTCCAATCCTGGTATTGAACAGAATACAGAAAAGCTGAAGACTATAAGAGAACATTGGAAACAATAGGAGGCATGTTATTCATTTAAGCTGATTGCACTCAGCAAGAGTTGGATCGTTCTACATACACCTATGGTGTCTTTGGAAATGGGGCCTTTTTTTGTGGCAAAGTGTCTTTGGGGAAGGGGCTTTTTTTGTGGCAAAATGTACAAATTGGATATCATATTAACTCTACTGGAAATGCTAGTCATCATCTGGCAGACCACTGTACAACAAAACCAGAGACTTATACCAGTATTATTACAGTAATAGACAAAATCACCAAAGATGTGTACTTATTAATGCATGAAGCATGCCATAGATGTTGGACAATTATGTATAATACCAGAAATTACCAGTAAATGTCAGTGCTTCAATCCTGGGATGTAATCAGCAGCATGTATTACAATGATGTGATAAAATTATTCAGCATATTCAAACCAGACAGATTTTTTTGTTTTGTTGGTATTAAATTAGACAAACAGGATACTAGTATGGAAGTTTTGAATATGAGCAAGTTAGGGCCATATGAAAGTACATTTAGTGAGTAAATGTAGTAAAAACTTGTGAAAATTGAATTTTAACACAGATGACATATGTTGAAATTTATGAGCTACTACCGTACCACTCCAATTCAGCACAGCAATCAAGATAACATCCACTGCTGATTACACAATACAACTGATATTTAAGCAATGGGTAGGATACTAGGCATTTAACAGGGCTATTATTGCATATCAATTTGATTTATTATGCCAGACAAAAAGAAAAAAAAAGATGCTAATTAGCTTTCTGAACAGAACATGGCTGCTATTCAGATGTAGACAAAAGCAGACCAGCTTAATATTTTTTCTCCATATAGAACTTTTATACGAAATCATTTTATCTTGAGTTAGTACATTCTTGAACATGTTAGAGACACACAGAAGTCAAACCAAGGAAAATACATCATTCATGATGTAAATGAGTTCATTTAATTACATCTTTTTCTATATTCTGACATGCAGTTTTGTATTGTGACACACACACATAAACCTACATCATGCATATTTAGTTTTGGCACATTTCTTTATTTTACACAAACACGACTGTTCTTTTGGAGGATGCGTTTGTTCAGAAATGCAACAATGCTCTTCTAGCTGCCATCACCCTACTGTTGGATCCAAGTTACTTTTACACCTCAACTAGACATCTCTCATGCCCACCTAGCTTATTAATTATTAATACACTGTACTAATACTACTACTACTACTATTACTAGTACAAACAACATTTGGTGCATGGGAACATTATTTCAAGGAAGCAGGAGCTTCACATCAGGTCCAATGCAGGCTAACTTGCTTGTTTGCATCTCCTTCTTTTAGGCATGCGAAGTACTAATATACACGTTAGATCTACAACTTAAAGCGGACTTAAAGCCCATTGGCAGTGTATTTACCGGGTACTTCAGCTGTACAAATGTACATGTACAAATGCTCATTTTAAACCCGAAGTTCTAGACAATAAGACAGGTATCTAAAGCTCCCGCCTTACGCACACGATAAATTACTACATATTATAGCTAGTTTTATAACTAATTACAGTTTCACTTCATAAAAGCAAAAATGAATTTAATGCCGTCACATGACATTTCGAGTCAAACAACGACGACAAGATCGATCCTTTACACATCAAGCTATAGAATATTGTTCTATATCTTGAACATAAAAGATGTGACAACACTCTTGCACCTTCTTGTAAGGTTTATGCTGCAATAATAATGCAATTTAAAGATTCAATATATTTTCAAAATATTATTTTAAAAACTTACGCCTCCTACGTCCATTTTTTCGGCTTTCTTTTTCTTCCGCAAACAATGTCTCTCGCGAGGTGATTAGTCAGAAATGAAGAATTGCTCTGCAGCAAAAATATCGAAATCAAAGAGGCATTTTGATTTGCCAAAATTAAATAAACTATCTATCTTGATATAAAACAATAACTCCTCGAAAAATATAGAATGGTTAAATCTTAATTTATTTAACCATCATTTATCTGAAATGAGTTTGCATTCAGAAGGAAGTAAATACAGACCTTGATGAAATTTTGTGCGGTCCTGTTATTCACCCGCAAACAAGAAAGTTGCCGGCAGATAATCCATATAAATGTAAGTATTTATGAACTAATAAGAAGCATTATATTTATCCCGGTAAGAAAATCTTCAAAAGCAATTAACAAACAGAGGGTTAATAATATTTTTGTGGCATTGGTTTGTTTGTCAAATACTCTTTTTGGCAAGAAAAACCGTCACGTGTATCTTGTCAAGTCATTCTGTCGTTGAGAGTTGACTGATGAAAAATGCTTGCAGTAGAAGATCCTGTATCTTCACAGATTTTGTTATCTAAATAATTATTTCAATTAATTATTTAAATTTTTTTTTTATCTTACTTCATGGGAATTTGGCTTAGATCTGACCGTCGGTGTTTTGTTATGAATTCGTTTTTACTTATATTACTGTATGTTGCACACTTTTATTTTCAGCAAAATGTTTCTTACCCGATCCGAGTACGACAGAGGCGTAAATACCTTCTCCCCAGAAGGCAGGATATTTCAGGTGGAATATGCCATAGAAGCAATCAAGGTAAAATGACGGAAGTATATGGTGCTTTACAAAGTTTACTGCCTATCAATTCCCTGCCCTTCCTATTTACTCCCCCCCCCTTTCCACTTAGAAAGAAATAAAGAAGACACCACAATGCCAATGCTTTACTTAGTCTTAAAAAAATAGATTAAACACAAAAGCTTTAAAATGACATTTCTGATTTATACCTGTAAAGTGCATTGAAATGTATTGTAGTTGAATGCCCTGTACAAGAAATTATATTATTATTATTATTATTATTATTATTATTATGTTTAACAAAGCACCAGGAAATGAAGGAACATTATCGTTGCCTAATATGTACCCTGCTGTCATTTATCATTTTAACTGGCATTTGTTCTGTGTTGTTTTAGCTTGGCTCTACTGCCATAGGTATTCAGACATCAGAAGGTGTGGTTCTTGCTGTAGAGAAAAGAGTGACATCACCCCTCATAGAACCTTCCAGCATTGAGAAGATATTTGAAATTGATCACCATATAGGTAAGACTCATGAATAGTTCATAATTTAGATTTCATGCAGTGATTATTTATTTCATATACAGTACTTAATCTTACTTTTTGACCTCCTATTGAAACAGATGTAAGTTCTATAAAACATCCTGGTGGTAATAATACCAACAGTGAATAGCCAATGATATTCTTATACAATGATATATACATGATGTATACAATGATATTCTTTTTTTTTTAAATTTGATTACTACAAAATGATTTAAAGACTGTTACTTTGCTTTGTTGAGTAATATCTCATTCCCGATAAAACTATCATTCTATTTAGATTGATCCAACTCCATGAAGACTCTTGCTGGATAAAATCAAATTAACAGTCTAAACACACCTCCTCTTGGCATTCAGTAGAATACAAAAAAAGTTGGTGATTAAGCAAGTATGTTGGAAACAAGAAGAGGTGTTTTAATCTTAATTTGATTTCATTCTTTGAGAGTCCCCACAGAGTTGGATTGATCTATGTAGAACCATGGTTTCATTGGGAATGGGCCTTAATAAGTACTTCACTATTCCAGGCTGTGCAATGAGTGGTTTGATAGCAGACTCCAGAACCATGGTAGACAGGGCTAGGGTAGAGGCACAGGTAAGGGTTGTTATACGACACATACCTTAATTCTTCGCAACTCATAATTATGGTAGCATCACATCAAGGTCAAAGTCATTTTTCTAGGCTATTTTTACTACTGTTTTTATTATATGAGATATGGTGATAGAGTACTGACAGATTAAGTTTAGAAAAAATGCCTCATTTCATATCATATGCAATTCAAGTATCTTCCCAATAGTTTTGTTAATTCATATTGGTTTCAAGCAGCAGCTAGAAATAATATGAACAATTTCAATGGCAATAGACCCAGCAGGCTATTACAGACCTCAAAGAATTTAGATGTTATTGTTATTTTACCATTTGTTTCAGAATCACTGGTTTACATATAATGAAAACATGAGTGTGGAGAGTGTTACGCAGTCTGTCAGTAATCTAGCTCTAGCATTTGGTGATGATGATGCTGATCCTGGAGCTATGGTAAGTGTGTGTGTGTGTGTGTGTGTGTGTGCTTGAGCCTATGTGTGCCTGGGCTATGGTATGTGTGACACAGTCAGTAGTCTAAATTCAAGGATTGTACTTTCAGATAACCTTAGTAACTGTTTATTACAGTTGATAAGATGATTTGCAAAGTTTCATGCCAAAAAAGTTTAATCCATGTATAGTGACATTTTTCATCTCAAACTACAGCCTACATACCTCAGTTTTCAATACCATTTGTGCTTTCATTCCTTTGAAAAAGACCATGTGTGACAAACACTCCTCTTATTTTGTTACTAGTATATAAAATGTGCCTTCTGCTTTCAGAGTCGACCATTTGGAGTAGCTCTGCTGTTTGCTGGGATAGATGACAAAGGGCCACAGTTGTAAGTTTGTACTGAAGTAAATGCTTGATGTGGGCATTGACAGCTATATCTTTACTGCACTAATCTTTTTCACAACATAATACAAGAGAATTTGCATTTATTAGTGGAGAAAGGGGCTTTCATTTCACCATTTTCAAACCTTTAATGCAACCACCATTCTTTTAAAGGTGAATGGTGACTTGGTAGTTGAACACAGTGATACCAATTAAAAGAAATGTAGAGGTCACGGCATGTTATATTCTTGCAAGCCTGTGTAATAAATATTCTGTGCTGTGGTTGCAGGTTTCACATGGACCCTTCTGGTACATTTATCCAGTATGATGCCAAGGCAATTGGTTCAGCATCAGAGGGAGCACAGCAGACACTGCAGGAGGTTTATCACAAGGTAATATATATATATTGGGCTTCCAGCATTGTGGGAGACGATTGGGGGGGGGGAGGGGGGTTGGAGAGAGATAGATGACAAGGCAGACTCTAATGCAATTGCAAACTGCTGAAATGTATTTTCATGTAGGAAATATATTACAAGGAAAATACACTGTACTTACTTCATCAGCTGTGCTGTGCACTCAAAGTTGCTGTTACTGTCACAGTGGTTTCTTAAATGAGTCGGAATTTCAGTTACCTGCACAGTGCACTCCATTATAAGTTCGTTTTCTTCTCGTTGTATAATCATAATTGATAACATGCACTAGCATCATTTAATATAAAGGAAACACTTAAATTAGCATTATCCATGGTCCAACATGTATACAATAATAACTATCATTGTCTTTCAGTCTATGACACTCAAAGAAGCCTGTAAGAATGCCTTAACTATTTTGAAACAAGTGATGGAAGAAAAGTTAAACTCATTAAATGTGGAGGTGAGTTGAGAAGATTTGTAGCCAATTATTTCTTTGAAAGTACTTAAATTTGATGATCATCCTTGATAAGAATAATTTCCCTGTTAAGCTTTAGGCTGTAGATAGAATCTTTTTCTAAAGTTGTGCAAACCAGGGCCATTTTTGCTGCAGGTTTTGTAAGTTCTGGACTTAAAGCTTGGGTGTTCTAAAAATATTTCTAGAATATTTTTGTTGCAGTTTGAGTTATTTATATTGAAATTTGTTTAAGTCCTGAATTATACCAGAGTGTGTGCTTTTTATTACTTGCATGTGAAAAATGGCTTTGGTTGACTAAATATTTTTATATAATGGATGTCCCTTACAAACATTTTTCTTTAATATTTTAGTTGGCCACCGTGACACCGTCTGCTGGATACAAATTATTTTCCAAAGAAGAAATTGAGGATCTCATTAAAGACATATGAACTGTTCATCAGGAATTATGAATTTATTATGACTAATTGAGAGGAAGGAAGTTGTATATTATTATGTAAAATTATAGTGCCTCAAATTGCTGCATTAAAAGCAGACTGAGTTGAACATTGCATTGTGTGCTGGATATTTGTGAGGCAGGGGGAGAGTAGAAAAAAAAAAAAGAACTTTGTGGAAAACAAATTTTACTCAATTCTGAAGGAGACACACAGAGTTGTTCTTGTGAAGTGCAAGATAAATATTCTCTCTGAAGCAAGGGAGCCAGCGAGCTGTCCATCAGTCATTTTGATGGTCTCTTTTAAAAGAGGACAGCCTTATGTTACAGATGGAAGGCTTGTTAAAATTCCTATGGCTGGCATCTTGATAAAATCCCCTCTGCCACCCCTGGTCATTGTCTTTAAACTGTGAAGATAAAAATTTAGTCAGACTTGAATGCATCCCATTATTGTGGACTGAGGAATTTCCTTTTTTTTTTTTTTTTTGGGGGGGGGGGGGGGTTTTTTTTTTTTNCGATAAAACTATCATTCTATTTAGATCGATCCAACTCCATGAAGACTCTTGTTGAATAAAATCAAATTAACAGTCTAAACACACCTCCTCTTGGCATTCAGTAGAATACAAAAAAGTTGGAGATTAAGCAAGTATGTTGGAAACAAGAAGAGGTGTTTTAATCTGTTAATTTGATTTCATTCTTTGAGAGTCCCCACGGAGTTGGATTGATCTATGTAGAACCATGGTTTCATTGGGAATGGGCCTTAATAAGTACTTCACTATTCCAGGCTGTGCAATGAGTGGTTTGATAGCAGACTCCAGAACCATGGTAGACAGAGCTAGGGTAGAGGCACAGGTAAGGTTTGCTATACTACACATATCTTAATTCTTCTCAATTCATAATTATGGTAGCATCACATCAAGGTCATAGTGATTTTTCTAGGCTGACTATTTTTACTACTGTTTTTATTATATAAGATTGGGTGATAGAGTACTGACAGATACAGTTCAGAAAAATTGCCTCATTTCATACCATACTTAGTATGCCATTTAGGTATTGTTATTTCATATTGGTTTCCAGATATAAATTCATATAATTTTAATGCCAACGACTCAGTAGGCTATTACAGACTTGTGAAAATTTAGACAGAATTAAAAATCTCTCACTATTTACTGTTCGTTTCAGAATCACTGGTTTACATATAATGAAAACATGAGTGTGGAGAGTGTTACGCAGTCTGTCAGTAATCTAGCTCTAGCATTTGGTGATGATGATGCTGATCCTGGAGCTATGGTAAGTGTGTGTGTGTGTGTGTGTGTGTGTGTGTGTGTGTGTGTGTGTGTGTGTGTGTGTGTGCACGCGCGCGCCTATGTGTGCCTGGGCTATGATATGTGTGACACGGTCAGTAGTCTAAATTCAAGGATTGTACTTTCAGATAACCTTAGTAACTGTTTATTACAGTTGATATGATGATTTGCAAAGTTTCATGCCAAAAAAGTTTAATCCGTGTATAGTGACATTTTCTTCTCAGACTACAGACTACAGATCTCCATTTTCAATACCATTTGTGCTTTCATTCCTTAAAAGATCATGTGTAATGAACATTCCGCTTATTTTGCTACTAATTAAAAAAATATGCCTTCTGCTTTCAGAGTCGACCATTTGGAGTAGCTCTGCTGTTTGCTGGGATAGATGACAAGGGGCCACAGTTGTAAGTTTGTACTGAAATAATTGCCTTGATGTGGGCATTGACAGCAATATCTTTACTACACTAATTTTTTCCACAACAAAATACAAGAGAATTTGCATTTATAGTGGAGAAAGGGGTTTTCATTTCACCATTTTCAAACTACTGCAACCGTCATAATTTTACAGATGAATGATGACTTGATACTTTTGATACTTGAACACAGTGGTACTATTTAAAAGAAATGTAGAGGTTAGGACATATTATTTTCTTGCACACCTCTGTAATACAATTTTTTGTGCTGGGGTTGCAGGTTTCACATGGACCCGTCTGGTACATTTATCCAGTATGATGCTAAAGCAATTGGTTCAGCATCAGAGGGAGCCCAGCAGACACTGCAGGAGGTTTATCACAAGGTAATATATATATATATATATATATTGTGCTTCCAGCATTGTGGGAGGCGAATGGGGAGGGGGGGGGTTGGAGAGAGATAGATGACAAGGCAGACTCTAATGCGATATCAAACTGCGGAAATGTATTTTCATGTAGGAAATATATTACAAGGAAAATACACTGTACTGACTTCATCAGCTGTGCTGTGCACTCAAAGTTGCTGTTACTGTCACAGCAGTTTCTTAAATGAGTCGGAATTTCAGTTATCTGCACAGTGCACTCCAATATAATTTCGTTTTCTTCTCGTTGTATAATCATAAATGATAACATGCACTAGTATCTTTTAATATAAAGGAAACACTTAAATTAGCATTATCCATGGTCCAACATGTATTCCATAATAACTATGATTAATCTTTCAGTCTATGACACTCAAAGAAGCCTGTAAGAATGCCTTAACTATTTTGAAACAAGTGATGGAAGAAAAGTTAAACTCATTAAATGTGGAGGTGAGTTGACAAGATTTGTAGCCAATAATTTCTTAAAATGTACTTAAATTTGATGATCATCCTTGATAAGAATAATTTCCCTTTTAACCTTTAGGTTGTAGATAGAATCTTTTTCTAAAGTTGTGCAAACCAGGGCCATTTTTGCTGAAGGTTTTGTAAGTTCTGGACTTAAAGCTTGGGTGTTTGAAAATATTTCTAGAATATTTTTGTTGCAGTTTGAGTTATTTATATTGAAATTTGTTTAAGTCCTGAATTATACCAGAGTGTGTGCTTTTTATTACTTGCATGTGAAAAATGGCTTTGGTTGACTAAATATTCTTATATAATGGATGTCCCTTACAAACATTTTTCTTTATATTTTAGTTGGCCACCGTGACACCGGCTGCAGGATACAAATTATTTTCCAAAGAAGAAATTGAGGATCTCATTAAAGACATATGAACTGTTCATCAGGAATTAAAAAATTAATATGACTAATTGCAAGGGAAGGAAGTTGTATATTATGATGTAAAATTATAGTGCATCAAATTGCTGCATTAAAAGCAGACTGAGTTGAACAATGTATTGTGTGCTGGACATTTGTGAGGCAGGGGGAAAGTAGAAAAAAAAAGAACTTCATAGAAAACAAGATTTCCTAAATTCTGAAGGAGACAATAAGAATTGTTCTTGTGAAATGCAAGATAAAAAATATTCTCTCTGAAGCAAGGAAGCCAGTGAGCTTTCCAGCAGTCATTTTGATGGTCTCTTTGAGAAGAGGACAGCCTCGTGTTACAGATGGAAGGCTTGTTAAAATTCCTATGGCTGGCATCTTGATAAAATCCCCTCTGCCACCCCTGGTCATTGTCTTTAAACTGTGAAGATAAAAGTTTAGTCAGACTTGAATGCGCCCCATTATTGTGGACTGAGGAATTTCTTTTTTTTTTTTTTTTTTTTTTTTTTGGGGGGGGGGTAATTTATTTCATAGAGATGGCAGCACCACAATATAATTTGAAAAACAATTTGTAAGTACCAATAAATGATGTCATTTTCCTAAATTGCACATTTCAGTTATAGATATTTGTCACTTCAAAGGTTTTTTCCTCGTTAAATATGTGAACACAACATGTCTTTACAAAAAAGATGCTAAGCCTTTATTCCATAGTATTTATACTAACAGGTCAATCCTACATTACATACATATAATGTCAGCAAAATGCTGCACAGTACTTCACCAAAAACAAGTTGAAAATTCTACACTGCTACATTGACGATAGTTCAAATATGAACATTGCTGATTGTGCAAGATGGTCATTCTACTTTTAGACTAATTCTTTATCACTCAAAGATAACCAATTTCTTTTTACAAAAAGACACATCAAGTACAAAACTATCACAGAAATAATAGCAAAATATCTTTGTATCATATATGCTAAATTATAAATGAAGTAAATAAATTCTATATAATTGTAAAACTACCAAAAAGCCACGCCGTGTGTAAAATGTGAGGAATGCCAGAGCTGCAATTAAAATCCAATTATGCCAGTATCCAGTTTTAGATTTTGTTTGTAAACCAACACCTTTATACTTGTAAGTTAAACAAAAGAGGAAAAAATATTTAAAAAACTACTTTAAACACTATTTGTTAATACATAATTCTGAATATGTAAAATTTAGTGATACATCTGATATCTATTTTACCATGACATACGGACTTATTCGAATCTGACTCCGTTTCTGCACCTATCTAGTCTGAATATGTACATCAAGAAATGGGGTTTTTAGTATTATGTTCATAGTGGACTATGAAATGCCAGATTGGCAAATGGTTATAAACTTTTCCCAAAATAAGAAACAAATAAATTACGAATGAGACATTGACTTAAGTACAAAATCATTGGAAGCTTTTTGAGAGAAGTATCAAAACGGCATCATGCATATTTTGCCAGTATAAAGGGAAAACAAAATTAATGTGACTGAGCACATGTATAAAACCAAGTCTAAAAAGGTCAGGTTAGTCAAATCAGGTAAAGAATACAAAATCCATTTACCTAATAATATTTAGAGTACAAAATGTAATTTAATATAAACGTAACTTGTCAACCTAATAAAAGTAAAGTTATTGGTCAAAGCAGAATTGTGTGCTACGATACAGTGATTCGCATGCTGAGCAATGTGACTTGAAATGTTTACTTCAAATAACGTAACCTGCTGTAATCTCAATTATGACAATGTTTACAACAAAACATTTTCAGTATTGCACATAGGTATACAGAGACGAACAATTGTAGAGTATATGTGCAAGTATCTGACCTTATACAAGTGACAATGATCTGCTAAGCCCAAAGTCTGAAAGCTTGAAATTTACTAAATATACACAAGAAAAGAATTTAACAAAATGACATAGGACTTCTTCAACATAGTTGAGTCAATATTAATAATAGTCAGTTTAACAATTCCAAGATGTAGAATTCTCGTCTCATTGCTTCATGAAGTTACCCAGTCAACAAGATGGCCAGATGAAGTAAATATTCATTTAGCATCACCCATTATTAGACTATTATAGAACTTATAATTAAGTTAATTACAAAATGTGACCCCAAGAGGACTTACATTAATTGGTACCTTTACAATGACATAACAAGTTAGGCATAACATAAGACCAGCAGTGAAGATCCACAAGGAAGAGGACAAAGCATGGTCTTTCATAACAGTGGACTAACTAGTCCGTGGGTCAAATAGGGGGACCCACTAAAAAGCTTGCCATCTTATCAGCTAATAGACACTGAATAGATTCCCCACGGTGAGGTATTCAAGTGGGTCGGTCATATTTGGTCCTGGGACTGGCAAGTCCACTATTCTGAATGCGGCCTTTGTCATTATTGACACTGAGGCTGCAAATCCAATAATAGTTATTAAAGGACGATGTAAAATAAACAAAACAATGTATCATAATAACATCTGTGTTATAACAGGGAGCCCAGGCACCATTTTAAGCACCAGTAAATATGATTTTACTGTTCAGCTCATGTAGTTGGTTTGTGAAAATTACTGGACAGCTAGCTGATATAATGATGAATACAAACACACTGTTTTCCAACTATTTCTGGACTTACAATGTCTTTCAATGTTGCCATTGTCATATTGATTGTCTACTAAGAGACAGTAGAACTTCATGTGTGGGTTTTCAAAATGCTGTTGACGAAGAGAAGAATTTCATCAGCTGTGGCATGTTAAAAGAGTTAAGTGATTTTGTTCAATCAACAACTAATACTGTAATATCATTGTTTACCTCAGTCTAATATTCTGATGTCTGCCTAAATCTATTGATAAAGCTCATAGCCATCAGTTGGTTATAGAATGCTGGGATAATTCTAAGCCCATGAAAGCATAAATATTATAATAGTTTTCTTAAATGTTGTAACTATTGTAATACTTTGAAGAATACTGTGCTTCATTCTTGGTCCGGTCAGTAGATGTAATAATACTGTGAAGAGTATAAATATCTGCAGCTGACATCACAGTGTAAAATATTTCAATCATTTCTTGTAGTTGGGATTGCAAACTCTTAGGGTCTTGGGGTAATTGTCATGACTGGTAATAATTTTTGTCATCAGTTTACTTGGCATTAACAGCATTCACCAGAAATTAGTAATAAAAACGTGCAACATCACAAGTATCTTTGGTTCCTAAATGTCAAATTAAACTACAGTATGCTTGAGGGCCAGAGTATGTGAAATACTTCTCCTTGGAAATCTCATTAATTATAAATCCCAAGAAGAAAAATCACATATAAAGCGGTTCTAGCTGTATTTAATATGTACACTGTACACATAAGTGTCTATATATCATCTTATCACATGAATTGCGCATACATAGAGAGTCAACCATCACTGCGGTACTCCTAGCTCAGAGGACAGAAGTGCAGTGCTTATAGTTGGACATTCTGGATTAATAAGGCAATGATCTTTTCTTGAAATGCTTTTACATTTTCTTCAGCCAAGCTATACAGTAAATATAAATTCTTCACACAGAAATGGTACCATACTGTCCTTGCTTCGTCTTCTTCTAATATCTTGTTGCCACAAGGAATAAAGGGGATGAGTGACCTTCAGAAATTTACCAGGTGCAGAAAATGCTCTTCAAAATAAACATTTTCCATTAAGTTTTCTTCTCATGGTTTCTTTAAGTGCTGGTCTTAACCTCAACACCATATGCCAAACAGCTATGTTGCTTTTTGGAAGTCTTAATATTCGTTGTTGATGATTTAAGATTACCAGTGTCAGGTGAACTTAATTGTTTTTTTTTTTCTAGCATACAAGCTGTTCATCATTTCTGACTGATACTGACCCACTGTCTATCTCTTGTTTTTCAAAAAAGTTGCAAATACGGTGGCTTACAGTAACTTACAGTAACTTTATAACACACTGAGTTCCTTCTCTCCAATTGTCTTGTGGCTATGGGACCAGACTACTGCTTACCATCCCCCTTGGCAGAATTGAGCTTCTTTACCAGATTGATTTCAGCATTCTTCCTAATTTCATCAAAGTTATAATCCTTCAGCAGCTTCCCATTCTCAAACACTGTCACCAACACATCCTAAAATAAAGGAATGTTGCGAATGGCTGTTTTCATTGTTTTCCATATCTGACAGATAAGCTGTATGGGTAGCTCATTCAAAATTTAAAAACTTTAAAATATTTAAAATATCTCTTTGAAAATACTTTTTAAAATGATACTACTATTTGAAACCCACACACACAAACACATCCCCACCTTTTAACTAACAAAGTGCTTCCTTATTACTGCAATAAGTGTGAGGGTGGCCTTTAAAAACTGTGAATTATGATAATTAAAAAAAAATGTTGAATGAAGATGGTCATGTATAATGAACTAATTAAGATTTTAAAAAATACCATTATGAAAGTACATTCCTAAAAGTATTTACCCAATATATGAGCAAAAGGGAAAATATTAGACATTTTCAAATGTTTCAAATACCTTTTTAGGATCACCTTGCCCCTCTTCCTTAGTAACATATTTCCCGTCATGCACCTCTAGACTGAGGCGCCCTTTCTTTGATTTTTTGCCCAAGTCTGTCACTGGCTGCTTGAAGACGCTTACCTGAAGATAGAAAAAAAATAATTCAGAGGTGAAAAGTAAAAATATTCTTCTTGTTAATTTAAAAAAAATTGCTCAAGGACATGCTCATAATGCTGTTACATCTGAGTCTAAAGTCTACTGGATGATTACCTTATTGCTGCAATTCTGGGCAAAAATCTTTCGCTGGACAGTACAAAAATAAACACAAAAAATATATGAGAGTAGGTAAAATAAAAAAACTGTGGCCCTGATAGAGGGTATCTAATAAAATCGGGTGTAGAAATAAAATACTTCTCACCTCCTTCCCATTTATCAGTGCGTAGCTGCACTTGAAGGCACACTTCTGTGTGTCCCTGTCTAGCCTCTGTAACAGAGCTCCGCCACTGCCAAAGGCAAGGTTGTCTGCACTCCACTTGTGACGTTTCATGTTTTCTAAGATTTCCCCTGAAAAACAGTTACTTTCTTTATACTTTAATCTTTCCAAAATATTTGGAATGTTCTCCTTTTCATCATGAATGATTTTCTTAAATACATTTAAGTATTGGCCAAGTATATGGGATATTTTCCTTTTCAGAAGAAATGCTTTTCTTAATATTCATCTCCCTCTGTAACACAGATATATGTGAACCTACCTAATGTTTCATAGCTTATTCCATCTCCCTGTATAACGCGGATATATGATGGTAACATCTTGTATCCCTTGGTATTGGTGCTTGTACCAAACTGCTTGCCAAGGATTTCCAGCACCTGAAATAATCATGATGATAAAAAATAAAGTTAAGCAATTTTTAATGTGAAGTCAGGAATTCAATAGCTACTTATTACAAGTGGAATTAAAATGGGGTTTACATAGCAACTGATTGATTTTTACTAATGTATGCATGAATCTAAACATAATTCTTATATCTATATTTTTATAGATAATGTCCTGAATTTCATTTTTTTTTCTTAAAAATGCACTGGTGCCTATCCTAATTCTTTTTAGTCAGTCTACTTCAATCTTATACTTTTTAAATTAGCATGATCATAATTTAACCAAATTCATATTTAATAGCATTTCACAGTCCATTTTAGTTGGTGTGCAAGAGATGTGGTTGCAAATGAAAAAAATAAACATATAAATTGTAAATATTTTGTTAGTAACGTCACCTTGACAACGACCTCCGGAGGGTCTCCCGAGTCTGGCCTCACGACAAGAGTACCTTCATCTGCACGTTGTTCAATAAGACCCTTCAGCTCCTCTCCCCAGTACTTCTCACAGGCTTTATAGACATCATAACTATCACTGACACATGCTACTAGACCCTTAGGAAACTGGTTCAACATGTTACGGAATGCATCACACTCTCCTTCCTTGCCCCACGACGTTATTGTGCTGAAATAATGAGAATAGACGTACTTGAAAAAAAAATACAAAATCAGAAAAGCTCTCAGTGAGCATGAACGTTTTCAAAAGCAACACAGGTTAAATTAATAAATTATGGAAGGAATCTTGCTGATTTAGTGAGCCCACTTCTGACTTATTTTGAAAAAGATATTAAAATTACACCTATAGATGAAAAGGAAAAATACATAACCTGCTTGGCAAAGATAATGGAAAATTAATAATAATAATGATAATAATACTTTAACTTGTAGTATTTCTTGTAAATTGGCTATGATACCTTTTTTGCATGGAAATCAAAATTGAAACTTTTCTGCAATAACTCCAGAGAATGAATTTAGAGCTGGCGTAGAGTACTTAGACTACTGTACTACTGTACTATCTGCTGTGCATTATTGTCATTACAAAGATAAATAAGTTCAAAATTAAACTTCATATCTCATTTGATCATAAATGAGTATTCTCCACAATACTGATGACAAAGTTTGTCTTATAAGGTCCTATTTATTGGTCTGCTTGTTTTTTTTTTCTTTTCTTTTTTTTTTTTTGCCATCTTCCTTTTAATATCACAGCCAAAATGACGGCTGCAGGCAAAATGGCTATCTAACTGGATCATGAATGAGCATTTTATTCAATACAGTATACTGATGATAAATTGCATGTGTATTTAAGTCATTTTCATTGGTTTGCTGATGTCCTTTTTCCCCCACTTTTTTCCTTATTAGCAGTGTTTGCTGTTAATACCACAGAACTGATGAGGACTGCAGATAATAAAACAGGAAACAATTTATGCAGGTGTATTATCTATCATTCATCAGAAAACAATCATGTCTGGTTTGAGCTGCTCACAATGTCATTTTTTTACCTATGTTCTGCTGCTGGTATAGAGAAATAAAACCTTCATTGCTGCAGCCTTGTAAATTCTGGCTTAATCATCGATGCCAGCTATAGTGTCTGACAATGTAATTTACCTATGTTCTGCTGCTGGGATAGAGAAGCCTGCATTAGGGCAGCCATAGTAAACTCTGGCCACACTGAGTCCAGCTATAGTGTCTGTCCCCATAAAGTTGACCAGGTGGGCACAGCCACCTATACCTGCACTCTGGAAGGGACAAATACAGGGGTGATCAAAATATTATGATAATTTTTTTTTTCTTAAGAGACTAAACTTGCTTTTAACTCTTAAGTCTGATGTTTCAAAGGAACTTGATCACATGATTGACTGGACCATGTCAGTCTAAACACGGCTGACAAGTGCAAAAACACTTTTAGTCTCTCTAAAAATCATTACTAGGAACTATTGTATTAAATTTAAACAGGAGACAGCAAAAACAAAGCTGGTTAGACATAATATGATTGATAATTAATTACAAATTACAAATACCAGAAATTAAAAAAATCTTGTTTCAAGGCTTAAAATTTTATCATCCTGAATCTTATTAAAATGCTGTGAAGAGGTGCAGTACCTTAGTAAAAAGCACTCGCTCTTTCACTCTCTCAATTTTTTTTATCAGAAACTCACAAGTTTTACAGATGATCATTTCTAGCCTACCAGAATACCTTACCTCCACTGATGTAGACCCTCTAAAGCCAAAATCGTGAAGTTTGAACGGTAAACCCTGTAGATTATCTGCGGTCTCATGAAGGTATTTGGCTATGACCTCTTTTTGAGCTCTGGAGTTGGTGGCCACTGTCATTGGGTACCACAGCTGTACTAGGAGTGTCTGAAATGTTGAATTATGTCATGGGAGATGGTTGACACAATGTGAAAAATGAGGTAAACATATAAACATTAAATAAATTTAATTCAAAAGCATTTTAGAGATTTATCATGATAACATACTAAATAAAAATAAAAAGAGACATATTTTCTTCATCACTGTCAACTACATTTCTGTTGTAACAAAGTTATTTCAATTAATCTTTTTATTTCTTCCAGAAATTTCTCTCGTATTCCTACCTCGAGATAATTGGTGAGCCAGAAGCACTTTGGGTCTGTATTTTCTACTGTGACCAGAACATTTTTGTATGGAATGACGCAACCTTCAGGAACTGCTCGGATCCTCAGCGGTAAATGACCCCCATGTTCCTGGAGATGACAAGAACCACATCAGTGTGCTATAAATGACCAAACACACACACACATATGCGTGCACATACACTAAAACACATACTTTTTGTTCACTTTGAAAATATTAATTAGGCAGAGAACATCTAGAACATTGGACAAAATCAGAAAACAGGGGCAGATTGAGGCCGTCTTCTGGGTCTTCTGGAAGACGGTCAGATTTTCAAGTTTACATTAACAGGTATCTTATATTTTCTGTTGGAAGACGGTCAGAAATGGAGGATTGGTTAACAAAGATAATTTAGAAGACTGTCAAAAAATATCTCTGGATCCGCCCCTGGAAAACAAAGAGAATTTTTTTCTCAGACCTACAAAGTAACAGAAATATGAAAATTTAAGATAAAATAGATTTACACTAAGTCTTATAATATGTAGTACAAAAAATATCACAAGAGTTTTCTGCTCGAATTTTGTCAGGCATCAATACAAAGTACACAGTGTTTTCCAAATATTTCCACAGTGAAAAAAAAAAGCACACAAAGAAGAAAACAGACATTATATTTACATAGCTAAATACTGAACAAACAATCGAAATTGATTTTACCCAGCAGTAGGTCTTATCCTCACATATATTGCCAGTAATCCATTACTCAAATTCTGGATTTATATCAGGACTGCTGTGTATTATATAAAAAATTTTGATAACTTGCATTGAGTGAACTGCTGATTTCACTAGGTCAAACAAGCACAATTTTTGTTTCAGTCTTTTTTTTTTTTTTTTTTTTTTTTACACAAAATCAATAGTTGGCCAGTGAAAATTTTCTACTTTTATTCTAAACAATCATTTAATCAATAATAATGTGTGGCTATGCAAAAACCTACTGAATTTAGTGTCATCTTTTTCATTCGATTGTATGTCGAAAAAAATGTTTTTTTGCTTTATTTTTTATCAGAGAAAATGTACAATCTTGAACATTCTTCAATGTTTCCATCATTTCAAACCACAATTTTCTCTGTTTTTGAGAGAGACCACAGGGTTGACTGTAATTTTGTTTTGAAAGGTATTTGGGTGGGGTGAACTGGGAAATACAATACAATACAATACAATACAATACAATACAGTACAGTAACTGTTGCCTTTAGCTTACACACTACATCATGGTTCAGTCAATCAACTCAAACAAAAGCTTTCTTCTGTAGATCCCCTTTAATCTTGCCACAATATTGCAGCCCGACTTTCAGATTTCCATCTCAACACCACCTAATTAACAACTCAGTTCCATTAACTGTGGAGATACTGGGGACGTGATTGGATTATGTATATTCTGGTCGGCCTCCTGAGTGCTGATAATGAAGTTTGTATGTTGTATGGAAAGGAATCTGACACTTGGCCAATGATCCCTGCTGTGATCTGTGGCGCTACTCTTTATGTTGGACTGACTTCTCAGAATAACGCGGATGACGTACTTGTTTTTTCAACTTCCTTTTAATAATACATTGAAACTGTTGCAAGAGAGTGAGTTCTGGCAATACTACTGAATAGCCTTGTCCAAGAATGGTCTTGTTTCACATTCCCTAGCAGTGCTAGCACTAAAGGGTTTGAAACTTTTTTTCACATGTAATCACTATTACACATTTAAAGAGATCCTGCATGAAGTATTCTGGCAAAACTATGCAATACTATGAATTAAATTTTTTGTAATCAAATTTTTTAGCATAATGTCAACCATTATCCATAAGAGTTCAAACTCAAAACATCCCAGAGGTAGACACACAAATGTTTAACGGACCTCCAAACATAGGGGTGTTTGCACATGCACACTAACAGACAGACACACACACACACGCACACACACACAAATTGGTCCTCATCATCATCATTACCATCCACTTCTGGCTTCATCAGTTAGAGACCTCATCTAACTTATCTGATCAAATCTTGCTCACAAGACCAATGTTGCAGCCTTAGAGAAGATCAAAGGAAAACAAGAGAGGAAATTAAAAAAAACACAGAAAGCTTAATTTAAATGAGCATAAAAATACAATATAAAAATCAGTGAAGACCACTGACCAAGACCATCTCTACCCTCAGCCAGCTGTATAAGACACACTACCACACCCTCCTTACCTTGAGAATATAAGTCCACCCTTCTTCGTGGAAAAGATCCTGACCAAAATGAGCCTGGTACACTGCCTTGGCCTCTTCAATCTTTTCCTGTGTGACCACGGGACCCAAGAGCCATCTTTTAATGATGTACTGCAGACCAAAGAAGACAGTCTCGGGGAATTTCCCTCCTCTGCTCTCAAAATAGGAGTATATGACTGTGGTGTTTGGAGGGTACTGTTTGTGGTGTGTGACCTGGAATGAAAAATGAGAATAAGTCATCTATATTTACTCCAAATTGACAATAAATCATCTATATTAAATTCAAAGTATTGGAAAAAACTCAACTGTAATGACTTACCTACAACATGCAGTAAATGAAGTTATTGCATTTCACTTCAGTTTAAAATTATAAGAAATGATATATACAACAACACCGTCCAAAAACTGACTGTCAGAATGAAAATCCAAACAAATAATTTAAATCAGTTACATATACATATATTTTAAGAATTGATATACACAACAGCATCGTCCAAAAACTGACTGCCAGAATGAAAATCCAAACATATAATTTAAATCAGTTACATATACATATATTTTAAGAATTGATATACACAACAACATCGTCCAAAAACTGACTGCCAGAATGAAAATCCAAACATATAATTTAAATCAGTTACATGTAAATATATTCTAAGAATTGACAAACACAACAACATCGTCCAAAAACTGACTGCCAGAATGAAAATCCAAACATTTAAATTTAAAGCAATTGTGTATACATATATATCATTGATCAGGCCCGTAGCCAGGGGGGTTTGGGAGGTTCGAAAGAACCGCCCCTTTTAGTGGGAAAAGGTCCACTCTGGGTAAAATTTGTTCTAGGTACATAATTTTTTATGGGAAAAGTCCACTATTTCAGAAAAAGAACACCCCTTTTGCTGGCTGAAATTGCTGGCTACGGGTCTGTTGATAATTAAAAGAATAATCATTGATATATATCTCAGCATCTTTGTAAATAATATTCACTGTAGCATTGACATCCTATTCTAGCCAATCATACCAGTGCCATATCAGCACACAGTAAGTTGATATCACTTATCTATCCAGGTCATCAGTCACATTGCGACTCAGTGTTTCAGTGGACTAGCAAGTGAAAATGAAACCGACTTTTTACTGTGCGATTTTATGAAAATAACTATAGACAACAAGCCAATGCAATTCTGGGTCTGCATCAATACGTTTCATTTTCTCAATGTCATAAAACATAAATCAAATATCATGACAGAAAGAAGCAGAATTTAGATTGGAGTCATGAATCGAGTACCCTAGGTTCTAGATTCCGGTATTGTCAGCTCGATCTTGATTTCATATATAACCCATATCAACAATATCAATACTAAAAGCGACTCCATCACAAGGTATATATTTAACAAGCTAGCTTTTACGTTGCTCTGACACTCAGGGTATAATCGAGGTGATACCAACGCAAAGCCAAGGGGTGGTCGGCGACAGAGGGTAACGTTATGACTGACGCTTTTTCATCGGTTCACAATATCAATATTGTCCACATTTCCCGTAAAGTAGTTAAAACTCTTGATACTCGACAAGACAAAAATGCGTATACTTACTTTGTAAGAATCGGTAATAAGCAAAATATTCTCGCTGCCACCGGCAGGGTAAGAAGCCATGTTGAGAACTAAGCTGAAATGTGCAAATAAGCAAAAAGTGATGACATCACGGTCCCTGGTGCTTGCCTCTTGTAGCGCCATCTGTCGCCTGTTTGGTTTTGCCAACACTTTTTATATAAAACTCAGTTGCATTGGTATCGTAGTATAGGTTCATTGTATCTTTTAGGTAAAATGCCTTTGTTAGAAATTACCTGAATTTCTTTTTTGTTTTTTTTTTAAACTAACAAACGTCTTGTGATTTACCGGTGGGCGTATCTTGCAGTATTGTCCCCTGTGCGTTATCGATTGACAGTAGTTTTCCCATTTGATGTTAAGAAAAATTCAGGGAAATGAGTGTTTTGTTACCTACGTTATCGTCAAAACAAGAAGTAGACAGTGTCATTTTAAACACAGAAGATTTGTTATTAGTGCTGAGATTCGGAAGAGCATCAGACATAACTTGCATGCAGCAGGATGATATCGTGAGTATCATTCGTTTATCGCTTAAGACGTTCCCATTAAATTCACCTGTGTAGTGTTTGTATTATGTTGTGAGATTAAACTTTTCATTTTCTACACTGACTTGAAGCTGTACCTTGCTGAGCATTCGGTCACTCCGTGACCTTACTAAGTGTGTGTGACTATAAAACTGAGCACTCTTGTCTATTCACAATGTCAAAGTCGAGTTAAATATCTGTATGCTACTAACAGGTGAGGACATGACAGTTCACATAATAGCCAAGTCAAATCCCAAATTAAAATTTCCTTATAAACAGACAAAATTTTAAAATGTTGGTTTTTGCCCTTATACAATGTCACCTCGACTGTGGAAGTTGATCTTGGTACATGGGTTTAAGCAAAAACTCCAGCGCACCCAGAATAAAATAATTCGCTTTTTACTGAATTTACCACCTGACAAGCACAATGGGGCTCATGAATTTTCAACAGTTGGTATGCTGCCCATTGACCTACAAGTCAGTCAACCTAAACGTATAACTAATATTTCAGAGAGCAATAGTCTGAATTATTTATCCTCTGATTTTGAATATATTTAAGACACAACATGAACATTAGATATGGTGCCATGTCTTTTAGGTTCACACTGTAGGATCATTTGGTAAGGCTTCTTTTAAATATTCTGGTACTGTGTTATGGAACGAGCTTCCATTCCTTGTGAAATGTGTCAGTTCAAAAGTTTAGTTAATTTTTTTTTATTTGATTGTCTTAGGAATTTAGAGGCAGACCCCTTTATATTTTATTTAAAAATAGTTTAATCTTATTTAATAATTTTTGTTTTTAATATCTGTAATTTATAAACCTTTTAAAAATTTATCATTTTGTGCTGGTCACATGATCTTGTCAAATACAAATGGACTGGTCACAATGGAAATTAGTTTTATACTTCATTGTGTAAACCATGTATTTAATATGTTTTCATGGATAAAATTTTATGTATAAGATTCATTTTAAATTTGAAATAAATCAAATCAAATCATTCACTTACTAGTATGTCACAGTACAGGTAATAGTGCTGTCCTATACCTGTAAGGTAAGACGTTCTCATATTGTCAATATGAATAATGGCAATTTTCATTTCACATTCATTGAGGAATCACTGAAAAAATACCAAATGCAATGCCAATTTTTTTTTCATCTGTATGAATCAAATTGATACACTAAAGGTGGAACCGTTATGATTTTATCAGTGCTTCTCTGAATAAATCTTACTTCCATTGGTGATTCTTAGATAATTGCAAGGTTCTGGTTGCTTGAAATAAATGTCTTCTTTGGGAGATTTATTTGGTACTCTCTGTAAAAAAGAAAAATATTTTATGAACAGCATGATCACATTTTAGTGTATTCATTGTATTGCTTTACAACTCAAGATTATAAAAAAGGTGAGCAATTATCCTTTAGTTTTATTTTTAGTTTTGATAACAGCAAAGAAAACAACAATTCAGGTTTTCAGCTATAAAGAAAACCACCAATCATTGCGCAACATGTCAAATAAAGTAGTAATCAAAATTACGGTTATGATGCCATGAAGACTAAGTTATGTTATGACATTTAATTTAAAAATTGAATAAGATGATAAAATTAACTGTTTAATTAAAGTAAATAAATGAAAAAAATTGTTTGAGGTTTTATTATTTATTTTTATTATTTATACTCCCAGATTTCAAACCCTATAAATAATCTGAAGAGTTCGTAATGCTTACTAGTGCAATTAAATCCATCCCCTTCATAACCATTGTTGCAAACACATCGGTAGCCATATTTTTCATCGCACCTCTTATTCAAGAATGGAACATATCCCCCAAAGGGTTTGTAAAAGCATATGCCATTTTCCCCACACCTCACTGAAAAAATAAAAAAAAATCAATATAAGTTGCCACCTGGTCAAGACATGTCCCTTTCTATTATCATCATTTGTGTTATTATGGCTTAGTGTGATTAAAATTTTAAAAAAATTCATATACAGATATTGACATTTGGTGTCTGTACATAAAGCGATTGCCTGTGTTTGGCATCACCATCATTATATTGTCGGTGTTGCCGAGTACTTCCACTTTATTTATCATTTTCAAACTTACAGGAATGATTTTGACACTAAATTATCCGTCTGCTGACATTAAGTGAGATTAAAAAACAATTCAAATAGACGATATGTACTAATTTCCATCTGTTTATTTCCCCTAACAAATAATGTTGACAAGCCAGAGAATAAACCAAGTTAATCACTTGGAAGGTCAAAAAATAGCTTTAACTGCACTTTCTTAAATTTCTGGTCTAAATTGACCTATTTATCCATTCCTTGAAATGACGTAGTACAGAAATGAATGTTGCATCACTGCTATAATAATAATAATAATAATAATAATAATAATAATAATAATAATAACTTTAAATAGCTAAACAAAGATAAGGCTGAAATGATTTGTTTCAGTCAAATTTATACCATTTGGAGGAAAAAAATGTTGAAAAAGTAGTGATTTGCTATTGCTAACACATCCAACTGTATTTCAGTACCGGGGGGAGGGGGGTTCTAACCCTCCTTTGGTTTCTGAAATTAATCACACTTATATTCCCCTTTTAAAATCAGAAATTTGACTAGGTGAATCATAGTTCTAAACTGTAATGTACCAAATAATATTCCCTTTCTCTTCACTTAAAAGTCCTTAAAATGATACTTACCAGTAGGTGGGGATCTCTATCCTTTACCAGCTAGGTCACAGATCAAACTTGATTTGAATCAATAGGTAACCCAGCATGGCCCCCTGCATGTTCTTTAATCAAAAAGTGGTATCTTCTCAGTGAGATAATCTGCAAGAAAAAAAAAAATTTTTTTTTTGAAGTCACATCACCACTATGGCTTTACTCAATCAAACATTGTTTTTTTATGCCCCCCCCCCCCTCTTGGGCCCCTTCTTATCAAGACTGTCATACAGTATCCAGGGCAACTCTACACTCCACATTTGACATGCAAAGACTACTCAAAACTTAACCCCCAAGGTCTCATCATGCTCTATAATATCACACGTGAAGTCAAATGTAATCGCATTGTAAAGCAAAATGAAAATAAAAGTCATCTAACTAGGAAAGTTTCAGGCGGGCTTGCCAGTAAAAGCAACCAAACTTGAATTGATTCAGTTACTGTAGTGTAGCTTTCTTGATATAGCACCACATCATTTACTGACAAGCAGAATCATAGTTCTAAACTGTACAAAACTGCATCGAACCTCATGCCAAGGGGGCCAAGGCCTCTCATTCCTTAAAAAAAAATGCCCCCCCCCCCCTTCAAGAAATCCTAGATCATGTTGAAAATTTTGAATACAACATTTTACCTGTATCTATAATTTTGCATGAGGAATAAGTGCAACTGCACTAAGATAATTGAACCAGGATGAGGGCATAACCAATTAAGTGGCACACCCCTTCCCATTTCATTTTGCTCTATCTAATCTATTGGCACATACTGGTAGCTGGACTAAAAGCTCTTCATCAATTTCATTACATCAACTTTTGGTACAGCAGTTAATATAAGGCTAATATTATTGCAGTAAAAATCAGACTTAATGAAAGGTGCTTTTTTTTTTTTTAATTTTGTTTTGTTTCCTTTTCTTGTGTTTTTACTGGTTGATGCTATGTTTCTTCATTGTCTATGCACAGTACAAATCACGAAGACTTGGAGTTGTGCAAAATCAGTTTTACAGTTTTTATCCCCAAAATGCTGTTGTTTTTTCATCTGCTGGCTGTGGATATCTGCTGCAGTGTTTCGTCTTTATAGAGCACAAGTAACCAGTTAGATTCTGATGTAGCTTATTCACATATTGGGTACAAAGATTGGAAGAGGTCTTGATTGGAGCTGAGAATTGACCTTGATAGTATAATGTTTTTTTTTTTATTATTGTCAGTCAAATATAAGTTGTCGAAGTAACAGGACGGAGTGGTTTCAATCTTTTCCATGCAAAAGCTTATAACATACTATTACATACAGCCACACATAATGTACTGCTCACAGTTAAAGAAATGAAATGGAGGTGGGCAGGACATGTCAAAAGAATGAAGGACAATAGGTGGACAATCGGACTTACAGAATGGACCCCAAGGTATGGACAAAGAAAAAGAGGAAGGCCGGTCAAACGATGGAGGGATGAATTAGATGACTACTGGAAGTCTTGGAAGAAGAAACCTTGGCCAAACTGGAAACCTGAGGCTCAGGATAGGAAACAATGGAAAAAGCATGCTGAGGCCTTTGTCCAACAGTGGAACACTATAGGCTCTAAATGATGATGATGATGATGACACATAATAAACTGAACATGGCACATTTAGCATTATGCACTTAAATAGTAACATTTGTTGCATGCAGGGTTTTCCCCAGATTGGGTGTCACTACAATTACCAGGGGCATAATTAGACCATCTTCTGGTTCTTCTGGAAGACGGTCAGATTTTCAAGTTAACATTGACAAGTATCTAATTATTTTCTGTTGGAAGATGGTAAAAACAGGAGGATGGATCAACAAACTTAATCTGGAAGACTTTCAGAAAATATCTCTGGATCCACCCCTGATTACCAACTGTAACTTACTAAAAAAATTGCAGGGAGTCTAACTTTCCAAGTGCCGTGTGGGGGTGCGGGTTAAAGATAAAATGAAAATATATATTAAAAAAATTTAAAGGGGGAGAGGTTTAAAATAATCGGTAATGATCTCCTGCTGATGATTTTCCTCGAATACATTGGACTTCTCATTTATGAATAAATGGTCCAAGTTCACAAACAAGCAAAATTAATGACCTGTCGAATTTGATCTGTCTTGAATCAGCTTACCTTTATGTCCGAGCTGGAAAACGCGGCCATATTAGGTGATGAACTTTTCAAAATTATCGAGTGGCCCATTTTCAAGTTCGACAAAATTTTCAAAATGAAAAAATAACGTTGGCAAATATCCTCTTTTCAAGTTTTTACCGTCAAACACTGGAATCTCTATAGCAGTTGTAAGGATCGTCTTTACTGTAAAGTGCAGCTTATGGGCATTTAATTTTAGTTATATTTTACAGCCCTCATAAGTGATAATTGCTATTTGCTTTTGCGAGCCTCAGATTTGGAAGCATGAATGCCAAAATTAATGACTGAAGACCTCCAAGTGGAAAACAAGTTTTACTTACTGGCCTCATAAACAATAATGGCCATACACTAAAAAGAGCCTTAGATTAAAATTTGCATTTGATTGCACAAAAACTTCCACTTCCATCCACTTTCTGGCTGTATATGTACCCCCCTACGAGTGCTTATTAATCACGAGATGTATTAATACGGCACCAATGCATTTCGTCCACCTTCTGCTCATATGGAGTGTACCAAACTGGTTAATAAGCAGATAAACTTTTTGTGTAATCTAACGCCATGTTTTGTTGCAACAAATTTTAAGTTGGGGTACTGAATTTGATTCTGGAGTTGTTAATTTGGACATTTGTGCTCACAAATCTGAGGCTCGAGTTAGCAAAAGCATAACTGTATTTAAGGCCTGATTTAACACTGTGGGAGTGTAGTGATAAAATTTACCTCGTCTGATCAGGCAGTGAGACCTCCCAGTAGCAAGGCTGTTTCACTCGATGCTGCGTCAATGTCGCAGTGTCCCTCTTAATGCAGGGGCCACGTGAGGAACCATCCAATCACAACCATGTTCATTTGCATATATTTCTATTTATTGATCGCAATTTACCTTGGCAGATTTTAGACCTATTTTTTGTGTTCAGCATTAAGCTTACACTATCCATTTGACAAATGGGCTGTATTCCCAGAGCTTTTAGATTGATCTATCCCCGCGAAGAGTCTCTCTAGATTACTGTCAGATAATCCGGCTTAAATGTCAGTCCCGCCTACTACAAGCTGTAAGGGGGTAATTAACTTTCGTGTTCGCCTGGCTGACAGCTATTTAGCGTGAACCCCCAGGGAGTTAGGTCGATCTAAAGTAGATCGAGTTAATCTCTGGAAATGGGGTCATAGAATGCATTTCAGCAAGCCCACAGTTTAAAGTTATATATCCTGAAATGTATTATGTAACCTTATTTGAGTTCTTTATTTCATTTCCATTTGCATTTATCAATGTACATTTTATCTTGTATAATATATAGGACTGTCCTATTCAACACATCAAATAAGTTAGTAATATAAAATAAAATGCTATGGTAACCTTGTTGCTGTCTTGCAGCTAGCAAAGACTGCAGAGCAGCTGAGGAAGATGGCGGTGATCTACTGTGTGTCAGTGGACGAGGTCCCGGTGTATGTGCAGTACTTTGACATTACTCTGATACCTGCCACCATTTTCTTCTTCAATGGACAGCACATGAAGGTGGACTGGGGGTGAGTGGTCTGAATTTGACTTGGTTGAATGGATCTAATCATGTCATAATATATACTGACTTTTTCTAAAGACAGTGGGTTACATGTGCGAAATATCTTACTGGCTTGCCAATATAATTGCTTAAACTGACTTATATTTGCTTAACAAAATAGGGTTGGTTTGACTGTAGTCAAATTTAAACCATTTGGAGAAAAAGAGATAAAAAATAGTGGTTTGATTAAGCGTTAATAATTGCTAGCATTACCCAAGACTTGGTTGTCTTACCAATGTCACGTACATTGTAACAACGTGTACTTTAATTGATTGTTTGAGAACTTGAATTTATGGTTTATGACCAAATTTGTCTCAAAATACTGGTATATGTGGTTTATGCATATACGTCATTTCTTTAACATTCATGGTTATTTTCAGCACACCAGATCACACCAAGTTCATCGGTAACTTCAAGACCAAGCAAGACTTCATTGATGTTGTGGAGGTATTATACAGAGGGGCCATGAAGGGCAAAGTGATGGTGACCAGCCCCTTGGACCCCAGGGACGTGCCAAAATATGAACTGATTTATAAAAATATATGAGAAATTATCCACTTGAGAGGTGTGATTGGTTCCATTTCCTACACTGTCCCACGGTGCAGTCTAGTGGTATCACTTGGCTGAGATGGTGTTGATTGCACCCCATCGGGTCCACAACATGTGGCCCAGAGGTCTGACTTTGACTGGATATCATATCAGTGCTTCCAGCCAAGATTCACAAACCTGAAGTCCTTACTTTCACTAGTATTTATTATGAAAATAAATACATTTTATTGACTAGATGATTAAATGATAACAATAATCAAGCAATTTTATTTTACATACAGGTATGCTTGGCTAAAGCAAGTTCCCTGTTATTTTCTATGCTGAAGGGAGTGTGCACACCATTGTTAACAGTGGCAAACAAAAAGGAGCTCTCACAAGTATCTGTTGATCAGATACAAAGAAACTCCTCATTCACTACAGAAGTATTTTATATTGCACAAATCTTATTAAAGGTGTCCCATCTAGAATTAAATGCCAAATCAAATTTTCCCTGAAAATTAAGGTTTTTTCTGCTTTGCATTGCTTGACCTGTTTTTGCACTGCAGTTTAAAGTTATATATCCTGAAATGTATTATGTAACCTGATTTAAAAAGAAACTTACTTGAAAAAATGGAACAGGGCAGTAAAGCTGTCAATTGTACAGGCATAAATTTTAAAAAAAGGCAACGCCAGTTTTAAATTACTATTATGCTGACAAGAGGTAATATGGTTATAAAGAATACAAAACTAGCATAAGTCTTCAGGCCCATAAGAGTTCACAATGAAAATGCCAGAATGAGAAAAATTAAAATTTCACAAAATATTGCATTAATTCAAGAAAAATGATCCCATCAAGTTGGTATTCTAATTTGAGCTTTATACCAATTCCAAAAATCATTCTTGTTAGTTGAAAAATACTAGTAAGTTTTCCTTTCATAGTGTTTGTGGTGAGAATGCACAAAATAGTTTTTTTTTTTCTTTGTCAGTTTTGAAGCAATATGTTGCATAATGGTTAAAAGCAATATCACCAGCAATTTTAATTCACTGCTGAACCTGGCATGGAAATTTAAAAATTTAGAAAATTTAACTACCATATGACTTCATATGAGTGGGAGTTTTGAGTCCCATATTGAAAATGCCAATATGTGAAAAACTGCATTACTTCCAGAAAAGAGATCCAATCAGGCTGGTTTTCTGATTCAAACCTGGGGTTGTGCTAACACTCGCCAAATGCTGAAACTTACATTAAGTGTCTAATCAAAAATAAGGTTGAAATGGCTTTTTTAAGTCAAATTAAAAAATAACTGATGAAAAAAATTGTGATTTGGCCAAGCAAAAAAAAAAAAAAAAAAAAAAAAAAGGCTAAATGCTTACCCAGCCAACTGTATTTCATTAGTATACATTGGCAAATTTAGGGGCAGCAGGGGGATTTTGACCCTCCTCCCCCCTTCGATTTCTGAAATAAAGCACACTATTATTACTCTTTTGAAACTAGAAATTTGACTTGGTGAACCATAGTTCTAAACCGTACCAAATGGTACTATTTGTTCTCCAAAACACCATTTTTTTAAACTGACCCAGTGACCAGCCCTTCAAATAACTGAAATAACTCCCTCAAAAAACTCCCAGAGATTCGTCCATTGTTACTATTGAACTTGAATAGGAAGTCATATACTGATAATTCAACTTTGACCTTGAAATTGACCTTAGACCTACTTGTCACCATGGGCTGATTCTTGCAAAATTTCTATCTGCGATATCTCCAAAATTAGCAGAAATATCCCCATAGTTACTGTTGAACTTGAATAGGAAGTCATATGCTGGCAATCTAACTGTGATCTTGAAATTGACCTTTGACCTACTTTTCAGCATGAACCGCACTTAACAAATTTGGATTTAAATTTTTTACTTTTCCCCATGATTTTGTTTTAAATTGTAATTTTCAATGAAAATATTGAAAACCTTTGTTTACTGCATTTTGTAAAGCTTGTCAAACACAACACTGGAGGTGGTGTCACTTTTTTTTGCTTTTATATACGAATGCACTTACTCCAGCTGGTGGTACAATACCAGGAGGCCGTATCACCTCTCTCATCCTCTACTTTTTCGTTTGGGTACTGAATTTATGGCTAGAGTTGTTAATTTGGGCATTTGTGTCACAAATCTGAGGCTCCAGTTAGCAAAAGCATAACTGTTTTTAAGGCCTGATTTAATACTGTGCCAGCTTAGTGATAAAACTAACCTTGTCTGATCAGGCAGTGAGACCTCCCAGTAGCAAGGCTGTTTCACTCAGTGCTGTTTCAGTGTTGCAGTGTCCTTCTTAATGGAGGGGCCACGTGAGACACCCTCCAATCACAACCATGTTCAGTTGCATATATGTCTTTTTATTGCACGCAAATTACCTTTTAGACCTATTTTCTGTTCAGCACTATCCATTTGACAAATAGAGAGCATTTCAGCATGCCCGCAGTTTGTAGTTATATTTCCTAAAATATATTGTCTGACCTTATTTGAGTTCTTTATTTCATTACTATATTCATTTATCAGTGTACATTTTATGTGATATATTATATGGGACTGTGCTAATCAACACATCAATAAAATGAGATAAAATATTAATTGCAAGTAAACTCACCAAATTTGCTTAAGCTATTGACAAAGGTGTTAAGAACAATCAAGTGTTACATATACGTATGTTTGGTGACATCTTTGAAAGCAATGTCTCTGAGGCTCTTTCCTAGCCTCTCTGGCAGATGTAAATGTTCCAAACCTGCAGGAATTTTTACATATGATCCGTAAACATTATCCTAATGATTGTCAGTGAGGTTCATCCTAGGTTTATTATCAATTTAGAAAAAAAAAAAATAATAAATAAGNGTGGTATATTATATGGGACTGTGCTAATCAACACATCAATAAAATGAGATAAAATATGAATTGCAAGTAAACTCACCAAATTTGCTTTAGCTATTGACAAAGGTGTTAAGAACAATCAGGTGTCACATATATGTTTGGTGACATCTTTGAAAGCAATGTCTCTGAGGCTCTTTCCTAGCCTCTCTGGCAGATGTAAATGTTCCAAACCTGCAGGAATTTTTACATATGATCCGTAAAAATTATCCTAATGATTGTCAGCGAGGTTCATCCTAGGTTTATTATCAATTTATAAAAAAAAAATAATAATAAATAATAATAATAATAATAATAAATAAGTAAAAAAATAAAAAAACAAAACAAAGCAAACGAGAAACTAGAAAAATGGCTGACCCCACTTCAGAAGCGATTCCCCACTGGTCTGCCCGTCTCCACACGTGTCTAAAAATGAATTAAATCTCTGCTCCAATGTATAAATGCCAGGTCACTGCAGCAACGGCACATGTGGAGGTGGGAAGACCATCATGGAATAAGTGGCATCTCTTTTGAAGTGGGTCCACCATATTTATTTGGCGGACCATTTAGTACTTGGGTTATCTGTTCTGAATATGCCCCACGTCTGCTGTAGTAAATGCTCTTATTGGCCAGTTTTCTGTTATCCTCTTTCTCTCAGCATAAGTACTGGACGTTTGATTACAACATATTACCTGCATTGTTATTTGGCATTAAAAATAAGTAAAACTGTTTGAAAGCAAAACCTTATCTGAACCGAAATGAGTAGTGAGTCCCCTCCCCTTTCTTCACTTACTTGGCATGAGGTAAAAGTGAATTCTAGTCTTCTGAATTGTCTGTTGTTTTGAATAATTTCCTCGGATGACATACTTTGTGTCAATATTTGGTTTTCAAATGAATATGGGTGGTTGCAACATTGGGGTAGGCAACATAAAGGCTGGTTGCAACAGTACCGATACACTACATGAGTTATACTGAACTTTTGGTCACTCCCTACCCTTCTTCTATGTGTGTGACTATGAGACCGAGCACCATCACTAATAGTCATGTGATTGGTGCTAAAATTGCTCAGAAGGTGGAAAAAGCATGAAACTTGGCACAGATGTTTTCTTTGGACTATGGTGATCAGGATTGTGCCAAAAATTTCAAAGCGTTGCTTAGCAACCATAGGGAAGTGAAGTACCTTAGTAACAAGCTAATTGGACCTTTCTTGTCCAGGTTAAATGATTTGGAAAGGTTATTAATAATGTATCAGGCCATCAGAACTATCACAAGACTATTTTAAGGCATTAAAAAACCAAAATAAGCCATCGCAATTAAGTAACTGGCTAGTAACTGTACTTTTTTATATGAAAGCAAACAAAATACAATATTTTTTAAAAAAATTAATTTTCAACTATGAATCATACACTCACACACACACACTCTCTCTCTCTCTCTCTCTGTCTCAGAATAAAAATATAGAATTCCAGTAGTGCAGCTAAGGATGGAAACAGAGATTGACCATTTTTAACTTAAAACTTGTTTAATCTTACAGTAAAATACCAAGAAGTATATTCCTAGATGGGTGCTCATCAATTTAATTGTAATATACAATTAAAATTTTCTAAATTTCTTTCAATATAATATTGTTTTTTCTTCTGTATACATATAAAGAATTTATACAAATATCTCTGTAGTATTTAACATATCCTCCAGTTCTTTCCCATCTTGGGATTTTTGTTCTCATTCTACATATATTTTAAAAAATATCCCTTTATTTTTAAGATAGGTACATAAATGTTGTACGCATGTACATATACAAGCCCAAATACAAAAATCGCTGGACCACACAATGACCACACCTAAATTATCTTTAATGGAGCAAATGAGGCATGTCCAAACATTTTGAACATGTGGGCAATGACTGAATCCCCAAAAATGTGAAGAATATTTCCTTAGCAGTATTGCAAAATTCATACTGTTCTGATTCTTTTAAAAAAATTAATAAGGTAAACATTAGTACTGAATATTTTATGATTTATTCTGGATTGATGTTTTGTCAGTTACATGTGACCTGTTTCTTAAATGTTAGTTGCCAATTATCATTACTTTAGTTTTTTTTTTTTTATATTTGTATGCCATTCACCTACACATTTATCTGGTGATATCATATGGCCTTGGAGGTGTTTTTTTTTTTTTTTTTTTTTTTTTTTGGATGGTTCAGTAATTTTTTTAATCAAAACAATTGTTTCATGGGATGCTATGTGTAATTTCCTTCCATGGGACACTGAATTAGTCCAGAAAGATAGTGTTAAGGTTCTTTTAGTTCCTCTAGGTGGGAGGAAATTTCAAACATCATTTATAATATAATTGTTATAAAATATACCCTTTTTACACCATCTTGTATGGAAAATAGTTTTTCCATCTATTTCAGTTTTTGAGTTTTTCCACAACGGTTGTGATAGGGTTTCATCTGGGGTTATACTGGGATTTTCCTGAATTTCACTCAAAGAATCATACTGTAAGAATGATATTAATATACTTAATGTGGAACCATTATGATTTTATTAGTATTTTTCTTAATAAATCTGACTTCCATCTGTGATTTTTAGATAATTGTGTAGTTCTGGTTGCTTCAAATTGACGTCTTCTTTAGCAGATTTTTCATTACATTGCTTTATTTGGGAGATTTATTTGGTTTTTCCTGTAAGAAAGAAAAACATTTTATGAACAGCATGATCACATTTTAATGCATACTTCTTTACATATTTAAAGTATAAAATAGATGAACAATTATCCTTAAGTTTTTTTTTTTTTTTTTTTTTTTTTTTTTTTTTTTTTGATAATAGCAAAGAAGACAATTCGGGCTTTCAACTATAAAGAAAACCACCAATCATTGCATAACATGTCAAATAAACATAATCAAAGTTACAATATGATACCATGAAGATTTAGTCATGTTATGACATTAAATTGAATAAGTTGATAAAATAAAGATTTTAATTTCATTATTTATACTCCCAGATTCCAAACCTTATAAACAATATGAAGAATTTAAAATACTTACTGATGCAATTAAATCCGTCCTCTTCATAACCAAAGGGACAAACACATTGGTAGCCATATTTTTCATTGCACCTCTCTCTCATGAATGGAACTTGTTGCCCAAAAGGTCCATGAATGCATATGGCATTTTCCCCACACCTCACTGGTCCTGTAATGAAATATCTAGGTTGATTACATGGTTGGTAATCGTTTCCATAACTGCTCAGGCACTGACCCAAGCAAAGTCCCGTTGACAGCAAGCAAGACAGTTAATAGCTCTGAATTTAATCACTTGCTCTTTTGTGACAGATAAAAATAGCCCCTTCTAAATTGAATAAGATGATAAATTTAACTGTTTATTTGGAGTCAATAAATGAAAACATTGCCTGACCTTTTATTATTTATTTTTATTATTTATACTCCCAGATTTTAAACCCTATAAATAACCTGAAGAATTTATAATGCTTACTGGTGCAATTAAATCCATCTCCTTCATAACCATTTTTGCAAACACATCGGTAGCCATATTTTTCATCGCACCTCTCATTCATCAATGGAAAATGCATCCCAACGGATCCAAGGGTGCATACGCTATTTTCCCCACACTTAGCTGAAAACAAATTAAAAAAATGTAAAGCTGGCAACTGGTTAAAACGTGTCCCTTTCTTTAATCATCATTTGTGTTATTGTGGCCTAAGTGTGATTGACATGAAAATAAAGATAATCAATATAAAGCACAATACAATGTATATTCTAAGCGGAAAGTGTGCTCCCTAAATCAACACCATGTTGCCTATGTCCCACTGTTGTTATCCAGTATCATGGACGTGCTGACATATATAATGGATATATAATGGGTACCTAGTCAATATACACATTGGGTGGAGATGCTTTTGCCTCCCTGGGTAAAATACAGCCCGACTGCCTTATTAGGTGCTCAGAGCTAATACACGAACAATGTTTCTCACTGTCACGTCTGGAATTACCCATTTCAACCCCTTCTATGCTACGTGCCGAGTGCCAAGCAGGGAGACAGCATGTACCATTTATTAAGGACTGGTTTGTCCCAGGACAGGGTCGAACCCACGTCCTACCGTTCGGTGATGGGCACTTTGACCACAAGGCCATCCGGTCGGTTGATGTGCAGGTTTAGTTGCAAAGATTCGACTTCATATTAAGGTGAAGATGTTATCACTTCCAGTTCACCCTATTGTTATTTTTATGTGCCAGCATTTTATTATAACAGGTCACAATGTTTATTTCAATATTTTTAAAAAGGCAAATTAGGAAAAAATGTAACATTCTGTTATTCTACTTTTTTCTGCATATTAACTCTGGACCATTTCCTGTTATATAAGACCCCATTCCCATAGATTTTAGATCGATCTATCCCTGTGGGGAGTCTCACTAGATCACTGTCAGCTTAACCGGCTTAAGGCTTCATTCACATGCAATGTCTATTTTCTAAATTGTATTTTCTATTCGCGGTATGTCTTATGATCACGGTCTGTGCCCTGAATATCCCGCGGCGTAATTACTGGCAGCGCGAGCCAGTTACTATAAGTTACTATAAGTAACTGGCTCGCGCTGCCAGTTATTACGCGGCGGGATATTCAGGGCACAGACCATGATCATAAGATAGCGCGAAAAGAAAATAGAATTTAGAAAATAGACATTGCATGTGAACGAAGCCTTAGTAAGCGTCTGTCCCGCCTACTAAAAGCTGGAAGGGGGTAATTAACTATGGTGCGCTCGGCTGATTGCAATTTAGCGTGAACCCCCAGGGAGTTGGGTCGATCTAAATCTAAATCTCTGGATCGATCTAAATCTCTGGGAATGCACCCGTAGTAAGTCTTTATAATCTTACCTGCAGTGCAATATTGTCCAGAATAATGATTGGTACAGTTGCATTGGAAAGCTTGTTCAGGTGGCTTTGTGCAAGTCCCACCATTGAGACAAGGGTTAGGATTGCAGGAGTCTAAAAAAATTTTGCAAAAACAATTGCATGTTAGGCATGCTCTTTCATTTTACATACAGTATGTAGGTAATGTATATGGAATTAAAGTACTTAAATTAATTGCACCACCCACCAGCATAGGCCTTGGCGGTACACATGGGTTAGTCCCAACCTGTGTTGTCTGTCTACCCTCTACCTAAATGTGGAACCAATATGATTTTATTAGTGTTTCTCTGAATAAATCTAACTTCCATCTGTGATTCTTAGATAATTGTGTAGTTCTGGTTGCTTCAAATAGACGTCTTCTTTAGCAGATTTTTTTTTACACTGCTTTATTTGGGATATTAATTTAGTTTTTCCTGTAAAAAAGAAAAACATTTTTTAACAGCATGATCACACTTTAATGCATACAGTACTTCTTTACATCTTTAAAGTATAAAATAGAGGAACAATTATCCTTAAAGGTTTATCGCCAGGTCATCAGAATGGTCAGAACGGAGCAGTGTAAAATTATCTGATATATTTTCATGAAAAATAAATGACAAGCCAACTGTCTACAGTCCATTTCGTACTCACATTGCCCATCAAAATTTTTGTTAAGCAGATCGGTATAGCATGCTATTATATAATACAATTTTTCGAGGAGCGGATTTTCAATCAATATTTTTTTAAAATCTTAGCTTTCTAATTAAAAGGTATCTCCCGTTTTCATAATATATACTAAGTTATGTACCAAGTTATTACTAGTGCTCCTTTTGACAGCTAACATTATTTTTAAAAAATACCGTATGTGCCTTTCTTATATCCCTTGCCATGTTAAATCTCCATGCATAATTTAAAATACTACTAACGTATGTATCAAATATTGCGCATTTGGTGGACACATTAAAGTAAATCCTTTAATTTTTTTTTTTTTTTTTATTTTTTTTATTTTTTTTTTTTTTTTAGAATTGATAATAGCAAAGAAGACAATTCAGGTTTTCAACCATAAAGAAAACCACCAATCATTGCATAACATGTCAAATAAACATAATCAAAGTTACAATATGATACCATGAAGATTTAGTCATGTTATGACATTGAATTGAATAAGATGATAAAATAAAGATTTTAATTTTCATTATTTATACTCCCAGATTCCAAACCTTATAAACAATCTGAAGAATTCAAAATGCCTACTAGTGCAATTAAATCCGTCCCCTTCATAACCATCGGCGCAAACACATTGGTAGCCATATTTTTCATTGCACCTCTCTCTCATGAATGGAACTTGTTGCCCAAAAGGTCCATGAATGCATATGGCATTTTCCCCACACCTCACTGGTCCTGTAATGAAATATCTAGGTTGATTACATGGTTGGTAATTGTTTGCATAACTGCTCAGGCACTGACCCAAGCAAAGTCCCCTTGACAGCAAGCAAGACGGTTATTTGCTCTGAAATAAATCACTTGCTCTTTTGTGACAGATAAAAATAGCCCCTTCTTAATTGAATAAGGTGATAAAATGAACTTTTCATTGAGAGTGAATAAATGGAAAAAATGTCTGAGCTTTTATTATTTATTTTTTTTATTTTTACTCCCAGATTTCAAACCCTATAAATAATCTGAAGAATTTGTAATGCTTACTGGTGCAATTAAATCCGTCCCCTTCATAACCATTGTTGCAAACACATCTGTAGCCAAGATTTTCGTCGCACCTCTCATTCCTTTGTGGAACATGCAGCCCAAAGCTTTCATAAATGCATACAGCATTTTCCCCACACCTCGCTGTAAAAAAAGTTTAAAAAATGGCACCTGGTCAAGGCATGTCCCTTTCTATTATCATCACAAACACATCGGTAGCCATTTTTTCATCACACCTCTCATTCATCAATGGAACTTGTTGCCCAAAGGGTCCACGAATGCATATGGCATTTTCCCCACACCTAACTGAAAACAAACAGAAAAAAGGTAATATGAGCTGGCACCTGGTCAAGATATGTCCCTTTCTATTATCATCATTTGTGTTGTTATGGCCTAAGTGTGATCGAAATAAAAATAAAGATTTTCATGTACAGATATTGACACTTTGTGTCTGTACATAAAGCCATTGCCTGTGTTTGGCATCATCATCATCATGTTGCCAGTGTTCCCAAATCTTAAATCCAAAGATAAGCAAAAGAATACACTTGGTGAACGTTTCCTAGATTTTTGCAAATCACAAACTTTTTGTTGCTAATGAATAGAAGGTTTTATGTGTATTATAAACGGTTAGCATGCACACAAGAGACGATTTCATGTCATCGCTGTTTAACCGCCAATTCAGGATTGCAACGTGCTTCCCTAGCTATGTGAAGTGCACTCTTTCCTAATAATTAGTACCACCAGCTGGTGGTACTCATGGTTTTAGACCCGACCCGTATTGTATGGCTCTGCCGGCTCAGTGAGCTCCGCCGTCTCCACAGGGTGGCGTGGGATACAAGTCACCGTTACCGCTTGTCCTCCTGTTGCCCATGTCCCAATGTTGCTACCCAGTTTCATGGACGTGCATATATACTGACTAGACTAGTAGTTACTGACTCTCTTTCAGAAATTTATATATATATATTCTTCTTCTCTGTCAGTCTTGCCACTCTACTTACCTTGTGAGTCAATGACCGAGACATACACCATTAATACCAGAACAAGCAGCGGCAACAATCCCATCACTGATTGGTTGATTTTACCCAAGTCTTTGTAGTAGCTTACTATGCTATGAATGAAACAAAATATGAACAAATTGCTCCAATTTCTTCAGCAACAATAAGAAATCTTTAAATCATTGAAAAATAGAACAGGGCAGCAAAGCTGTCAAATGTACAGACATAAGTGCCAAAAATCGATGCACAAAATAAGTTAATTTCAAATTGTCAATATTTACATATTTTTAAGGTTTAACAGCAAAATCAACACCAAATCAAAGATATACACAAGAGGTAATATGGTTGTGAAGAATACAAAACTAGCATAAGGCTTCAGGCCCATGAGAGTTCACAATGAAAATGCCAGAATAAAAATAAATTTAATTTTCAATAAATATTGCATCTCTCTCTCTCTCTCTCTCTCTCTCTCTCTCTCTCTCTCTCAAATCAACAGTGTTGAAATGTTTTTAAACAGCATTTTATTGTATCTGTTATTTTGCATGATGAATAAACTGTAAACTGTGGTTCAGATATTATGGGTTCTGACAAATTTTGAACATCTACTGTTCACGAAAAAGCTCACAGTTTATTTATTATCCAAAAGAAAAGAAAGAAAGAAAAAAATCAATTTCAAGGCTGGCAAATCTTGTCCTTTTTAGTTTTTTTTTAAACATTGGCATTTCCAAATTGTTACTGAATATGGGCGGCCAAAAGGGCAAAAATTCATGTCGTCGATTCAGTTATGTTTCGTCGATTCACTGCCTTCCCATCGATTCAGTTTCAAGTTTAAACGATCCTGTCATAAATTCAACNATGAAGTATGTCATGTAATTCAAAGTACAGCTCCTGTATACATGTGACAGCACACTGTGTTATGAAGTATGTCATGTAATTCAAAGTACAGTTCCTGTATACATGTGACAGCGCACTGTGTCATGAAGTATGTCATGTAATTCAGACAAATAAAATACTTCATTATAAGGAATTACTGTTTTTACCTTTTAAAATATAGCCTAAGTGTGTTGACATCAGTCTTCATCTTTACAGCATCAGGCAATGAGACCATAAAACCAAATATTAGTGTTCAAGAAACAATGAAAATTACAGATAAAGTAACACATGTCCAAAGCTGGGGCATTATGGAGTAACGACCAGTCATTAAAAACATTAACACCGTCAGCAGATCCCGTCATTGCTATATTACACCATACACAATTCATACTTTGGGACTTTAGAACCTATGGACCATGAAACCTCAAGCAAGTGAACCTATTGACTAGCAAACCTTTGGAACAACGGTACATTTGCATTATCAAACTATCAGACCAATGAACCTTCTGACTATTGAACCTTTGGAACCATTGGATCTTGGCATCATCAAACTATCAGTATGCCCAAAAGGGCAAAAATTCAAGTCATCGATTCAGTTATGTTTCGTTGATTCACTGCCTTCCCATCAATTCAGTTTTAAGTTTAAACGAGCCTATCATAAATTCAACATCTACTTTCGTCAATTCAATTGTCAAACATTTCTCATCTACGGTGTATTAAAACCAATGCTCTCACTATTTTCGTTGATCGTCTAACTATTCTCGTCGATCGTCTAACTATTCTCGTCGATCCTGTAACGTCATTTCATCATTCACCAGAGGGCGCTGCAGTAGTAACATGTGTTTCCGTCTGTCTGTCACGCGGTAATTTTTAAGTCGGCAGCCATAGCCATTGTCAGAGGTGAAAATTTTCACATACATTTCCATAATTATCGGACACTTCACTGCCCTTTGGCACATTGTATGGCAACCTCACTAGGCCTATTTGGATTTTAACATCTCAGATTACTCGAGTTTCACCTTTTTATTCAACTAGAATATATATATATAATGTCCCGCAACCAAACAGAGTCAATAGAAAGAACCTTTCTTCGATCTATTGGAGGACTCCTCAACCAAGCGGTGACACTTATTAATGGTGTTGTTGACAGGTCCAGATCCACAACTTCTACTTCTCGTGACCAGGAAAACGAGGGAGAGGAGATATGCTGGTTAAGATTTATGAAAATCTTGCTCCTTGTGTTTTGCAAGAAACTTTCAAAAAAATTGAGATAGGCCTAATCAATGAAAAACCCTCTGCTCTGGCTCTGCTGCTACACTGTCTTCAGACTTATTCTAATTTAAAATGAATTAGCTACACCTAAAAAAATGTAATGAATAAAATAAATGAATGAGTAATATAAGACATTTAACAAAAAGAATAAGCCTGTAAAATCAATCTTTTCATGTTTTGTTGAAAAATTAGGCCAGGTCATTTTGAAAGAGGGGGAGATTATGAAGGTGTGGACAATGACAGACGAGGGTGAAGAGGACAATGACAGACAAGAGGGTGAAGAGGACAATGACAGACAAGAGGGTGAAGAGGACAATGACAGACAAGAGGGTGAAAAGGACAATGACAGACAAGAGGGTGAAGAGGACAATGACAGACAAGAGGGTGAAAAGGACAATGACAGACAAGAGGGTGAAGAGGACAATGACAGACAAGAGGGTGAAGAGGACAATGACAGAATGTAGCATGCTGCCTATAGATAGAGCATACATATCCCTTTCAGCAAGAAGCAGACAGAAAACAGTTATCAAAAGCTTTTTTTTTAATTTTTTTTTCTATATCTGTGCGGTTTTTGGATTGATCTTTTTTTCTAAATCTGTATTTTTTTATAAAAAGTTTTGAAATATCATAGAGAAGACAGAGTATCGGTGAATGTGGTAACCAATTAGATGGAAGGTTTTTCAGAACATACTCATACTTTAATTGAATTCTTTTTTTTTTTTTCAGAAAGCCAAAAGAAGGCTGAAGGCGCTGTAGATCCTGTCAGCCCAAGGGTGGCAGACTGAGGTGCGGCGTGCGCAAAGCAAGAGCGCCACTGATATCAAGTACACGTCTAGAGATGAAGAGTGTGATGAAGGATTCATCACACGCACCCCTGGCAAAGTGACAAATTTGCCCAGGTTATACGTACCTTAGGTGTTTTATTGAAAACAGCTTGTACAAAAGCAGAAGGTTGCTGCAAAACAGGAAGATTGGAGGAACTCACATCAAATCTGTCCCTAATTGTCCAGAGGATATCTCATGGATTGTAAAAAGAGATTAAACATTTCAACTGTTTTCAGTTAACCTGACCAAATGCTGTGTAATTTCAAATACTATAGAATTTGGTTCATTATTTTTTTGGTTGTATATGAAGTTTCATCACAGACTGGAGGGACGGCTATGTACGTTGAGTTTACACCCGAAATGAAGTTGTGGTTTCATAGCCAGCTGTTTTTTTTTTATTGGCCATTTTTTGTGTCACATACGTATTGCCAGAAGTAATTTAATTTGAATATGTTCCAGGAAATGCATCTTTTCTGAGAGTGAAACCTATTCATTTGACACAGAATAAATGATATAAGTTGATGTCATGTGTTTTTTATCTTATCAAAATATGATTTTATGCCTGCAACTAATATTACATTTAATAAGCTACAAAAAAAGCTATTGTTAAAAGACATAAAAAGCTGATCTTTCCTGTGTTAAAAAGGTGTAAAAAATGAAGCCATTTGCATACCTTTTATATAGCGAAATATCACATGTTTGTAGTAAAAAAGATATCTAAAAGTTGATTTTATGACACAAAAAGGTAAGGGAAGTTGGCCATTCATATGCCTTTCGACGTGCAAAAGTCTTAAGAATGTTGATCTTTATAATACCTTTTTTGTCAAACAAAAGATCAATTTTGTTGCAAAAGAAAAGTTAACCTTTTGTGTATAAAAAAGGAGAAGAAAAGTGGGCCATTTGTACATCTTTTTCTCTCTATAAAAGCCATAAAAAAGATGCGCTTTAACACCTTTCCTAAAAATTCAAAAAGTCTAGGAAAGGTGTAGAAAGATGGATAAAAAATACAAAAGCCAAGTTTTCATGCAGTGTAAGATACACTCCTCTTGGCCTCTGGTTTGGGACTGTGAAACAATCTCTTTGCGAGTACGTGTCTTACAACATAAGATTTATTTCTTTTACTTAGTATTTTGGTACAAAATATACATAGCATTTTTATTTTCTTGATTTGTAGGCACGCAGAAGTGCTTGGGATAATCTCTTAGCTTGTTTTGGACTAAGAAGAGGCTCTGGTAAGTTAATAGCGTTTAGTCTAACTAGCGCTTTGAAGGAGGTAATACTGTATGTTTTAATAAACAGTTGAAATAAACAGTTGATACTCATTTTATTGAAAACATTTTAAATGTTGTAACTGCACCTTACCAAGCCATGCTTTACCTGGGTAGGCCTGCAACCTGTAGTTACAGCTGGAATTCACATTCATCATGTTGGGTTGTGTCTGCAAGTTTTAGCAACAAAGAACTTGTGTATGGCTATCTAACTCCAAGAATGACACAGGGATATGAACATAAAGAAATACCACAATTACAGGTCCTTGAACCAGATGGAACCCTCATGGACACAAAAAAATTTAAGAAGGACCTAGAAAAGTGTAAAATGGAACTGACCCAGGATAACACACAGATTTTTAGATAATGGGATAATTTTTTTAAATCAAGAGAAGTCTTCATTTCCTCTATTTCCCACAAATGCCTGTTATAGCTGTTGGCAAGTTTGTCAATTTTGCTCATTAGTGATTGTTGGCATTTTTTGTTTAAATCTAGGGTTATGCATACAAAAATCAAACCACCCAGCCACTTAGACTTACAACACAGATGATACAAAAAAAGTTTTTCATGTTGACCAAAACATGAAAATAAAAGTTTAAAATGCCATTTTGGCTAATTTCCCCCATGCAACTGGATTTTCCCATATGCATTAGCTAAAGTGAACCTTCCCAAGTTTTTCTGATGCGCAGACATCTAAGCCCTGTGCTGAATACATGTAGATTCTTGCAAAACTAATAAGGTATCTAAAAACTGATTTCTTCACAGCACACAGCCAACAGAAATTAGAGCAACTGCAAGTGATGACACTGCTGCAAGTGATGACATTTTGTCTAGATCATTCCC